CACGCCTTTGGCGCCACTCGGTCAGATTGATAAGTCAACGGCAAAGCCTTCACGATTCTCGATACAAGTTGCTTGTCGGAGCTTCCTCGAAATGTGGCGGCTAAAACGCTAAAAAATACGTATTGCTGACAGACATTGAGGTTCAAACTTTCCTAGAAGGGGAAGAAAACCGATATACTAAAAGACAAACCGAAAGTTACGTATTCAGTGGCTTTGGTGTTAGCATTTCTCTCGGCTGAGAATGAAAATCGACGACTGGAAGATTTGTCACTGGCTGATTTTGGCCGTTTACCTGAAAGACTTCTTCTGTCGGTAAGGACAAAGTCAATAAATGAGAATTTTTTAAATTGAAAATTACGACCATTGTTGTTTTTTATAATCATGATTCAACGCATTTTTCCATCTTAAGAGTTAGCGCCAACGCACTTTACGATTGTATTTGGGGATTGTCGATTCATTTATTTTCATTCATTAATGAAGTTGACATCTAGTTGAACACTCGAAGAGAAATTGCATATCTACGCGCGCCCGTGTATTATTCTCTATTTATCACATAGACTGTGGGGTTTTACAGGGATTTCCGGTCCTGAGTAAAAGCCGTAGCAACACATGTGAAAAAGTATCGTATTTTTTCAAGTGTGTTGATATTTAATCGGCTGCTGACACGTCACTCGCCCTTAGCGCCACTCGGTCAGGTTGATGAATGAAGAGCAAAGTTTTCTCGACTAGTTGTTCGTCGGAGCTTTCTAGAATTATGGTGGCGGAAACACAAAAAATTTCGTATCGCTGACAGACAGCGAAGTTCAAAGTCTCCTAGAAGATGAAGAAAACCAATATAATAAAAGAAAAACCGAAAGTTACGTATTCAGTGACTTTGGTGTTGGCATTTCTTTCAGCTGAGAATGAAAATCGACAACTGGAAGATTTGCCACTGGCCGAGTTTGCCGTTTACCTGAAAGACTTCTTTTGTCGGTAAGGACAAAGTCAAGAAATAAGAATTTGGTAAATTTAAAATTACGGCCATTTTTGTTTTTGTAATCATGATTCAACGCATTTTTCCATCTTAAGAGTTAGCGCCAACGCACTATACGATTGTATTTGGGGATTGTCGATTCATTTATTTTCACTCATTAATGAAGTCGGCTTTTCTTGTCAGTAAAGGGCTATTGTGGTTAAGTGTTCAACTATTGTGTTTGAGTGTTTAACTCGACATCTCAATCGTGAGCTATCGAGTTGAACACTCGAAGAGAAATTCCATATCTACGCGCGCCCATGTATTATTCTCTATTTAATTGACTAACTTAGACATACCATGAGGTAGCTACCTCCAACGCATCAGAAATGTCCAAATTAAAAATTAATCAAACGAGTATAAACAATTCTCTATAGAATATAAGGATGCAATCTTTTGGGATGATCCAGACCAGGATTTTTAATTCGAGACCACTGGGATCATGCTACACTCGAACAATAAAAAAAACAGAAATTGGTCTGTTATTAGTAAACAGAAAGAAGTCACAAGATTTAAAGAGAGGAATAACTCGTGCTGTTCTCATTTGATCATAAAGCATTAGGGATGATCATGAAGGTACATGGTTGAGTACATCTTTTGTTTCTTCGACAATATTCCTGACAATTTTCATCAAAGTCCAATACTTGTAAAGTTCTCTGATAAATGCATCAATAGTAAAAATCGATTGCCTTTTGGATTTCAGTTGTGTTTTAGAAAAAGTATGGGGTTAGACACTGAACAATCTCTCCCAAAAGTTCTCTTTTTCGACTATAAAATATCAAGCAAAACCACAAAATAATTTATAATGATCACCTCACCATTAATTTGCATCATTTTGTTGACGACAGCGCCGATGCGTGACATGGCGCTGTTTGCTCTCGCACGGATTTGAGACCCGCCTAACTTTCTTCACCAAACGAATCTATCTACGGTCGAACCTGTATTGAGCAGTTACCCTGTATTAAGCGGTCGGTTTCCATAGTCCAGAAAATTTTCCCCCTTAATGACTGTAATTTTAACCTCCATTAACCGGCCACCTCAATAGAAGTGTTCGTGGTCACACTGAGCTCCCGGAGGACTTTTTCTAGAGTTCCCCACCTGTATCAAACGGTCACTTGAAGTGCAAATTGCAACCACTGAAATAAAACTGAGAAAAATTTATCAAGTAAACTTAAATCCTCGATTATTTCCCAAAATTTCCCCTTTTAACAAAGGGGTCTACTGTGGCAAAATGTTTTATCGTTTTTGTCGTTTTCCATAATGCTCCTCAAATCCAGTGGGAAGAATCCTAAATCGCTTCTCCAGTGATATTGGCTACGTAGATGAGTTGTTACCCAAAACAATCCTGGTAGCAATGCAGATGCTCTCAGTGATATTTGCCCAAATTCTGTTGACAGTTTCCACCGATGTTTGGCTGATGTTTCTTGTTGTTCCAATTTCCGTGCTGGTCGTTTCTCTATCCAATTATTACTTGAAGACTGCCAGAGAACTAAAGAGGTTAGAGTCGATATCCCGAAGCCCAGTGTTCGCTCATTTTTCGGAGACCCTGATAGGACTTGACACGGCTCGTACGAGAGGAAGACAAACAGGTTTTGTGGATGCACTTTACAGGTATGTGGGAGACATTGAGTCAGTGTGTGGTGCCAGAGCCGATAAATGTACGGGGCACAAAGTACTTATGATTGCATATTTTCTCTGAGCTATTTATTTTTTTATTCACCGGCAATACACGACAAGCGGCAAGACTACAGTAATTGCTCTGTGCGGTTTTCTTCCTTCTGATAGGATGTCAACAGACCCATAATATGAACGGTCAATCAACAAGATCGCGTGACGCGGAAATTTCACGATTAGTCAAAACTGTAACAAATTTATGGAATGTGATTGGTTATCACCAGCCCGATATAAGCACTAATAGGACAGTGTAAGTGTCATGCTTGTAGTTGGACAGTGTAATAGGACAGTCGAGAAGTCATGCCTGCGTGTAAGTGTATGCGCGGGCTGTTGCTGCGAAGTTCGCCGAGTTTTTTTTTTGAAAATGTATAACTGTGGTCTAGTTTCTTTCTCTAATTTTGTCACAGTTTTGATCAATTGGTAAGAGATCTAGACCGTCATGTCGTCCAATTCTGTCATTAATAGTAATCGTAGTTTAACAAATCAGACATCCTGCTTCGCAGTCGTCCGCTTTTGTTAATTACTCTTATGATTACTGACGGAATTGGACTCCATTATGAGTTTAGCAGGAAATACAGACAAGTGCCACTCGTCTTCTCCTTCTGATAATTGTTGTACTTAGGATAAGAGATGTAGTTGTGATAGTGAACAATTAAGATTTGGTCTTTTTTTGGAGAATTCACCATTTTTAATGGAAAGGTATCCATACGTTAACAAACTCGGCTCTAGCGGCTCTCACTTCACCTCGACAAATGAAGCATACCTAAGATTGAGATATGGCTACGGAAGTGATCTTTCAGACAGTTAGCTAGAAGCTTACGGATGTTTCTTGGAGAGTAATAACTTTTTAAGGGAGTGGGGGGTCGGGCGGGATTTGTTGAAGGGCTCCGTTACATTGTCAGGCCGAAGGAGACACTGGTCTCCTGATTGGTAAGAAAACTTCATGTCGTCCAATTCTGTTTTTAATCATACTCGTGATTAAAAAAAACCACACTCCCGCCTTGCAGTCGCCCGCTATTGTTAATAACTCGTATGATTACGGACCGAATTGGACTCCACTCAGTGCTATTGCCAATGTGAGTTTAACAGGAAATACAGACAAGTGCCACTCGTGTTCTCCTTCTGATAAATGTTATACATAGTTTACAAGATTTAGTTGTGATAGTGAACAATTAAAAATAATTTTTTTTGAGCGGGGGAACTTATCATTTTTAGTGGAAAAGTACCTATATCGTTAACACACTCGGCTCGAGCGGCTCTCACTTCATCTGGACGAATAGAGCATACCTAAGACTGAGATGTGGTTACGGAAGTGATCTTTCGGATATTTAGCAAGAAGCTTGTGGATGTTTCTTGGAGAGTAATATATTTTTGAGAGGGCGGGGTGTCGGGCGGAATTTCTTGAAAGACTCCGTTACATTTTCAGGCCGAAGGAGACACTGGTCTCACTTCAATGTGTAGACCTAATCTCCTTATAGTATTTTTTGGAGTGATTGTCGGGAAAAAAAACAGTCTGCTAACAAGCCAATCGGAACAAAAGAAAAGATCACAAGTAGTGACATAGGACTTAACATAAAAACAAGGAAACGGCATTGAGTGCTGGAAAACGCGCACGACCAATAGGCGGTTGGCTCAACTAAAAAATCACTCCATTATTAAAACACATTGTGATAAAAACTTATCCCTTCACATATGAAGATATTCATAATCAGGCGTTCATTATGGTGATGGCCAGCGGTAGGTAGCTCGGTACACGTTTGGATTGTCTCGCTTCCTTGTTAGACGGTGCAGTTGCTCTGGCTGCAATCTTGGTATCTCAAGATGCCGGTAAGCTCAAGATTCTAAGTAACGTTTTTAGTTTTTCTATGTAAAGTAAGAATTTATATAGTCGTGTATTAACACAGCATGAACTAATGAATAATAAAATAAGTGTGAAAATACGTGCACTCTTATTATCAACGGGTGGTTTCTAAACACGACAGAAACGTGAGTCTCTCTGGTAGCTTAACTGCTAAGCAAATTTTAAAGTGTCTTTCATGATTCAGAACTGGAAACTTGGGTTGATAACTCCTATGTACCTACTTAGCTTGGAGTTTAAACAACAACACTAAGAGAGACGTAAAAAATACGCTTTATTTACTCCCTCCTATTAAGTGACTCCCCGGACCAGGCCAAGTAACCTAGCCTTGTTAAGTTTTCGTTACATGTTTTGAGCCATCAAGAGAAAACTAGTCCGGCATTTATAAATTCAAGGTCCAATTTTTTTTCAGCTTACGCTGGTCTCGCTCTTGTTTACGTCATCCAAACTCTGACCATGACTCAATACGCTGTTAGAAAAACCTCTGAAGTAGAAAACTACATGACGTCAGTTTAACGAGTTATGACCTACACCAAACTTGACCGGGAGCCTAAATACGAGGAAGAACGAACACCCCCGCAAGACTGACCTTGGAGAGGAAGTATTGTGATGAGAGACATATCACTGACCTACTATCCGGGGGGACCTCAAGTGATAAAAAACATCAATCTTAGCGTCAAAGGAGGAGCAAAGATCGAAGTTGTCGGCCGTACGGGAGCTGAGAAGTCATCTTTTGTAACAGCTCTTATGTGTATGCCTGATGCTGATGGAGAGATAATCATCGACGATGTTCCAATTAAAGACATAGGACTCCAAAAAGCTCGACGAGGTATCTCAGTTCTTAGCCAAAGTCCTGTTCTTTTTAGTGGATCACTGAGAAAAAATCTCGACATTTTAGACAAGTTTCAAGATGCTGATTTATGGCAGGCTTTAGAAGATGTGCAACTGAAAGATTTTTTCGAGACACTTGAGGCCAAGCTGGATCACGAACTGCTGGAACATGGCGCTAATGTCAGTGTGGGAGAGCGGCAGTTAATTTGTTTGGCTCTTGTGCTGCTACAGCGAAGTAAAATCGTCGTCTTGGACGAGCCAACTGCGCATGTAGACTATGGAATGTAGTGCGGGACAAACTGGAGGAGTCCACTGTCATCACTATATAGCTCACCGTTTGAACACGATAAAAGACTGCAAGAAGATTTTGGTCTTGAAAGATGGACAAGTTAAAGGATTTGACAAATTTGATTCAATAATGAACTTGAAGTGAGATGCCGTCTAATGTTGAAAATACCTCGAATGTCACGCAGGTCTGATCCTGCAGAGCTCAAGATATTGTACAGTTGATGTTATTGCTCGGTTTTGGCTCTTTTATACTACTACGCATCTCTCATTTTGCAACGTTTTGCAACGTTCATTTTGCAGTGCATCTGTTCAGTAATAGATCACACATGAAGTCATTATGTGGTAAGAACAGAAAAACCTGCAAACTAGGCGCAGGCGAGTGTGTCACTCATGTTCCTATTGCTGTATGGCGTCCTCTGTGATCTTTTAATGAACAGACCCACCGTAACGTAGATTGCATATGCTTTATGTAATAAACAAAGCAAATTTTTTCTCCTATTGACGTCACTTATCCATCTGTCCCCCAACTGATCATAAGTAAAAAACCAATGGAGATGCCCTGGGAACGACATACGAGCACCACATACCACTCAACACAGTGCACACAAGAAAGAAGATAACAGTTTATTTAGAAATAGGAAACTGCTATCACACATTCAGTTGTCCTGACAACTGGGCACGCTAACATATTTTTTGCGATGGTAATCCCAGCGTTTTACCATAGTGTAGAGATCATATACTTTCACTTTGGTAACTTATTTAAAACATCTCGAGACAATTAAAATCGTATAAGATTTTCCTTCTCACTTCCCACCTTTTAAAAAATGATCTTTCGCATGCGCCATACTTTCTCATGTTACGTATTCAGTGGCTTTGGTGTTAGCATTTCTCTCGGCTGAAAATGAAAATCGACAACTGGAAGATTTGTCACTGGCCGATATTGGCCGTTTACCTGAAAGACTTCTTCTGTCGGTAAGGACAAAGTCAATAAATGAGAATTTTTTTAAATTGAAAATTACGACCATTGTTGTTTTTGTAATCATGATTCAAAGCTTTTTTTCCATCTTAAGAGCTAGCGCCAACGCACTCAACGATTGTTATTCGGGGATTGTCGATTCATTCAATTTCGTTCATTAATGAAGTCGACTCAGTTTCTTGTCAGTAAAGGGCTATTGTGAAAATATGATAAACAAAATAGTACATGGTTGGTTGAAGATATAAAATTTCTCTTCTCGTGTTCAACTCGACATCTCACTCGTTCGCTGCGCTCACTCTTGAGCTATCGAGTTGAACACTCGAAGAGAAATTCCATATCTACGCGCACTCATGTATTATTCTCTATTTAATTGACCAACTTAGACATACCATGAGGTAGCTACCTCCAACACATCAGGAAAGCCCAAATTAAAAAATTAATCAAACAAGTATAAACAATTCTCTATAGAATATAAGGATGCATTCCTTTGGGATGATCGAGACCAGGATTTTTGATTCGAGATCACTGGGATCACGGTACACTCGAGCAGTGAAAAAAATTCAAGGATTATTTAAATAAAAATTCTGGCATTTTCGTCTTATAACAAAGAAGGTTTGACGAACGAGTGACTGAAACAGGAAGAGAGTTCCAAATTTTAGGACCTTGGTAAAGAATTGTTATTGCTATTATTAGTAAACAGAGGAAAGTCACAAGATTTAATAAGAGGAATAATTTGTGAAGTTCTCATTTGATCAGAACGCACAGACGTGATCATGAAGGTACATGGTTGAGTACATCTTTTGTTTCTTCGCCAATATTCGTGACAATTTCCATTAAAGCCCAATACTTTTACAGTTCTCTGATAAATGCATCAATAGTAAAAGTCGATTGCCTTTGGGATTCCAGTTGTGTTTTAGAAAAAGTATGGGGTTTGACACTAAACAATCTCTCCCGAAAGTTCCTATTTTCATCTAAAAAACATAAAGCAAAACCACGAAATAGTTTTCAAAGATCATCTCACCATTAATTTGCATCATTTTGTTGACGACAGCGCCGATGCATGACATGACGCTGTTTGCTCTCCCATGGATTTGAGACCCATCTGACTTTCTTCCCAAAACGAATCTATCTACGGTCGAACCTGTATTGAGCGGTTACCCTGTATTAAGTGGTCGATTTCCATAGCCCAGAAAATTTTCCCCCTTAATGACTCTAATTTTAATCTCCATTAACCGGCCACCTCAATAGATATATTGATAACGGTGTCGTAAACGGATAACATGACACGATCCGTGAAGCGTGAGCTGTAAACAACACGCAATGTAAAAAAAAGGCAATCAGTAAATGAATCAACCCTTTTCCACAATTGCTGGTTTGGTTACATACAGCTGAACTCAGTGATCAAATGATAAATTGCTCGTAATCGTGTGCGTAGCTCACTTGTAAAGATTTTATGTTCAATATCAAACCGACATTAAGGTCATAAATTCATTCGTTACTTCATTCAACCGCAAAGAACTAAAACATTGCTATCATTTATATCATAGCAAGCGAAGAGACATCTCTTAAACGCATCCAAGGTTAAATGCGGAGCCTACAAGCTTGGCTTGCTCTTGGTAAGTTTATCATAGTCATTAACTCTTCGTTGAAGACCCCTCGCCATAATGAAAATTATCGTCGCAGGCATTAATCAAAGGGATGAATTAGCGCTTAAAATTACGGATCTTCAAGGTGATTGGTTTCTGTGTTTGTACACTGAATGCACTTCATACTTAAAATGCATCGCAGCAAAAGGGATTACAATGACGTCTATGGTATGACGGAGAAACCCTAAGAAAAGCGTACGGTGAGTTATAATCGCTCCCATGGAAAGTAGTGATACGTCTGGAGGCTAATGTCACTTTTGAGGAACGTTTTTGTTGTAAATTATTCTTATGCGAGGTTAAGAGTCCCGGATCAGTGCAAGTCAAGCTAAGTGCGATTGAAATTAAGGTCCAGTTTACTCCACACCACAAAAACTTTGAGCGGGACTTCAGACTTTTAGTGAACGATTTGTCAAACTTATATAGAACGAAAGAATCTATGGCGCGGAACAATTCAGATAACAACTGACGACGGGGAAACCTTAAGAAAAGAGTACGGTGAGTTATAATCGCTCCCACGGAAAGTACCGATACGTCTGAAGGCTTATGTCGCTTTTGAGGAACGTTTTTGTTTCAAATTACTCTTATACGAGGTTAAGAGTCCCTGATCAGTGCAAGTCAAGCTAAGTGCGATTGAAATTAAGGTCGAGTTTCCTCCACTCCAAGAAACCTTTGAGCAGGACTTCAGTCTTTTAATGAACGATTTGTCAAACTTATTTAGAACGAAAGAATCTATGGTGCGGAACCATGCAGATGACAACTGAAGTCGAAAATTTCAATATGATCCATTAATTAAAGTCATGTTGCGGTCCATTCTTTTTTTGGACAAAATTTTCAGACATTACCAATTTATTTCTAAACAAAAAAAAAACGGAACGAATGTTTTCCACTCACACTACGACGGCGTCAGCGGCGGCAGACAGATTTGAATGGACATTAATCAAGTGCGCGCCAAGAGCTTAGTCTTAAAAACCGTCAAAAAAATTGTCACAGCATTGATGTTGTCGTTTTTACTAGCTCGAAGAATTTGTCCACTAAAAAGACATGTTCATTTTTGGAATCGCTTGACATTTCTAAACAATGACTCTAATACTCTTCAGAGGTTTTAAGGAACCATTTAGTGGCACTTTAATTTGGAGAAAATCTCCGACTGCCAGGCATTTAGCCCTTTCGAGACCGTGCCCGGCAGTCTGATCAGGAGCTTCGACAACCGAGTAATAATATTGTAGTGTGTACAAGCTCGAAGAAATTGTCCACTAAAAGACCAAGTTAATTTTTGGAATTCCGTAACATTTCTAAGCAAACATCTGATATTCCTAGGAAGTTTGAAAGAACCTTAATTTCGGTGGAAATTCTATGAAAAATTCTGCGACTGCCGGGCATTTCGTCTTCTTCTGACCTTGTCCGGCTGCCAGCCATTTAGTCTTAGCCTTTTCGAAAAGCTCCGTTTTCAACTTGTTTTCTGTCTTCAGAGTTTTAAAATTGATTTTGAAAATGCGCTCTCAAAACTTTCAGAACAAGTCCTTTTTTATTCAGCGTGGTGAAGACAGGGCTCTTGGGAAACTTTGTGATCCCTCGTTTCAAAATACGACATCTGTCTTATTGTACAGGAACATCGATCGTCTGGCGCTTTATTGGCTCGAGAATTTCGACTGTTACAATTCGTGACATACTGGAAAGTTCATTCATGACCTATCACGCAATCGATTTCGATAGGTATTCAATTTTTACCAGTATTGTGCTGTTATTTGTAGTCTGAAAAAAAAATTACATTTTCTTGCTCACGAAATTTTATTTTTCGCCTTGTTAAATGGAAGTCGAAAAAACTTGCTAAGAACTGGTTTTTGACTGGACGATAAGCAGTAATAAACAACAAACGAGTGCCTTTTTGATTTCTGCTCCCGCTTTTACGCCCTCAGATAGTTCCTGCTTCCCGCCCTCTCCCGCCCTCAATTTTCCCGCCCCCCTGTCCCCCTCCATTGTAACTGATTCTTCTGTCACCGTGTAAGATACTCTGTATTACCCAACATCATTTGCTGGAACTTTATTTGTGACATTGTGATCTTGTCATTTTCAAGGACTAATGATAGAAAATGTTATTACATCTTGATCATTTTGTGGAATACTCTCAAACTGGCTTTGGCTCTCCATACAAAGGAATAGCAATTATTCAAATTAGTCTTAGATATGACAGAGAGTGTTTTCAAACTGTTTTCAAAAAAACTGGCTTCGTGACCGATGAAACCCACTCGGTGTCTGTGGTTTCTCAGGTCTCAAGATCTCGTGTGTGATTAGTTACAACTATTGATTTATTTTTGTGACTAATAAGTTTGTCATGTATCAAACACGTTCTTCCTTAGAGGAGACAAGAAGGAAAGCGGGGTGGCGAAAAATTGTGGAAACTCGATTCAGAACGAAAAGTTGGTTCCATGCCGCTTCCTGAAATAATTCCTGAAAGATATTGTTTACCCATTATTTGGTTTCTATTTAGAGGGAGCCTGGAACTCACAAGGCTCACCCAGGCAAGGTGATCAATTTTGGCCGGCCGTGTGCAAATTTCCCGCGCAAATTTTAAACAAAAACAAGGGTAGTAACCGCTGTCACGCAAACTATGCCAAAAAAAATTAAACGTTCATAAAAAGTAGAGAAAGGAAAACTCGACACTCTCCGAGCACAAAGCTTTTTCAATGACCGTTATTTACCATTTTTTTGTAAGCTATATCAGTCTAGGCTATATAAAAGTCATGGGGTTCTACAAAACACCGTGACTTATGGGATTTTATGTAAGTTTACAACTCCTAAAGAGAAAGTTGGTTCTGAAATCCTGGAACAACACGCGAAGACATTTGACCATTGCGTTGGACATGCTAATGATGGCTAAGTATTTTGTAGGTCTCAAGTGATGGCACCAAAAGGCGGTTACAGGAGAATCTCTGGTGATGACGATAATAAAGTCAGTTTTGCATCTTCTCTTTTTTTCCGTTGGATGAACGGAGTCTTAAAGATGGGCAGTCAAAGACCTTTGGACCAAAACGACTTTTTACCCTTGTCAGAAGAGAACTCTGGCCGTTTTGTCAGCGACAAGCTTCGAAAAAGCTGGGAAAGTGAGATACGTCATTGCAAGATGAATGGGAAAAGGCCAAAACTTTGGAAAAGCGTGTTTGATATGCTGTCTGCCAAAGATGTTATCATCATTTTGACGGGGAATATATTGTCTACAACTTCTCGCCTTCTCTTTCCACTGTTTCTCGGATATCTTGTTTCTAAGCTTATGTCAACTGAGGCAGAGAATAATTATCAACTCTACACCTGCGCGTTAGCTATGTGTCTCAATGGTTTAATCGGTGGTCTTGGTATGCACCAGCAAGACTACAGATGTGAAACATTGGGGATCAAAATAGGAAGCGCCCTGAACGGACTGGTATACCACAAGGTAAGCACGATCCAAAGAGTATTCTATGCATTTTTCAAAGGCTCAACCGATTTTTCTAATACCCTAAACGCCCCAAATTAAGCCGAACAAACTGGAACGCATTTATCTATCCGATACAGAATGATTTTTTTCCAGAAATCTTTGCAATCCTGCTCATCAACAAAAAAATCAAAGAAGCAAACAGTTATTTAGCCTTCAGTTAACGGGAAGTAGGCTACAGAAACCATAACGTATACGGCCGTGCTTTTGAGCGAGATTCAAAATGGCGTCTGAGTTGTCGCTCTTTTAACAAACTTAAAGAGAATTTAGTAGAGACTTAATTACTCTTGTCTCGAAACGCAGCCACGAATATCTTTATGCCGGAGATTAAAATCAGATGGTTTGTGGAACATCCTTCTTCTTTAATGGCTAATCTGTACTCTCTTTCAGACACTTCTACTCAGCAAGCAGACGTTATTGAAATTTACTGCAGGACGCTTGTTTGACCTGACATCCAATGATGTTAAAAGAATGGAAGAAGACACGGTCAAGTTTTTTGTCTTAGCCGTTTTCGCAGTTCCTGCTTATGCAGGGGCAATATTCCTTATCTACAATTTGATTGGTTGGCAGGCTCTTACGGGCGTATTCCTCCTGTGTATTCTCATGCCATACTTTGCCGTCTTGTCTTATGCCAATGCTAAGCTCCGTCTGCGTACAGCTACAGTGTCGGATCAGCGAATCTCCCTAATCAATCAAGTAGTTTCCGGGATCCGCGCGGTCAAAACGCATGCGTGGGAGGACGAATATAGACGAAAGATAAAACATTTAAGAAGGTAAGGTAAATTATGATCTTTAATCAGAAGTAGGCTTAAAAAACTAGGTTCATTCATTCCCGTAATTGTTGGCCCAAATTATTCAAAACTGGGAAATAGATAACCACCAATCTGTTTTGTCTCCTCTGAGAGCTTTATAAGCGAGGCAGTTTTAAACATGCCCCCGCCCCCAAACAAAAGAACCAATAGGCCGCTGCATGAGCCAATCAGAATGCTTCTCTTCACAAAGAATAAGTGTCTCATGAAACCCATTTGATAACCAGAGGATTGGCTGCTTGGTTAAATAATATCTGGATATACTGAGTAGAGAGTGTGGAATGAGCGCTCTCACTGATTGGTTAAACTTCGAATATCCCTTGCAATTTATCTTCGAGAGACTCGCGCGAGATTTCCGCCCGAGACAGAATAATTGTTCATTATTATAGGTAGAACATCTCATTGAGTCTAACTTGTCTTCAGTTAGTATTATTTTTCATGCGCTGTCGTGGGGTCGCTAAAGACGCAATTAAACAAAGAAGTGAACGATAAGATAGGGTGCGCTTCCCGCCGGCTCACCTCGTTAATATTTCAAATTAAATAGAACACTGACGACGAGTGGGTTCGACAGAATGCCCACATAACTTATGATCAACTTTTATCTTCAGAAATGAAATCAGCGTCATTTCGAAGAGGGCAGCCATTCAGTCAAGTATCGATGCCTTGTCATTCAGTGCAACGCCACTGGCCACCCTGGTGTCAGTAATTACTATGGTACTTACAGGCTTCACCCTCACGCCCGCCAATGTTTTTATGCTGTTGTCGTTTATGGGTGTTTTAAAATCGACTGGCATGGTAGATATGACATCTGGTTTAATGGCAACGTATGACGCCTACGTTTCGCTCGGAAGAATCGAAGAATTTCTTCTTTTGGAAAATATGTTGGAAGCCTCTGAGAGTGATGAAAGCAACGAGCCCCAACAAAAAGCGAGAAGTACCCCAAGTAACCAAAGTCGCGGTTATTTGAAAAAAGAAGAGAAAAATAAGGAGAATGTCCCCCTCTCTCGTCAACCAACAGAATTAGGGCCAACTAAACTATGTGTGTCAAATTTAAGCTTCGCAAAAACGCATCGTGAAGATGAATTTATTCTTCAGGATATCAACTTTTTTGCACCTTCAAAGAGTTTAACAGTCATCACTGGCCCGGTTGGGAGTGGTAAGTCTACTCTGCTCTCAGCGATCGCTGGTGAAGTTTTGAACACCAGTGGGACGATTGATTATCAAGGTTCTGTCATTTACTTGCCTCAGACTGCTTGGGTGTTCTCGGGAACGATAAAAGAAAATATTCTATTTGGTCAACCCTTCGAGGAGTCCAAGTTCGAAAGAATAATCGACGTCTGCGCTCTAAAAGAAGACTTTCAGCGGTTACCAGATGGTGACCAAACAGTTGTTGGAGAACGCGGGGAGGTTCTGAGTGGAGGACAACAGGCGAGAGTAAGTTTAGCTCGTGCAGTTTATGCTGACGGAGATATTTATCTACTGGATGATCCACTGAGTGCCGTTGACTCTAAAGTTGGCCAACACATCTTTAACAAGTGCATCAAAGATCTACTAGGCAATAAAATCGTTCTGTTAGCCTCTCATCAGCAACAGCACATGGAAAATGCTGATCAAGTGATAGTGTTGTACAGAGGGCGTGTCCTCGACAAGGGACGCTTTACTGAGCTGCACGAAAAAGGTGTAGTTAATTCAACTGTTGACCCACTCTATAAAGCAGCTCAGAAGGACAAAAAAGACTTATCTGATACATTTGCCTGGGAGAATACAAAGAAACACCATGATGCTGAAAAATTCCAGAAAATACATGCTCAGACTAATGAAGCGAGGAGTTTGGAGGTAGCAAAGGAGGATCGTACAATCGGAGTTGTGACATCCAAGCTTTATTGGGACTATTTCAGAAGTGGAGCACATCCTTTGATGATAACTGGAATGGTTGGTTTAAGTCTCATTACTCAAGGTAAACTTACTGTTAGAGTGAGGTAGAAACCTTGGTTCAGGCCCTAAAAGGGAATACAGCAACCTTTTCTAAATCACTTCACAATAGCTATGCTTTTGGTTTTAGTTTAGATGGCAGAGTAAAGAGACACTGCACAAATTTTTGACCATGTTCCCGATATCGTACAAGCGCGAGGCAAGCACAAGTGAATGGCGAGCCACGCGCCAAATGAAGAGCTTGTGTCTTGCTGCTCGCGTTGGCGTTGCACTTGTCTCCATTTGCCTGAAAAAGATTTTAAAAAAACTCGTTTCTAGCTAATTTTCTGAGACCAAATGCAGTTTTCTAACAATGTTTAAGTGTAATATGGTTGACTGCTTCATCTATTCTGTGACATTGTGGTGCTTACATAAAAATTCCCAAGATACAAGCGTAAATAGCTAACCCGGGCGAGTTGTGTCTAGGCCCAATAAATCTTACAATGTTTAACTAACTGATCAGAAAGAAATACCTTTCAACCACAACCTCTTGATCTTATCTCTTTCAGCCATCATAGCTGCTCCAGACTTGTGGCTCTCGTTTCTTGCAAGGCTAAACCAAGAGGATCAGAATAACAAGACTTATCTATCTGTCTTCGCCTGTCTGGTTAGCGCGTGTTTTATATTTACTATCGTTAGGGCTTATGGATTCTTTCATGTTTGTCTAAAGTGCACTGAGCGTCTTCACGATAAAATGGTTGTGGCCATTTTACAAGCACCTGTCCTGTTCTTTGACTCTAATCCAGTGGGAAGAATCCTAAATCGCTTCTCCAATGATATTGGCTGCGTAGATGAGTTGTTACCCAAAACATTCCTGGCGGCAATGCAGAGGCTCTTGGCGATATCTGCCCAAATTCTGGTAACAGCTGCCACAAACGTTTGGCTGGTGTTCCTTGTTGTTCCAATTTCCGTGCTGGTCGTTTTTCTATGCAATTATTACTTGAAGACTGCCAGAGAACTCAAGAGGTTAGAGTCGATATCCCGAAGCCCAGTGTTCGCTCATTTTTCGGAGACCCTGATAGGACTGGACACGATTCGTACGAGAGGAAAACAGACAGATTTTGTGGATGCACTTTACAGGTATGTTGAAGACATTGACTCAGTGCGATGTGCCAGAGCCAATAAATGCACAGGTCACAAATGAGTCATAATTGCTCATTTTCTGTGAGCTACTTATTTTTCATTTACTGCCATTACACGAAACTGCATCACGCTTCTCTTGTAATCATACCTGATGTGTGCTGAGACACTGTTCAACAAGTGGACCTTTCTGTATATGAGGCATGGTTGCGAAACGAAGCTATCCAAAATAGACACGAAGGGCATTACCCGTGGTAAGACTACAGTAATTGCTCTCTGTGGTTTTCGACCTTCTGATAGGATTTTAACAGACCCATAATATGAACGGTCAATCGACATGTGGAAAAGTATCCATATCGTAAACAAATTTGGCTCTTAACGCTCTCCCTTCATTTTGATGAGTAGAGCATACTTAAGAGTGAGATGTGGTTACGGAAGCGATCTTTCGGACAGTTAGCCACAAGACACTCAGCTTACAGATGCTTTTTGGAGACTAAGATTATTTTGAGGGGATCGGGGTCGGGTGGAATTGGAATCTGATAGGATTTCAACAGCCCCTTAATATGAAAGGTCAATCAACAAGATCGCGTGATGCAGAAATTTCATGATTACTCAAAACTATAACAAATTTATCGAACTTTATTTGTTTTCACCATTCCGATTTGAGCACTAATAGCACAGAATAAGTGTCATGCTTGTTATTGGACTGTGTAATAGGACAGTCGAAAAGTCATGCCTGTGTGTAAGTGTATGTGCGCCCTGTTGTCGCGCATTTCAACGAGTTCTTTTTTTTTATGAAAACGTAAAAGTGATGTTTAGTTTCTTTCTCTAATTTTGTTATAGTTATAATTTATTGGTAAGACAACTTCTTGTCGTTCAATTCCGTCTTTAATCACACTCGTGATCTTCAAAAGAAAATACAATTGAATAACAACAAACCAGCCAGAACAAAAGAAAAGATCACAATTAGTAACAGAGGACTCAACGTAAAAATAAGGAAATGGAATTGAGCGCGGGAAAACGCCTACGACCGATGGGCGATTAGTTTTGCGCAAATTTGCTGGACCAATCACGAACCAAAGTAATACAAAGTTTATTGATTCCGATTTATTTCGACAGTCCACTTAAAAAAATTACTTCATTATTGAAACATATTGTGATAAACACTCGTCTCTCTCCAGATATCAAGATATTCATAATCAAGCGTACATTATGGTGATGGCCAGCGGTAGGTGGCTCGGTGCACGTTTGGACTGTCTCGCTTCCTTGTTAGTCGGTGCAGTTGCTCTGGCTGCAATCTTGGTCTTTCAAGATGCCGGTAAGCTCAAGATTCTTACTATCGTTTTAGTCTTTCTATGTAAAGTACGAATTTATATAGTCGTGTATTAACACAGCATGAACTACTGATTAATAAAATAGGTGTGAAAATACGTGCACTCTTATTATCAACGGGTGGTTTATAAGCACGACAGAAACGTAAGAGTCTCTCAGGCGACTTAAGTGCTGAGTAAACTTTCAAGTGGGTTTTATGATTCAAAACGGGACACTTGTGTTGATAACTCCTCTGCACCTACTTAGCTTGGAGTCAAAACAACAACACTAAGAAAGACGTATAAAAGACGCGTTATTTATTCCCTCCCATAAAGAGACTGCCTGGACCAGGCTAAGTAACCTAGACTTGTTAAGTTTTCGTATATCCTTTGAGCTATCACGAGAAAACTGGTCCGGAATTTATAAATTCAAGGGCCAATTCTTTTTCAGCTTACGCTGGTCTCGCTCTTGTTTACGTCATCCAAACTCTGACTACGACTCAATACGCTGTTAGAAAAACCTCTGAAGTGGAAAATTACATGACGTCAGTTGAGCGAGTTATGACCTATACCAAACTTGACCGTGAGCCTGGATACGACGAAGAACGAATACCCCCAAAAGACTGGCCTGGGAGAGGAAGTATTGTGTTGAGAGATGTATCATTCACGTACTATCCGGGGGGACCTCAAGTGCTGAAGAACATCAATATTAGCATCAAAGGAGGAGCAAAGATCGGAGTTACCGGCCGTACGGGAGCTGGGAAGTCATCTTTTGTGGCAGCTCTTATACGCATGCCTGATGCTGACGGAAAGATAATCATCGACGATGTTTCAATTAAAGAGATAGGCCTCCAACAAGCTCGACGAGGTATCTCGGTTCTTAGCCAATGTCCTGTTCTTTTCAGTGGATCATTGAGGAAAAATCTCGATACTTTAGACAAGTTTCAAGATGCTGATTTATGGCAGGCTTTAAAAGATGTGCAACTGAAAGATTTTGTCGAGAGACTTGATGCCAAGCTGGATCACGAACTGCTGGAACATGGCGCTAATGTCAGTGTGGGAGAGCGGCAGTTAATTTGCTTGGCTCGTGTGCTGCTACAGCGAAGTAAAATCGTCGTCTTGGACGAGCCAACTGCGCATGTTGACCCAGACACAGAGCAGACGATTTGGAATGTAGTGCGGGACAAACTGAAGGAGTCCACTTTCATCACTATAGCTCACCGTTTGAACACGATAAAAGACTGCGAGAAGGTTTTAGTCTTGAAGGATGGAAAAGTTAAAGGATTTGACAAATTCGAGTCAATAATAAACATGAAGTGTGATGCCGTCTAAGGTTGAAATACCTCGAAGGTCACGCAGGCCTGATCCTGCAGAGCTTAAGATATTATACAGTTTACAATCTTCTCCAGAGCTCTAATTCTGCACATCGTGGAAAAGAATGACATTTGATGTTTTTACTCAGTTCTGGCTCCTTTATACTCTTATGCGTCTTTAAAATCTCTCACGTTGTCATGTTTCGGGGTGTCACACAACGTGCATTTTGAACAGTTGTTAGGGGGAAAAATTATGTATTTTAGCTTTAGAACACATTTTAAATTTATTTATCGGTTTAGACCCAGTTCTGTATTTTGTTCGTTCTTTTACTCGACCGGTTGAGCGGTAAAGAATGATGAACGAGTTGTTCTATTCAAATTGTTGTTATTCAAATTAGTTATAACCAGAAAAAGTAAATTGTTGATATATCACAAAATATTGTATTTTGGGTTTTCGTGGGTTTTGGGATAAACATCTTAAAAATATATTCACATACTTTTACATTTGGAATATTCGGTTATTCGGGTTTTTTTCTTTTGGTAGTTAAATAAAATGTATAAAAAACCACAGTAGCTTTTGAATAGATTTTTGTTGTTACTCGCTTTACTATGCACCTGCTTGTCGGCACTTTTGTCATCTAGTACATGGGTTTTTTTTAGGTTAATATAAGTGTTAATGGTCTTTCTGGAAACATTAGTTTTCATGGTAGATAGCAGCTGAGTTAATACGCGTAAATTTAATTTCTTTTCATGCGATGGTTTCCGAACCAATCTTGCATAGATAAGCAGAAACTTTTAATTGATTTTCCGTTTTTTATCTCCTGAGCTGCGCTACTGCAATTAAGATGGGTATTGTTTTCTATATCAGAGCTGTAAAATTCGCACCTAGGTTTCCTTCTTTAATGGCCTGGAGTTTATTGCATCTGTCTTTTTAATTTTGTGGTTCTTTCCGTCGTAGAAACAGATGGAATATTTAAGTAGTTTTTGTTTAACTTCAAAGAGACTTTTTCCGCTCCTTTGTGTCCTTATTCAAATATTGCGATTTGTGTAACGATAGCACTTCGCACCAGTTACTTCTTAAGCAAGTACCTTGTACAGCTTTGATGATTACAAACTAGAGTATGCTAGAGGTCATGTCGCTTGTTGGCCTGACCTAGAATAAAAGTAATGTGGAACCAAAGATTGTCTTATCCTTGACGTCCGTATAAGCTCGTTCGAAGCAGATCTCCGTGTACCAGGAAATCGTGACGAGTTTCCGTTCTCGCTGCCAAGTCGTCTCTACAGAGTTATTTCCCCCAGTTGTTATTGTGCCGTCCGCGAAGAGTCAGTTTCCCAGTTTGGTGCGACAACCTATCGTCACACAGTGTCTGTTCAGTAATAGATCACAGATGAAGTCATTATGAGGTGACAACAGAAAAACCTGCACACTAGGCACAAGCGAATGTGTCACTAATGTACCTACTGCTCTATAACGTCCTCTGTGATCTATTAATGAACAGACCCACCGTAACGTAGATTACATAGGTTTTATGTAATAAACAAAGCAAAATTTTTCTCATATTGACGTCACTTATCCGTCTGTCCTAACTGATCATAAGTAAAAAAACCCATGGAGATGCCCTGGGAACGACTTACGTGCGCCACTTACCACTCAACGCAATGCACACAAGAAACAAGATAACAGTTTATTCAGAAATAGGACACTGTTCAGCAGCCTAGCTATGATTTTTAAGTGGCGGGGGGGGGCTATGTCCAGATGTAGGGTCCGATATCAGAGAGTAACAGGTTGTCATGTCAACATTTACGTTGGGTAAAAATTTAGATCTTCTCGGATGAGCAGAAAAAATGAAAGGAAATACAGGCCTACAACATGGCGGCACAGATGACTTAAGTACCATGTAAGATAAACAACTTTATTACAGTCTCTCCCAAAGATATTGCCTCAAAGAGTAGTCAAAAGGCTTCAGGACACCTCCTCCCTTACCTTACCCCACCACCATCCCCTACGAATAGCGAGCTTTGTGTCACACATTCAGTTGTCCTGACAACTGAGCACGCTAACATTTTTTTTTTGCGATGGTATTCCCGGCGTTCTTCCATAGTTTGGAGATCACATGTTTTTCCTTTGGTAACTTATTTAAAGCATCTCTAGACACTTAAAATCGTTTCCTTCTCACATCCCACCTATAACAAAATAATCTTTCGCATGCGCCACACTTTCTCATGTGATCTCCGCACTCTCTTGGGATATGTGCCCGTCTTTCATGCACGGGGGTGAAGATTGAAAATTTGAACCGAAATTGTCAAGTCTTTCTAGCGGAATAAACGTGTTATATATTTTGATGTGGAGTTGTTTTAAGGTTAAAAGTTCACTCTCGCGAGCAGATGGCTCAGAATAAGAGGTCTCCGAGAAAGTCACCGTCACTAATCTTGCCTTTTACAAAAAAATTGGCGATTGAACTAAACAATCATCAAAAGTTGAAATGTCCCAGGAGTTGCCCAAGGGGGATGTTCAAGCTTCGAGTTGATCGACGCGTAATTTGCATCGCTTCGGGTGAATCGAAGTGTCGTTCAATCGCAAGCTTATTCTGTCTCGTTTCAGAGTTTGATATTCATTAATTTCATAACGGAGTTTTCTGTGTCATCGTTCCTTTTCGTTTCGTCGAGCCATCGTCGCCGCAAGCGAACCTTTATGTGCATGGTACGGTTGAAGAGCAAAGCTTTCCGTACCCCCATCAACGGTGAGCCGTAGTTTTTATTGGCCGTCTAAAAGATATTCTAAAGTAACGTTTTGAGTTTTAGCCCTTTGTCAGAGCGAATCGGCTGCAAAACAATTTACACTGAGTGAAACAAACTAAAGCGAGGATCGCGTTACAAATGGCGATGTCAAAGTTGTCATAAATGGTCAAGCTCATTTGCGCAATCTTCAAGTTAAAACCTGACGAACAGAAATATGACTAATTCTTGCTCATCAAGCTCATTTTCTTGCCTTAATTTGCTTTTTTTTAAAGAAGTGCGTGATTTTGATGTTGAGTAACTTTTGTTGGGAGTTGGTTCGGAAGTTTTTGCATAGTCACGTCCAACTCTTCAACTTCTACACGGTATGTTGGGAACTTATCCTCGTCTCATTAATTGTCTTTTGTATTACTATCCTCGTCTTATTTACCATCTTTTGTTTCAATTTTTCAGGTGAAAAATTGCCAGAATGAAACGAAATTCATTTGTTCATCTGAAAGCTGTGAGCAAACAAACGAAATGTTAGGCTAAAATGTTCATTTCACCAGGAAGTTGAATAATCACTTATGCGTGACATAGGATTATCTGCTTTCGCGTGGATTTGAGACTCGTCCAAACTAACTTTGCCCAGAACACTTATCTACTAATGAAATCGTAGTCATAATAATAGTAACCATAGGTTAAAATGGCTGGAAACCATAGTCTTTGAAGGTATGGGAAATGGGCGGGAAATTTACTTTTACATTTGAAAGCCGCGAGCAAATCAACGAAATGTTTAGTTCAAAGGTACGTTTCATTAACAGCAATCTCTCCGATAATTTTTTATTCATCCAAAAACCTTGAGCAATGATCCTTTCACCATCAATTTGCATCATTTTGTTGACGACAGCACCGATGCGTGGCATGGCACTGTTTGCTCTCGCATGGATTTGAGACCTGTCTAACTTTTCCATAAGGTCTGGATAGAGGCAGATATCTAACAAATTTAAGAAAATGAAACGACACTATTAAAATTAAAGAAAATGTTTCCACAGCTCCTCCGTCATCTTCAGTTCTGAATAATACAAAGTACAAAGTTGAATTTTAAGTGCGTAACAAAATGCTGATTGGACAAAACAAACAATAGTAACAGAACAATGTATGCACTTACAAGGAAAGTTTCAAATTCTCACGATAAAGTTGGTCACGGTTTCTCCCATTAAATGTGGATAGCTTCTTTGATTTTAAGTTGAAAAGTTGTGGAAGCGTGATCTAGGATGTTAAAACACTCAAAGAGTGCAACATTGGGGAGAATTGTGTAGATGTTCAAAAATGTAAAAGGTTCTATCACTGACCCAGTGCTCACGTACGCGTATGGATAAATGTTGAGAGGTTTCGACGAATAGTGTGTTTCACATCAAACATATTGCCTATTTTAAAAGATGAAAAAACCAACTCAATATCGATGTTGTTACTATAACGCTTAGCAAATTGGCAAACCCCTTTTCACGTGACAACAGAAATAAGGCTAATGTAAGTTAGGACAATTATTACATTTATGCCTTCAACCCTTCCCGAGAGACCGGGCTGCCTGCTTAGGCAGGTTACCCTAGGCGGGTTACCCCACTTAGGCGGGTTACCTCACCTACCTGGGGTCCACCACCTCCATGTGAACAGGCTCTAGGTCGCGAGAACTATCCCTTTGCCATCTCCTTCCAGCAGTGTGTGACGCACCCCTAAATTACCGGTTGATTATGAACTTAGAAAGTGTCATCTCTAGTATTAAGAGTAAACCATAAGTGTATTAACAGCAGACACAAGATGGCATTTAAAGAAAACGTTTGTATGATCAACTGAAGGCCAAACAGTCAAGACATAACAGTGATTATGATCCATCAAAGACTTTTACTATTGTGTATCTATCGTTAGGACTATAGTCATCGTCTGCTTTTAGCAGAGCAAGAGAATTTATATCTTGAGCAGAGAATATAAAATGTATAATCTCCACCCAGATATATTTATCTTACATGTTCACAGGAAAATTTTTTTACTCTTTGATATGGCACTCTCAATCTTGACACCGTTCCTTTGAAAAATCATAATAGACCCCTGAACATTTTCGTATAACTGAACAGTCTCTTACCAACCTCTTCCCAAATGTCAGGCTCCACTAAATCCTTGCGGCGGGGATCACGGACATGTCTTCGTTACCCTCCCGCAAGGAGCTATGCGAGTGTGGGCTCTTGGAACAAGATTTATAACTGAATAAACTACAATCCTGTTGCTCGTGTGCATTACGTCAGGTAGTAAGTCGCGCATATAGGTCATACCCAGGGCATCTCCATCGGTTTTTTACTGATGATCAAATGGAGAACAGACGCGTTGATGACGTCACCATGAACAGCATTTTCCTTTTTTTTTTTCATTGTATTAGATAAATAAATAGAGCCCTGCCGGACTAAGTCTGACTTAAAATTCGAGCTCCCAGTTCACCTTAGGCGGCATCTCAATGATTGTTCCTTATGGAACCAAATTTGTCAAATCCATCAGCTTTTCCATCTTTGAACACCAAAATCTTTTGGCGGTCTCTGATGGTGAGCTAAAGTTATGACAGTGGACTCCTTCAGTTCGTCCCGCACTACATTCCAAATCGTCTCCTCTGTGTCTACATGCGCAGTTGGCTCATCCAAGACAACGATTTTACTTCTCTGTAGCAGCACACGAGCCAAGAAAATTAACTGCCGCTCTCCCACACTGACATTAGCGCCATGTTCCAGCAATTCGTGATCCAGCTTGGCCTCAGGGGCCTCCCCAAAATCTTTCAGTTGCACATTCTCTAAAACCTGCCATAATTAAGTGTCTTGAAACTTGTCTAAAATGTCGAGATTTTTCCTCAATGATCCACTAAAAAGAATAGGACATTGGCTAAGAACCGAGATACCTCGTCGGACTTGTTGGAGGCCAATGTCTTTAACTGGAACATCGTCGATGATTATCTCTCCATCAGCATCAGGCATGCGCATAAGAACTGCTAAAAAAGATGACTTTTGTTGAAGGCCTAATTATTTGCTAGACATAAGTCGAGAAGCATTGGCCGCAAACCATTTTACTGATGAAAAAAATGGCATCAAATGACAGCTGGCAAAACAATAAGTTGACCAAACCTCTCCATATTTGACTGGCTCAGACTCTTAAGTACGATAAATTTTGGAAAAATTCGATAACATTATACTTGTGTCATCAGTGATGGACTTAACAAGTCATGAACCAAATTACAGACTTGGATAAGGGAGTCCGCTGACTTATAAACCAGACAGTTTGCAGGCTCGGATACAAATTTGTTGTCTTTTCATGCCTGCATAGACCTTGTTAGCATGCACCTTTTGGTTACCAATTCGGACCTCGTGACAGCACTCCAGAGAGTTATTACTTTCAAATTCTCAAATATCTGCCTGAGTATATGAATATGGACAAATCATTTTTCTCCCCATGAGAACATAAGTGCGACAATTATGTTCTCTTGACCTTGAAATGCATGCAACAGATCCGAAAAACGAATAAGGTATTGGATGTGTCTGTATCGAATCATATACTCCGTGACTTACATTTAACAGGTGTAAATGCAAAGAAGCTGCTGAACAACACATTATCACAAATCACCGGCTCAGATTGCCAATCACAAAACAGACATTCAACAAAAATCTGGAGTATGTCATGAAACATTTCACGAGTATGTGAAAATCATCAGAGGTTAACAAAGTATTGGTTGAGGAATTTGAAAGGACGAAAGGATCTGGTGCGGGGATGTTGGCTTCCTTACTGAAAGACAACTTTTTAGGAGTCGAGCTAAAATACAACTATTCTAAACATGGACAAAAGTCATTATCGCCGAAAGTTTCTTGATAAGGCGAAGCTGAAACCTATCAGAGCCAGAGGCGTTTATGTTAGGCACCAGATAGATTTGATAGGTAAGAGCAAAAAAGGATCCGTGAAGATGAATGGACACTTGTACAGATACTTTCCTACAGGGATTGATGCTTTCAGCCGTTTCCTTTTGCTTCGTCCTTTGGAAAGCAAATCAAGCCAGGTTATTGCAAGTGAATTGGAATCTATTTATATGGAGCATGGATCGCCAGAAATAATCCAGCGCAACCAAGGAGGGAAGTTCAAGTAAGCCTTGAAATTACTTTGCGATCGCGTGAAAATAAAATTGATTTACAGTCACCCACGCCATCCCCAATCCCAAGGCAAGGTAGAACGTTGCCAGAGGACACTAAATATGACCTTCAAAAAACGGGTCAAGACGGTGTAAACTGGGCGAAACAGCTCCCTCTTTATCAAAGAATTCTAAATAATGACCCTAAGGAAGTGATAGCTTACAAAACATCATTCGAAATATACAATGCACGAAAGTGCAACGCCTTCAGAGAGATCTGATTACAAGGCGAAATCCTTCCTAGTGCTGGGAGGGTTTAGACTGACCGTAATCGGCGTTCCCGGCAAGCTTTAAAACTACAAAAGCAAGCTAAAAAAGCAGCGAGCAGATGTGACAAGCGGATGCAGCGCACACAACTTCGCTTAAATCCGCCCTTGGTTTACAGCATCGGAGAAAAAGTGTATATACGTTTGAGAGGGAAACCATTGAATAAACAGCATGTGACGGAGGGTCGTATCGACAAACGAAAGATCAAGTTGCATAACTATAAGGTTTCATACGCCTCACCACTTTCAGGAAAGGAAGAAAGGAAATGGGTCTCTGTAGACGATGTCACAAGCCTATAACACTAGAGCAAGAAAAACAGAAACAAAAATGCGCCAAGCTGTCTAAAAAGAAAAAAAATTGACCACTACAAAAAGTACAACATACCTATGAGACGATTATGCAAAGGCTATGGAAGATCAGGGTTTAAATTGGTTTACAATTCTCCTGGAGATTGCAACTGCCAGTTCCCTGCACTATCGCACCAGGCAAAGATACTAGGCATTTTGAGATCTCCTGAAACCGCGAGGAAAGAAATAGTAGAGTACTTAAAAAGTAATCCGTACTATAGCGATGGCTTCCCACTTTTGGAGCATTTGGCAGATGATGAGTTCGCTCGCTGGGACGACTATATAACTCATATGGCGCGAGATGGGACCTATGGAGATCAGATTACATTGTATGCAGCAGCAAACTTGTAAAATATCGACATCCAAATAGTTTCCTCTGTAGGAGTCGGTGGGCAGCATGTGTTCAGTCCGTCAGCAAGTGTTTCAGCAGCTACCGTGTACCTTGGACATTTTGCTGAGAACCAAGGCGAACACTATGTGAGCTTGGAACAAGTTGCAGATCACAACGAGGCTAGTGAAAAAGAATACGATACAAATGACCCAGAAGAAGGGTCTATTTAAATTTTCGAGGATTATGCAAATAAATGCACATAGAGCAGGACGTCGTTGATTTTGAAACGGGTGACACTGACGCAAAAAGTGGACCTGACAGTATCGTCGGCATTGGTGACCACACGCACATTGCTATAGATATAGCTAAGGGACTTACTCATGGAAGTCGAACAAACGAGACGGAGTCTGAATTGCAAAATGAAGTCGACAATGGTGTAGCCAATGATGGTGATAAGCTGATGGAGGTTCAGTCTGTTTCAGATGTGCATATCGACCTATGTGCGATGAGAGGAAATGACGAATGTCACATTGGAATCTTCCCAATGAAGTTCTAGAAAAAATCTTAGAAACAGTGTTAGCGTCATCGGCCATCCTGTTTGCTGGTAATGCATGCCACACATGCCAAACATTACGCAAAGTTAATACACGATTCAGGACGCTGGTGCGACGTCTGAAACGATTTTTTCCCATGCTTCACGTTTCTGGTGGATTGAAGTCTTGTTTAATCAGTGCTCGAAGCCTTTTTACAAAGTATGGTCCTTTAAGCGGTCTAATGATCGAGCTTAAGAAAATCATTTCCAGTCCAAAGTACGCTAATGCTTGGCTGGAAGTTCAAGCGGATGAACTCGATTGGTAAGTAATCATAATGATTTTTTGGAAAAGAAATTGACTACAACTGATGATAAACTAGCATACTATCGTTCATGTAATCGTTCATGTTAAAGTCGTTAGTAGTGATGCACCATTTTAGAGCAGTTTGAATGATTTTGCGGTGTCACATATTAATCCAAAAGAAAAGCGTTGTTGTCAGTAGTGTTACTGAAATTTTGCACATCACTGTTATTCAGTTTCAATTGATTTTAATGAAGCATTTGAGTTCATATTTAAGAGTGACTATCTTGATTTATTCAATTTTGAATCTGGGATATGGCTTGACACCACCTTGGTAATCAGTTCATGTACCATATGACTATAAGTGTAAACTTTTGAGCTTTCTTTTTTCATTTATTTATCTATTCATCATGAAGACAAAAAATTAAATAAAAACTTGAGATTGACTGTGGTATATATGTTTTCCCGATATTTCGGTTCGGGAACTGATGCACCCGTCTTAAGGGGCCAAAGGAAAAAAATGAATGGTTCATTAGACCATCAACTGACCATCATGTGTTGAAAGCTGTAGCTCAAGAGTTCAATTTGACTCTTGCGTGGAAAAAAGCAACATGTCGAGACCTGTAATTGTGAAATGGAATAAGTTATGATTGGTCAGTAGATATCTAGCTCTGTAAGTCACTTTTATCATAGAGCTAGCAGCGCGCGCGGGCAGGATGAAGTGAATCCTGTGTTCTGATTGGATACTTGAGCGGGCAAGATGAGCCCACCCTCGCTCGCTCAGGATTCCCCGTAGTCATACCTCACAAAGTTCGTAACTTTTGGACACTGTCGGCATATACATAGAAAAAGTTAAACGACCCTCTTGGGTTTATTGTGCTACAAAAACAGTTGGCTTTCACTCTCGGCTCTCGAAATAAACAAGTCCTTCTTGATTCTTATCAAAGCGAAATCTTTCACTACACAACGAATCCTTTAATGTTTAAGTCAAGAGAACATAAACTCTCTTGATCGAGCTTGTTCGGTCAAGATGACTGGATATTAGCCTCGTTCTTTTTCTACTTTTTTTGGACCGAGACTTCGTCTCAGTTTTTAAAAATGCAAAAAAAAGAATCGGCCAATATCCAGCCATTTTGACCTCATGCTTGGTCTATAACGCATATGAATATATTTCATGAAGACCCGTACAAATCTGACAAGGGAAGACGGTGAAAAAATGCACTTCTAAGCCCGGAATTTGTCAGACGTATAGGTCAGTGGACTTCCTTTTTCTTGTAATTCGGTTCATGAAGTGTTAACTTCAGCACTGATCACACAAGTATATCGTCAAAATCTGTTGCGCTAAATAGTCTGAGCCCATGATATAAAGAGAGGTATTGGTCAGCGTTTTCATTGTTTTTGCGTCTGTCGATTTGATGCCAAAAGCACATCAGTATAGGGTTTTGTAGCCAATGCTTCTCACTTTTTGTCTTTAGCAAATAAAATGACGCAGATTAATATCAGTGAGCCCGCAAAATGCCATGAATATTGGTCAGAGGATTCTTTGGTGCAACAGCTGTCACTTTAAAACATCTCAACGTGGATATCTGCTATAACAAAAATGCACTAGCGCAGTTAAACGATTGCATTGGAGGCTTATTACATTCAGGACCAAACGCTATTACATTAGGGACTTTATAACATTTAGGACCAAATGGTTTTATATTTAGGACTTTATTACATTAAAGACAGTTATTACATTTAGGACTTCAACACTGGCAATCCCAGCGTTCTTCTATAGTGTGCAGATCACATACTTTCCCTTTAGTAACTTATTTAAAACATCTCTAGACACTTAAAATCGTACAAGATTTTCCTTCTCACATCCCGCCTTTTAAAAAATGATCTTGCGCATGCACCATATTTTCATATGTGATTTCCACACTCTATTCGGATATATTGTTATGGGAAAATTTACTGACTTTTCTGTGTGGTGTTATCCGGAACATATTTATTCGTAAACCCCTACATTTAACTATTTCCAGTCCTTTCATTTCAGTAAATCAAAAAAAATGTATAAAAACCACAGTAGCTTTTGGAATAGATTTTTCTTGTTACTCGCTTTCACTATGCACCTGCATGTCGGTGCTTTTGTTCATCATTACGAGTGAAATTTTAGGTAAATATAAGTGTCAATGGTCTTTCTGGAAACGTTGGTTTTCAGGGTAGATAGCAGCTGAGTCTACACTCATATCTTTAATTTCTTTTCATACGATAGTCTCCACACCAACTTTGCATAGACAAGCAGAAACTTTTGCTTTTCCGTTTTTAACTAGTGAATTGCGCGCATGCGCAAGAGCGAGTTATAGATACGATGTGGGGAATGGCATTCGCTCGCTCGCTCGCTCGCTGGATTGGTCGATTCCTGTAAACTTTTTTTTTTAGATTTTAGGCTTTTGAATGCATTTGATAGTTTTTGGCGAGCAATAAACAGACGAAATGGCGACCTTTGTTGCTAAGAATAGTGGAGGGGTGAAAAAGAAGCCAATGATAATCTTAAAAGAGTTTTTTTTTTTCGTTTTAGTTTCAACAAGCGGCACCAGCGACTGGCAGGCATGAAAGGATTTACACTAAAATAACAGAACAACCTTCGTTTTTCATAAAATTGTAATTTACAACCCTTGAACTTGAAAACAATCGGAAGATTCATTGAAAATATCACTTACTGCGAAGCGCTCGGAGTTTACAGATGTTCAAAAGCTTTTTCTGTTATGGCGTGAGGTTGAGGACAAAACTGATCATTACGTTTCGTCGCGTGAGTTTTTCCTGTGTGAAGTAACAGAAGATGCCGGCGACTGACGAAATTACAAGTTAACACGAAAATCAAATAACACCTAAACAAACAATTTTACTGCTACCGATTTTCAGTGAATTTTTAAAGAACAATTTTCTTTTAAGTTTCAAGACAATTTGAAGATTCAACATACATACAACGTACTAAAATGCGAAAGTTACACGCCACAAAATTGATAAATAGGCCTGAAATGAAATTCAATCTTGTTATTGATTATACATTGCCTAGCGGCACGTGACTTAAATCTACCCAGGCGGAGATCCAAAATGAAGGTGGCAGGCTTGGCTTAGTTATATCACTCAAAACTCGTTCTCGTTTGTCTCATTTGATAAAGAGGGAATCGTTAATGTTTTCATTAAGACAGTATTGCCTTGATTTTCTTATATTTACAACGAAAGACAGTAAATTTCACTTTTCACCCACATTTACTTCCAACCTTTTCTTTCAGTTGAGCCAGAAACAGAAATGATATACGTTTAAAACACATGATATCATCCACCCTTGTCAAATGCAATAGTATGATCATTTCAATTTTAATGCCTTCTTATCCCAAAGTTACTTTGTTTCTTTGCTACATTAGCGAACACTGAACCACTGCTCGTACTCTAGATATGACAATCAATCACAAAATTCCCTAAACCAGGTAACATTAAAAATAATCCAAAAAATCATGTGTCAACTCACGTGCTTGCTCACAGAGCACTTTGATTGTTTTTGTAATTATGATTTAACGCATTTTTCCATCTTTAAGGGCTATTGTGCTTATATGATAAACAAGATAATACATGGTTGCTTGTAGATATGGAATTTCTCCTCTCGTGTTCAATTTGACATCTCACTCGTTCGCTGCGCTCATTCGTGAGCTATCGAGGTAAACACTCGAAGAGAAACTCCATATCTACGCACGTCCATGTATTATTCTCTATTTATCACATAAACTGTGGTGTTTTACAGGGATTTCCGGCCCTGAGAAAAGTCGTAGCAACACACTTGAAAAAATACGATATTTTTTCACGTGTGTTGATATTTAATCAGCTGCCAAGTCACTCGCCCTTGGCGCCACTCGGTCAGGTTGATGAATGAACGGCAAAGTTTTCTCGACTAGTTGTTTGGAGCTTTCTTGAATTATGGCGGCAAAAAATTCCGTATCGCTGACAGACAACGAGGTTCAAACTTTCCTAGAAGATAAAGAAAACCAATATAATAAAAGAAAAACCGAAAGTTACGTATTCAGTGACTTTGGTGTTAGCATTTCTTTCGGCTGAGAACGAAAATCGACAACTGGAAGATTTCCCACTGGCCGATATTGGCCGTTTACCTGAAAGACTTCTTTTGTCGGTAAGGACAAAGTCAATAAATGAGAATTTGGTAAATTAAAAATATCGACCATATTTGTTTTAGTAATCATGATTCAACGCGTTTTTCCATCTTAAGAGGTAGCGCCAACGCACTTTACGATTGTATTTGGGGATTGTCGATTCCTTTATTTTCATTCATTATTGAAGTCGGCTTTTCTTGTCAGTAAAGGGCTATTGTGTTTAAGTGTTCAACTATTGTGTTTGAGTGTTTAACTCGACATCTCACTCGTTCGCTGCGCTCACTCTTGAGCTATCGAGTTGAACACTCGAAGAGAAATTCCATATCTACTCGCGCTCATGTATTATTCTCTATTTAACTGACTAACTTAGACATACCATGAGGTATCTACCTCCAACACATCAGGAAAGCCCAAATTGAAAAAATAATCATACAAGAATAAACAATTCTCTATAGAATATAGGGATGCATTCCTTTGGGATGATCCAGACCAGGATTTTTGATTCGAGTTCACTGGGATCATGCTACACTCGAACAGTAAAAAAAAAAACAGAAATTGGTCTATTATTAGTAAACAGAAAGGAGTCACAAGATTTTAAAGAGAGGAATAACTTGTGCTGTTCTCATTTGATCAGAATGCATTAGAGATGATCATGAAGGTACATGGTTGAGTACATCTTTTGTTTCTTCGACAATATTCGTGACAATTTTCATTAAAGTCCAATACTTGTGCAGTTCTCTGATAAATACATCAATAGTAAAAACGATCGATTGCCTTTGGGATTCCAGTTGTATTTTAGAAAAAGCGTGGGGTTAGCCACTGAACAATCTCTCCCAAAAGTTCCCTTTTTCGTCTATAAAACATCAAGCAAAACCTTAAAATAATTTGCAATGATCATCTCACCATTAATTTGCATCATTTTGTTGACGACAGCGCCGATGCGTGACATGGTGCAGTTTGCTCTCGCACGGATTTGAGACCCGCCTAACTTTCTTCACCAAATGAATCTATCTACTGTCGAACCTGTATTGAGCAGTTACCCTGTATTAAGCTGTCGCTTTCCATAGTCCGGAAAATTTTCCCCATTAATGACTTTTATTTTAACCTCCATTGACCGGCCACCTCTATAGAAGTGTTCGTGGTCACACTGAGGTCCCAAAGGGCTTTTTCTAGAGTTCCCCACCTGTATCAAACGGTCACTTGAAGTGCAAATTGCAACCACTGAAATAAAACTGAGAAAAATCTCTCAAGTAAACTTGAATCCACGATTATCTCCCTAAATCAATGTAAACAAAGGGGTCTATTGTCGTTTTCCATAATGCTCCTTTTCTGTGGAACCTGTATTCAGTGGTCAACCTGTTGTAAACGGTAACCCCGTTATTCCCCGTGGGTAACCACTAAATACTGGTCCCACTCAGTATCTTAAATTGCGAATTCACTGCGTTAAGGTTTTATGTAAGTATACAAGCTATATTTTGATAACTGTTTCGTAAACAGATAACATGACACGGTCCGTGAAGCGTGAACTGTAAGCAACACGCAATGTAAAAAAAGGGCGATCAGTAAATGATTCAGCCCTTTTCCACGATTGCTGGTTTGGTTACATACAGCTTAAGTCAGTGATCAAATGATAAATTGCTAGTAATTGTGTGCCTAGCTCACTTGTAAAGATTTTATATTCAATATCAAACCGACGTTAAGGTCATAAATTCATTCGTAACTTCATTTGACCGCTAACAATTAAGACAGTGCTATCATTTATATCATAGCAAGCAAAGAGGGATCTTTTAAACGCATCCAAGGTTAAATGCGGAGCCTACAAAGTTGGCTTGCTCTTGGTAAGTTTATCATAGTCATTAACATTTTGTTGAAGACCCCTCGCCATAATAAAAATTTTCGTCGCAGGCATTAATCAAAGGGATGAATTAGCGCTGAAAGTTACGGGTCTTCAAGGTGCTTAGTTTCTGTGTTTGTGCATTGAATATACTTCACTCTCAAAATGCATCCCAGCAAAAGGGAGTACAATGACGTCTATGGTATAACGGAGAAACCTTAGGAAAAGCGTACGGTGAGTTATAATCCTTCCCGTGGAAAGTAGTGATTCTTCTGGAGGCTTATGTCACTTTTGAGGAACGTCTTTGTTGTAAATTATTCTTATGTGAGGTTAAGAGTCCAGAATCAGTGCAAGTCAAGCTAAGTGCGATTGAAATTAAGGTCCAGTTTACTCCACTCTTAGAAAACTTTGAGCAGGACTTCAGACTTTTAATGAACGATTTGTCAAACTTATTTAGAACGAAAGAATCTATGGCGCGGAACCATTCAGATAACAACTAAAGTCGAAAATTTCAATATGAACCATTAATTAAAGTTATGTTGTGGTCCATCTTCATTGGACAAAATTTCCAGACAACATTACCAATTTATTTCTAAACCAAAAAAAAAAAGCTTAATCTTTAGATGTTAAGTCTCAAGAGCTTAAAAATTGAAAGAGCATTGATGTTGTCGTATTTACTAGCTCGGAGAATTTGTTTACTAAAAAGCCCTCTTCATTTTTGGAATCGCTTGACATTTCTAAACAATGACTCTAATACTCTTCAGAGGTTTTAAGGAACCATCTAGTGGCACTTTAATTTGGAGAAAATCTCCGACTGCCGGGCCTTTTCGAGACCGTGCCCGGCAGTCTGATCAGGAGCGTCAACAACCGAGTAATAATATTGTAGTGTGCACAAGCTCGAAGAAATTGTCCACAAAAAAAACCAAGTTAATTTTTGGAATCCCGTAACATTTCTAAGCAAACATCTGATATTACTAGGAAGTTTGAAAGAACCTTAATTTCGGTGGGAATTCTGTGAAAAATTCTGCGACTGCCGTGCATTTCATCTTCTTGGGAGCGTGTCCGGCTGTCAGGCATCTAGTCATAGCGTTTTCGAAAAGCTCCGTTTTCAACTTCTTTTCTTTTCTCAGAGTTTTAAAACTTATTTTGAAAATGCGCTTTCAAAACTTTCAAAACAAGTCCCCTTTTATTCAGCGTGGTGAAGACAGGGCTCTTGGGAAATTTTGTGATCCTCTCGTTTCAAAATTCGACATGTCTTATTGTACAGGGACATCGATCGTCTGGCGCTTTGTTGGCTCGAGAATTTCGACTGTTAGATTTCGTGACATACTGGTAAGTTCATTCATGACCTATCACGCAATCGACTTCGATAGGTATCCAATTTTTACCAGTATTGTGCTGTTATTTTTAGTCTGAAAAAAAAAATTACATTTTCTTGCTTATGAAATTTTATTTTTCGCCTTGTTAAATGGAAGTCAAAAAAATTTGCTAAGAACTGGTTTTTGACTGGATTATAAGCAGCAGTAAACAACAAACGAGTGCCTTTTTTTATTTCTGCTCCCGCTTTCCGCCCTCAGATAGTTCCTGCTTCCCGCCCTCTCCCGTCCTCAGTTCTCCGTCCCATTGTCCCCCTCCACTCCAACTTTTACTGATTCTTCTGTCACCGTGCAAGGTACTCTCTATTACCCAAAATCGTTTGTTTGGACTTTATTTGTGACATTGTGATCTTCTCATTTTCTAGGACAAATGATAGAAATTTTTATTACATGTTGATCATTTTGTGGAATACTCTCGAACTGGTTTTGGCTCTCCATCAAAGGACTAGTAATTATTCAAATTTGTCTTAGATATGACAGAGAGTGTTTTCAAACTGTTTTCAAAAAAACTGGCTTCGTGACCGATGAAACCCACTCGGTGTCTGTGGTTTCTCAGGTCTCAAGATCTCGTGTGTGATTAGTTACAACTATTGATTTATTTTTGTGACTAATAAGTTTGTCATGTATCCGACAAGTTCTTGCTTAGAGGAGACAAAAAGGAAAGCGGGATGGCAAAAATTGTGGAAACTCCATTCGGAATGAAAAGTTGGTTCCATGCCGCTTCCTGAAATAATTGCAAGATATTGTTTACCCGTTATTTAGTTTCTATCTAAAGGGGGCCTGGAACTCACAAGGCTCACCCAGGCAAGGTGATCCATTTTGGCCGGCCGCGTGCAAATTTCCCGCGCAAATTTTAAACAAAAACAAGGGTAGTAACCGCTGTCACGCAAACTATGCCAAAAAAAATTAAACGTTCATAAAAAGCAGAGAAAGGAAAACTCGACACTCTCCGAGCACAAAGCTTATTCAATGACGGTTATTTACCATTTTGTTGTAAGCTATATCATTCTAGGCTATATAAAAATCATGGGGTCCTACAAAACGCCGTGACTTATTGGATTTTATGTAAGTTTACAACTCCTAAAGAGCAAGTTGGTTCTGAAATCCTGAAAAAACACGCGAAGACATTTGACCATTGCGTTGAACATGCTAATGATGGCTAAGTATTTTGTAGGTCTCAAGTGATGGCACCAAAAGGCGGTTACAGGAGAATCTCTGGTGATGACGATAAAAAAGTTGGTTTTGCGTCTTCTCTTTTTTTCCGTTGGATGAACGGAGTCTTAAAGAAGGGCAGTCAAAGACCTTTGGATCAAAATGACTTTTTACCCTTGTCAGAGGAGAACTCTGGCCATTTTGTTACCGACAGGCTTCGAAAAAGCTGGGAAAGCGAGAAACGTCATTGCAAGGTGAATGGGAAAAGGCCCAGACTTTGGAAAAGCGTGTTTGATATGCTGTCTGCCAAAGATGTTACCATCATTTTGACGGGGAATATATTGTATACAACTTCTCGCCTTCTCTTTCCACTGTTTCTTGGGTATCTTGTTTCTAAGCTTATGTCAACTGAGGCAGAGAATAATTATCAACTCTACACCTGCGCGTTAGCTATGTGTCTCAATGGTTTGATCGGTGGTCTTGGTATGCACCAGCAAGACTACAGATGTGAAACATTGGGGATCAAAATAGGAAGCGCCCTGAGGGGACTGGTGTACCAAAAGGTAGGCACGATCCAAAAGAGTATTCTATACATTTTTCAAAGGCTCAACCGATTTTTCTAATACCCTAAACACCCCAAATTAAGCCGAACAAGCATTTATCAATCCGATACAGAATGATTTTTTTCCAGAAATCTTTGCAATCCTGCTCATCAACAAAAAAATCAAAGAAGCAAACAGTTGTTTAGCCTGCAGTTAACGGGAAGTAGGCTACAGAAACCATAATGTATTCGGCTGTGCTTTTGAGCGAGATTCAAAATGGCGTCTGAGTTGTCGCTCTTTTAACAAACTAGAAGAGAATTTAGTAGAGACTTAATTACTCTTGTCTCGAGACGCAGCCACGAATATCTTTATGCCGGAGATTAAAATGAGATGGTTTGTGGAACATCCTTCTTCTTTAATGTCTAATCTGTACTCTCTTTCAGACGCTTCTACTCAGCAAGCAGACGTTACTGAAGTTTACTGCAGGACGCTTATTTGACCTGATATCCAATGATGTTAAAAGAATGGAAGAAGAGACAGTCAAGTTTTTTGTCTTAGCCGTTTTCGCAGTTTCTGCATATGTAGGGGCAATATTCCTTATCTACAATTTGATTGGTTGGCAGGCTGTTACGGGTGTGTTCCTCCTGTGTATTCTCATGCCATACCTTGCCGTCTTGTCTTATGCCAATGCTAAGCTGCGTCTGCGCACAGCTACAGTATCGGATCAGCGAATCTCCCTAATGAATCAAGTAGTTTCCGGGATCCGCGCGGTCAAAACGCATGCGTGGGAGGAGGAATATGGACGAAAGATAAAACATGTAAGAAGGTAAGGTAAATTATCATTTTTAATCAGAAGTTGGCTCAAACAACTCGGTTCGTTCATTTCCGTAATTGTTGACCCAAATTATTCAAAACTGGGAAATAGATAACCACAAATCTGTTTTGTCTCCTCTGAGAGCTCGTAAGCTAGGCAGTTTAAACATGCCCTTGCCCCCGAACAAAAGAACCTTTAGACCGCTGCTTGAGCCAATCACAATGCCTCTCTTCACAAAGAATAAGTGTCTCATGTAACCCATTTGATAACCGGAGGATTGGCTGCTTGGTTAAATAATATCAGGATATACTGAGTAGAGAGTGTGGAATGAGCGCCCTAAATGATTGCTCAAACTTCGAATATCCCTTGCAATTCATCTTCGAGAGACTCGCGCGAGATTTCCACCCTAAAGAGAATAATTGTTCATTATTATAGGTAGAACATCTCATTGAGTCTAACTTGTCTTCAGTTAGTATTATTTTTCATGCGCTGTCGTAGGGTCGCGAAAGACGCACTTAAACAAAGAAGTGAACGATGAGAAAGGGTGCGCTTCCCGCCGGCTCATCTCGTTAATATTTCAAATTAGAGAGAACACTGACGAAGAGTTGGTACGATAGAATACCCACATAACTTATGATCAACTTTTATCGTCAGAAATGAAATCAGCGTCATTTCGAAGAGGACAGCCATTCAGTCAAGTATCGATGCCTTGTCAATCAGTGCAACGCCACTAGCCACCCTGGTGTCAGTAATTACTATGGTACTTACAGGCTACACCCTCACGCCCGCCAATGTTTTTATGCTGTTGTCGTTTATGGGTGTTTTAAAATCGAGTGGCATGATAGATATGACATCTGGTTTAATGGCAACGTATGACGCCTACGTTTCACTCGGAAGAATCGAAGAATTTCTTCTTTTGGAAAATATGTTGGAAGCCTCTGAGAGTGATGAAAGCAACGAGCCCCAACAAAAAGCGAGGAGTACCCCAAGTAACCAAAGTCGCAGTTATTTGAAAAAAGAAGAGAAAAATACGGAGAATGTCCCCCTCTCTCGTCAACCAACAGAATTAGGGCCAACTAAACTATGTGTGTCAAATTTAAGCTTCGCAAAAACGCATCGTGAAGATGAATTCATTCTTCAGGATATCAACTTTTTTGCACCTTCAAAGAGTTTAACAGTCATCACTGGCCCGGTTGGAACTGGTAAGTCTACTCTGCTCTCAGCGATCGCTGGTGAAGTTTTGAACACCAGTGGGACTATTGATTGTCAAGGTTCTGTCATTTATTTGCCTCAGACTACTTGGGTGTTCTCGGGAACGATAAAAGAAAATATTCTGTTTGGTCAACCCTTCGAGGAGTCCAAGTTCGAAAGAATAATCGACGTCTGCGCTCTAAAAGAAGACTTTCAGCGGTTACCTGATGGTGACCAAACAGTTGTTGGAGAACGCGGTGAGGTTCTTAGTGGAGGACAACAGGCGAGAGTAAGTTTAGCTCGTGCAGTTTATGCTGACGGAGATATTTATCTACTGGATGATCCACTGAGTGCTGTTGATTTTAAAGTTGGCAAACACATCTTCAACAAGTGCATCAAAGATCTACTAGGCGAGAAAATCGTTCTGTTAGCCTCTCATCAGCAACAGCACATGGAAAATGCTGATCAAGTGATAGTGTTGTACAAAGGGCGTGTCCTCGACAAGGGACGCTTTACTGAGCTGCACGAAAAAGGTGTAATCAATTCAACTGTTGACCCGCTCTATAAAGCAGCTCTGAAGGACAGAAAAGACTTATCTGATACCTTTGCCTGGGAAAATACAAAGAAACACCAGGATGCTGAAAAATGCCAGAAAATACATGCTCGGCCCAATGAAGCGAGGAGTTTGGAGATAGCAAAGGAGGATCGTACAATCGGAGTTGTGACATCCAAGCTTTATTGGGACTATTTCAGAAGTGGAGCACATCCTTTGATGATAACTGGAATGGTTGGTTTAAGTCTCATTACTCAAGGTAAACTTATTGTTAGAGTGACGTAGAAACCTTGGATCAGGCCCTGAAAGGGAATACAGCAACCTTTTCTGAATCACTTCACAATAGCTATACTTTTGGTTTTAGTTTAGATGGCAGAGTTAAGAGACACTGCACAAAATTTTGACCATGTTCCCGATATCTCACTTGCTCGTACAAGCGCGAGTGAATGGCGAGTCACGCGCGAAAGGAAGAGCTGGTGTCATGCTCCTCGCGTTTGACTTGCCTTTGCCTCCATTTGCCTGAAAAAGATAAAAAAAAAACTCGTTTGTAACTAATTTTCGGAGACCAAATGCAGTTTTCTAACAATTTTTAAGTGAAATATGGTTGACTGTTTCATCTATTCTGTTACATTGTGGTGCTTACATAAACATTCCCAAGATACAAGCGTAAATAGCTAACCCGGGCGAGTTGTGTCTAGGCACAACAAATCTTACAATGTTTAACTAACTGATCAGAAAGAAATACCTTTCAACCACCACCTCTTGATCTTATCTCTTTCAGCCATCATAGCTGCTCCAGACTTGTGGCTCTGGTTTCTTGCAAACCTAAACCAAGAGGATCAGAAGAACAAGACTTATCTATCTGTCTTCGCCTGTCTGGTTGGCGCGTGTTTTATATTTATTATAGTTCGAGCTTATGGACTCTTTCATGTTTGTCTGAAGTGCGCTGAGCGTCTTCACGATAAAATGGTTGTGGCCATTTTACGGGCACCTGTCCTGTTCTTTGATTCTAATCCAGTGGGAAGAATCCTAAATCGCTTCTCCAATGATATTGGCTGCGTAGATGAGTTGTTACCCAAAACATTCCTGGCGGCAATGCAGAGGCTCTTGGAGATATCTGCCCTAATTCTGGTAACAGCTGCCACAAATGTTTGGCTGGTGTTTCTTGTTGTTCCAATTTCCGTGCTGGTCGTTTTTCTATCCAATTATTACTTGAAGACTGCCAGAGAACTAAAGAGGTTAGAGTCGATATCCCGAAGCCCCGTGTTCGCTCATTTTTCGGAGACCCTGATAGGACTGGACACGATTCGTACGAGAGGAAAACAGACAGATTTTGTGGATACACTTTACAGGTATGTTGGAGACATTGATGCAGTGTGTGGTGCCAGAGCCAATAAATGCACAGGTCACAAATCAGTCATAATTTCTTATTTTCTGTGAGCTATTTATTTTTCATTGACTGCCATTACACGCAAATGCATCACGCTTCTTTTCTAATTATACTTGATGTGTGCTGAGACACTGTTTAGCAAGTGGACCTTCTGTATACGAGGCACGGTCGCGAAACGAAGCTATCCAAAATACACACGAAGGGCATTATCCGTGTTAAGACTACAGTAATTGCTCTCTGTGGTTTTCACCCTTCTGATAGGATTTTAACAGACCCATAATATGAACGGTCAATCAATATGTGGAAAAGTATCCATATCGAAAACAGATTCGGCTCTAAAGGCTCCTCCTTCATTTTGACGAGTATAGCATACTTAAGACTGAGATGTGGTTACGGAAGCGATCTTTCAGACAGTTAGCCAGAAGACAGCTTACAGATGCTTTTTGGGAACTAAGATTTTTCTGAGGGGATGGGGGTCGGGTGGAATTGGAATCTGATAGGATTTCAACAGCCCCTTAATATGAAAGGTCAATCGACAAGATCGCGTAATGTGGAAATTCAATGATTAATCAAAACTCTAACAAATTTATCGAACTTTATTGGTTTTCGCCAGCCCGATTTGAGCACTAATAGCACAGAGTGTCATGCTTGTAATTGGACTGTGTAATAGGACAGTTGACAATTCATGCCTGTGTGTAAGTGTATGCGCGCGCTGTTGTCACGCATTTCGACGCATTTTTTTTTATGAAAACGTATAAGTGATGTTTAGTTTCTTTCTCTAATTTTGTTATAGTTATAATTTATTGGTAAGAGAACTTCTTGACGTCCAATTCCGTCTTTAATCCCACTCGTGATTAAAAAATCAGACTCCCGCTTTGCAGTCGTCTGCTATTGTTAATCAATTAGTTACGGACCGAATTGCTTTCCACTCAGTCCTATTACCATTATTAGTTTAACAGGAAATACAGGCAAGTGCCATTCGTCTTCTCCTTCTGATAACTGTTATACTTAGTAAACAACATGTAATTGTGATAGTGAATTTGTTGAGGGACTCCGTTACATTGTCAGGCCAAAGAAGACACTGGTCTCACTTCAATGTGCAGACCCGATGTAATCTGCTTAGAATATTCTTTGGAGTGATTATCTTAAAAAGAAAATACAATTGAATAGCAACAAATCAGCCAGAACAAAAGAAAAGATCACAATTAGTAACAGAGGAATTGAGCGCGGGAAAACGCGCACGACCGATGGGCGGTTAGTTTTGCGCGGATTTGTTGGACCAATCACGAACCAAAGTAATACGAAGTTTATAGATTCTGATTTATTTCGACAGTCAACTAAAAAAATTACTCCATTATTGAAACATATTGTGATAAAAATTCGTCTCCTCAGATATCAAGATATTGATAATCAAGCGTACATTATGGTGATGGCCAGCGGTAGGTGGCTCGGTGCACGTTTGGATTCCCTCGCTTCCTTGTTAGTCGGTGCAGTTGCTCTGGCTGCAATCTTGGTATCTCAAGATGCCGGTAAGCTCAAGATTCTTACTATCGTTTTAGTCTTTCTATGTAAAGTACGAATTTATATAGTCGTGTATTAACACAGCATGAACTACTGACTAATAAAATAGGTGTGAAAATGCTCTGAAAATATTGCACTCTTATTATCAACGGGTGGTTTATAAACACGACAGAAACGCAAGAGTCTCTCAGGTGGCTTAAGTGCTGAGTAAACTTTCAAGTGGGTTGGATGATTCAAAACGGGACACTTGTGTTGATAACTCCTCTGCACCTACTTAGTTTGGAGTCAAAACAACAACACTAAGAAAGACGTAAAAAAGACGCGTTATATATTCCCTCCCATAAAGAGACTGCCTGGACCAGGCTAAGTAACCTAGCCTCGTATATCCTTTGAGCTATCAAGAGAAAACTAGTCCGGAATTTATAAATTCATGGTCCAATTCTTTTTCAGCTTACGCTGGTCTCGCTCTTGTTTACGTCATCCAAACTCTGACCATGACTCAATACGCTGTTAGAAAAACCTCTGAAGTGGAAAATTACATGACGTCAGTTGAGCGAGTTATAACCTATACCAAACTTGACCGGGAGCCTGGATATGAGGACGAACGAAATCCCCCAGAAGACTGGCCTCGGAGAGGAAGTATTGTGTTGAGAGATGTATCATTGACGTACTATCCGGGGGGACCTCAAGTGCTGAAGAACATCAATCTTAGCATCAAAGGAGGAGCAAAGATCGGAGTTGCCGGCCGTACGGGAGCTGGGAAGTCATCTTTTGTGGCAGCCCTTATGCGCATGCCTGATGCTGACGGAACGATAATCATCGACGATGTTCCGATTAAAGAGATAGGACTCCAACAAGCTCGACGAGGTATCTCAATTCTTAGCCAAAGTCCTGTTCTTTTTAGTGGATCATTGAGAAAAAATCTCGACATTTTAGACAAGTTTCAAGATGCTGATTTATGGCAGGCTTTAGAAGATGTGCAACTGAAAGATTTTGTCGAGACACTTGATGCCAAGCTGGATCACGAGCTGCTGGAACATGGCGCTAATGTCAGTGTGGGAGAGCGGCAGTTAATTTGCTTGGCTCGTGTGCTGCTACAGAGAAGTAAAATCGTCGTCTTGGACGAGCCAACTGCGCATGTTGACCCAGACACAGAGCAGACGATTTGGAATGTGGTGCGGGACAAACTGAAGGAGTCCACTGTCATCACTATAGCTCACCGTTTGAACACGATAAAAGACTGCCAGAAAGTCTTAGTCTTGAAGGATGGAAAAGTTAAAGGATTTGACAAATTTGATTCAATAATAAACATGAAGTGAGATGCGGTCTAAGGTTGAAATACCTCGAATGTCACGCAGGTTTGATCCTGCAGAGCTCAAGATATTATACAGTTTACAATCCTCTCCAGAGCTCTAATTCTGCACATTGTGGAAAAGAATGACATTTGATGTTTTTGCTCAGTTCTGGCTCCTATATACTCCTATGCGTCTTTAAAATCTCTCACGTTCTCATGTTTCGGGGTGTCACGCAACGTGCATTTTGCCGAGGGTCTGTTTGGTAATAGATCACAGATGGAGTCATTATGTGGTGACAACAGAAAAACCTGCACACTTGGCGCGAGCAAGTGTGTCACTAATGTTCCTACTGCTCTATAACGTCCTCTGTGATCTATTAATGAACAGACCCACCGTAACGTCGATTACACATGTTTTATGTAATAAACAAAGCAAAGTTTTTCTCATATTGACGTCACTTATCCGTCTGTCCCCCAACTGATCATAAGTAAAAAACCAGTGAAGATGCTCTGGGAACGACTTGCGTGTGCCACTTACCACTCAACGCAATGCACACAAGAAACAAGTTAACGGTTTATTCAGAAATAGGAAACTGTTCAGCAGCCTGGCTAAGTTTTTTTTAAGAGGGCAGAGGGGGGAGCTATGTCCAGATATAGGGTCCGATATCAGAGAGTAACAGGTTGTCATGTCAACATTTACGTTGGGTAAAAATTTAGATCTTCTCGGATGAGCAGAAAGAATGAGAGGAAATACAGGCCTACAAGATAGCGGCATAGATGACTTAAGTACCATGTAAGATAAACAACTCTATTACAGTCTCTCCCAAACATATTGCCTCAAAGAGTAGTTCAAACACCTCCTCCCCCACCTTACCTCACCACTACCCCCCTACGAATAGCGAGCTTTGTGTCACACATTCAGTTGTCCTGACAACTGAGCACGCTAACATTTTTTTTTGCGATGGTAATCCCGGCGTTCTTCCATAGTTTGGAGATCACATATTTTCCCTTTGGTAACTTATTAAAACATTTCTAGACACTTAAAATCGTTTCCTTCTTACATCCCACCTATTACAAAATAATCTTTCGCATGCGCCATACTTTCTCAAGTGATCTCCACACTCTGTTCGGATATATGACTGTCTTTCATGCGCGGGAGTGAAAATGGGAAATTTGAATCGGAATTGTCAAGTCTTTCTTTCGGAATAAACGTGGTATATTTTTTGATATGGAGTTGTTTTAAGGTTAAAAGTTCACTCTCGCGAGCAGATGGCTCAGAAGAAGAGGTCTCCGAGAGAGTCACCGTCACTAATCTTACCTTTTCGAAAAAATTGGCAATTGAACTAAACAATCATGAAAAGTTGAAATGTCCGGGGAGTTGCCCAAGGGAAATGTTCAAGCTTCGAGCTGATCGACGCGTAATTTTCATTGCTTCGGGTGAATCGAAGTGTCGTTCAATCGCAAGCTTATTCTGTCGCGTTTCAGAGTTTCGTTTCGTCGAACCATTGTCGCCGCAAGCGAACCTTTATGTGAAAGGCACGATTGAAGAGCAAAGCTTTCCGTACCCTCATCAACGGTAAGCCGTAGTTTTACTAATTGGCCGTCTAAAAGAGATTCTAAAGTAACATTTTGAGTTTTAGCCCTTTGTCAGAGCGAATCGGCTGTAAAACAATTTACACTGAGTGAAACAAACTAAAGCGAGGATCGCGTTACACTGGCGATGTCAAAAGTGTCATAAATAGTCAAGCTCATTCGCGCAATCTTCAAGTTAAAACCTAACAACAGAAATATGACTAATTCTTGCTTATCAAGCTCATTTTCTTGCCTTAATTTGCTTTTTTTTTTTTAAAGAGTACGGGTGCGTGATTTTGATGTTGATTAACTTGTTGAGGGTTGGTTCGGAAGTTTTTGCATAGTCACGTGCAATTCCTCAACAATTCCTCAAAAAACTTATCTACTAATGTAATCGTAGTCATAATAATAGTAACCATAGGTTAAAATGGCTGGAAACCATAGTCTTTGAAGGTGTGGGCAATGGGCGGGAAATTTACTTTTACATTTGAAAGCCGCGAGCAAGTCAACGAAATGTTTAGTTCAAAGGTATATTTAATTAACAGCAATCTCTCCAATAATTTTTTATTCACCCAAAAACCTTGAGCAATGATCCTTTCACCATCAATTTGCATCATTTTGTTGACGACAGCACGGATGCGTGGCATGGCACTGTTTGCCTCGCATGGATTTGAGACCTGTCTAACTTTTCCAAAAGGTCTGGATAGAGGCAGATATCTAACAAATTTAAGAAAATGAAACGACACTATTAAAATTAAAGAACATGTTTCGACAGCTCCTCCGTCATCTTCAGTTCTGAATAATACAAAGTACAGAGTTGAATTTTAGGTGCGTAAGAAAATGCTGATTGGACAAAACAAACCATAGTAACATAAAAATATATGCATTTACAAGGAAAGTTTCAAATTTACACGATAAAGTTGGTCACGGATTAAGAGTAGGTTTCTGTGGGTAGCTTCTTTGATTTTAAGTTGAAAATTTGTGGAAGCGTGATCTAAGATGTTAAAACACTCATCAGAACAAAGAGTGCGACATTGTGGAGAATTGTGTAGATGTCCAAAAATGTAAGAGGTTCTATCACTGACCAAGTGCTCACGTACGCGTGTGGATAAATGTTTAGAGGTTTCACCGACATAGCAGGCATTACAGTCCGCACATAAAAACCTGTAAACCACACACATACGGAGCTTACGACGGATAGTGTCTTCCACACCAAACATATTGCTATTTAAAAGATGAAAAAACCAACTCAATATCGATGTTGTTACTATAACGCTTAGCAAATTGGCGAACCCTTTTTCGCGTGACAACAGAAATAAGGCCAATGTAAGTTAGGACAATTATTACATTTAGGCCTTCAACCCTTCCCGAGAGACCGGGCTGCCTGCTTAGGCAGGTTACCCTAGGCGGGTTACCCCACTTAGGCGGGTTACCTGACTTACCTGGGGTCCCCCACCTCCATGTGAACAGGCTCTAGGTTGCGAGAACTATCCCTTTGCCATCTCCTTCCAGCAGTGTGTGACGCACCTCTAAATTAACGGTTGACCATGAACTTAGAGAGGGTCAGCTCTAGTATTAAGAGTAAACCATAAGCGTATTAACAGCAGACACAAGATGGCATTTAAAGAAAATGTTGGTATAAAAATATGATCAACTGATGGCCAAACAGTCAAGACATATCAATGATTATGATCCATCAAAGACTTTTACTATTATGTATCTATCGTTGGGACTGTAGTTATCGTCTACTTTTAGCAGAGCAAGATAATTTACATCTCTTCCAAAATGTCAGGCTCCACTAATTCCTTGAGGCGGGGATCACGGACACGTCTCCTGGAGCCTTTGAACTCCTCTTTGAGGTAGTATGTTTGAGAGAGACTGTAATGGAGTTATTTATCTCACATAGACTTTAACCAATCTGTACTGCTATCTCGTAGACCTGCAACTCCTCTCATTCTTTCCGCTTTTCCGAGAAGATCTAAATTCATAGTCAACGTGAATGATGACACGCTCCTCCGAGGAGATCTAAATTTACGCCAAACGTGAATGTTGACATGACAACCTCTTACTCTCTGATATAGGACCCTAAATCTGGACATAGCTAGACTGCTGAACAATTTCTTATCTTGTTTCTAGTGTGCGTTGCGATGGGTTGAAAGTGGCGCTAGTAAGTCGTTCCCAGGGAATCTCCATTGGTTTTTTACTCATGACCAGTTGGGAGACAGACGGCTAACTAACGTCAACATGAAAAAAAATTGCTTTGTTTATTACATAAAACAAATGTAGTCTAATTTACGGTGAGTCTGTTCATTAATATATCAAAGAGGACGTCTTAGAGCAGTTGGAACATCAGTGACACACTCGCCTGCGCCTAGTGTGCCGGTTTTTCTGTTCTTATCACATTATGACTTTATCTGAGATCTATTAGTAAACAGAACCACCGTAAAATGGACGTTGCGTGACACCCCGAAACATGACAGCGAGAGAGATTTTAAACATAGAAGCCAAAACCGAGCAAAAATTTTCGAGGATTATGCAAATAAGTGCATATAGAGCAGGACGTCGTTGATTTTGAAACGGGTGACACTGACGCAAAAAGTGGACCTGACAGTATCGTCGGCATTGGTCATGACACGGACATTGCTAGAGATATAGCTAAGGGAACTTACTCATGGAAGCCGAACAAACGAGACGGAGTCTGAATTGCAAAATGAAGTCGACAATGGTATAGCCAATGATGGTGATAAGCTGATGGAGGTTCAGTTTGTTTCAGATGTACACATCGACTTATTTGCAACGAGAGGAGATGACGAATATCACATTGGAATCTTCCCAATGAAGTTCTAGAAAAAATCTTAGAAACAGTGTTAGCGTCATCGGCCATCCTGTTTGCTGATAATGCATGCCACACATGCCAAACATTACGCAAAGTTAATACACGATTCAGGGCGCTGGTGCACTGTCTGAAACGATTTCTACCAAGGCTTCACGTTTCTGATGGATTGAATTCTTGTTTAATCAGCGTTCGAAGCCTTTTAAAAAAGTATGGTCCTTTAAGCCATCTATTGATCGAGCTGAAGAAAATCAATTCCAGTCCAAAGTGGGCTAATGCTTGGCTGGAAGTTCAAGTGGATGAACTCGATTGGTACGTAATCATTAGGAGTCTTTGGAAAATAAATTGACTACAACTGATGATAAACTAGCATACTATTATTGATGTAATCGTACGTGTTGAAGTCGTTAGTAGTGATGCACCATTTTAGAGCAGTTTGAATGATTCCGCTGTGTCACATTTTAATCCAAAAGAAAATTATTATTGTCAGTAGTGTTACTGAAATTTTGCACATCAATGTTATTCAGCTTCAATCGATTTTAATGAAGCATTTGAGTTCATATTTAAGAATGACTATCTTGATTAATTCAAATTTGAACCTGGGATATGGCTTCACTCCACCTTGGTAATCAGTTCATGAACCATATGACTATGAGTGGAAACTGTTAAGCTTTCTTTTTTCATTTATTAATTATTTATCTATTCATTTTCTCCCCTCACGGAGGGGAGGAGAGATGAAGACAAAAAAGGAAATAAAAACTTGAGATTGACTGTGGTATATATATTTTCCCGATATTTCGGTTCGGGAACTGATGCACCCGTCTTAGGGGGCTAAAGGAAAAAACACGAATGGTTCATTAGACCATCAACTGACCATCATGCGTTGAACGTTGTAGCTCAAAAGTTCAATTTGACTCTTGCGTGGAAAAAAATTAACATGTCGAGACCTGTGATCGTGAAATAGGATAAGATATGATTGGTCAGTAGATATCTAGCTCTGTAAGTCACTTTATCATATAGCTAGCTGCGCGCGTGGGCAAGATGAAGTGAATCCTGTGTTCTGATTGGATACCTGAGCGGGCAAGAAGAGCCCACCCTCGCCCGCTCGGGATTCCCCGTATTGATACTGCGCAAGAAAACTCACAAAGTTCGTAACTTTTGGACAATATCGGCATATACATAGAAAAAATTAAACGACCCTCTTGGGTTTATTGTGCTACAAAAACAGTTGGCTTTCACTCTCGGCTCTCGAAATAAACAAGTCATTCTTGATTCTTATCAAAGCGAAATCTTTCACTACACAACGAATCCTTTAATGTTTAAGTCAAGAGAACATAAACTCTCTTGATCAAGCTTGTTCGGTCAAGATGACTGGATAATAGCCTGGTTCTTTTTCTACATTTTTTGGACTCAGACTTCGTCTCAGTCCTTAAAAACGCAAAAAAAAACTCTCAGCACTGATCACACAAGTATATCGTCAAAATCTGTGGCGCTAAAGAGTCTCAGCCAATGTTATAAAGAGAGGTATTAGTCAGCGTTCTCATTGTTTTTGCGTCTGTCAATTTGATGCCAAAAGCACATCAGTTTAGGGTTTTGTAGCCAATGCTTCTCAACTTTCGTCTTCAGCAAATAAAAAGACGCAGATTAATATCAGCGACCCGCAATATGCCATGAATATTGGTCAGAGGATTCTTTGGTGCAACAGCTGTCACTTTAAAACATCTCTATGTGGATGTCTGCTATAACAACAGTGTACTAGCGCAGTTAAACGATTGCATTGGAGGCCTATTTCATTTAGGACCAAATGCTATTACATTACACAACTTGCCATGTAAACGTCTCAAGGTCGACTAACTTTAACCCAGTCCTCACATAAACAGGTATTTATCATATAAACTGCGGTGTTATACAGGGATTTCCAGCTCTGGGAGAGGCCGTAACAACACACGTGAAAAATATCGTATTTCTTCACGTGTGTTGATATAGCCTATCAGCTGCTGACACGTCACTCGCCTTTGGAGCCACTCGGTCAGATTAATGAATCAACGGCAAAGCCTTCACGATTCTCGATACAAGTTGCTTGTCGGAGCTTCCTCGAAATATGGCGGCTAAGACGCTAAAAAATACGTATTTCTGACAGACATTGAGGTTCAAACTTTTTTATAGGGGGAAGAAAACAAATATACTTAAAGAAAAACTGAAAGTTACGTATTCAGTGGCTTTGGTGTTGGTATTTCTTTCGGCTGAGAATGAAAATCGACGACTGAAAGATTTGCCACTGGCCGATTTTGGCCGTTTACCTTCAAAGACTTCTTCTGTCGATTCTTTTATTTTCATTCATTAATGAAGTCGGCTTTTCTTTTCAGTAAAGAGCTATTGTGTTTAAGTGTTCAACTATTGTGTTTGAGTGTTTAACTCGACATCTCACTCGGTTGAACACTCGAAGAGAAATTCCATATCCACGCGCGCTCATGTATTATTCTCTATTTAACTGACTAACTTAGACATACCATGAGGTATCTACCTCCAACACATCAGGAAAGCCCAGATTAAAAAATTATTCAAACGAGTATAAACAATTCTCTATAGAATATAAGGATGCATTCCTCTGGGCTGATCCAGACCAGGATTTTTGATTCGAGATCACTGGGATCATGCTACACTCGAACAGTAAAAAAAAAAAAAACAGAAATTGGTCTATTATTAGTAAACAGAAAGAAGTCACAAGATTTAAAGAGAGGAATAACTCGTGCTGTTCTCATTTGATCGTAACGCTTTAGGGATGATCATGAAGGTACATGGTTGAGTAAATCTTTTGTTTCTTCGACAATATTCGTGACAATTTTCATTAAAGTCCAATATTTGTGCAGTTCTCTGATAAATACATCAATAGTAAAAACGATCGATTGCCTTTTGGATTCCAGTTGTGTTTAAGAAAAAGGATGGGGTTAGACACTGAACTATCTCTCCCTAAAGTTCCCTTTTTCGTCTATAAAACATCAAGCAAAACCACAAAATAATTTACAATGATCATCTCACCATTAATTTGCATCATTTTGTTGACGACAGCGCCGATGCGTGACATGGTGCTGTTTGCTCTCGCATGGATTTGAGACCCGTCTAACTTTCTTCACAAAATGAATCTCTCTACCGTCGAGCCTGTATTAAGCGGTTACCCTATATTAAGCGGTCGGTTTCCATAGTCCTGAAAATTTTCCCCCTTAATGACTGTAATTTTAACCTCCATTAACCGGCCACCTCTATAGAAGTGTTCGTGGTCACACTGTGGTCCCAAAGGACTTTTTCTAGAGTTCCCCACCTGTATCAAACGGTCACTTGAAGTGCAAATTGTAACCACTGAAATAAAACTGAGAAAATCTCTCAAGTAAACTTGAATCCACGATTATCTCCCTGAATCAATGTAAACAAAGTGGTCTATTGTGGCAAAATATTTTATCGTTTTTGTCGTTTTCCATAATGCTCCTTTTCTGTGGAACCTGTATTCAGTGGTCAACCTGTTGTAAGCGGTAACTCCATTATTTTCCGTGGGTAACCACTAAATACGACTCAGTTCGACTCAGTATCTTAAATTGCGAATTCACTGCGTTAAGGTTTTATGTAAGTATACAAGCTGTGTTTTGTTTCGTAAACAGATAACATGACACGATCCGTGAAGCGTGAACTGTAAACAACACGCAATGTTAAAAAAGGGCGATCAGTAAATGAATCAACCCTTTTCCACAATTGCTGGTTTGGTTACATACAGCTGAACTCATTAATCAAATGATAAATTGCTCTTAATCGTGTGCGTAGCTCACTTGTAAAGATTTTATATTCAATATCAAACCGACATTAAGGACATAAATTCATTCGTAACTTCATTGAACCGCAAACAATTAAAACAGTGCTGTCATTTACATCATAGCAAGCAAAGAGGGATCTTTTAAACGAATCCAAGGTTAAATGCGGAGCCTACAAAGTTGACTTGCTCTTGGTAAGTTTATCATAGTCATTAACATTTTGTTGAAGAGCCCTCGCCATAATGAAAATTATCGTCGCAGGCATTAATCAAAGGGATGAATTGGCGCTGAAAGTTATGGGTCTTCAAGGTGCTTGGTTTCTGTGTTAATGCATTGAATACACTTCCCTCTCAAAATGCATACCAGCAAAAGGGGGTACAATGACGTCTATGGTATGACGGAGAAACGTTAGTAAAAACGTACGGTGAGTTATAATCGCTTCCATGGAAAGAAGTGATACGTCTGGAGGCTTATGTTACTTTTGAGGAGCGTTTTTGTTTTAAATTATTCTTATGCGAGGTTAAGAGTCCCGAATCAGTGCAAGTCAAGCTAAGTGCGATTGAAATTAAGGTCCAGTTTACTCCACTCTTAGAAAACTTTGAGCAGGACTTCAGACTTTTAATGAACGATTTGTCAAACTTATTCATTGGCAGAAATATTGGACAAGATGGCGGCCGCGCTTGCGCATTTCGTCCATAAAGGCGTCCAAATAATATAAGAAACTGTAGGGAAATTTGTAGAATTTCTAAAATATAACAATCAGGAGCTCATGGTTCCGTCCGCTCTCGATCGAGACATATTCAGTACCGATTCTGCTATTCATCAAACCTCTCAGTGACTCGATAAATAAAAACCACTTACTTCCCGAGCCAGTTCTTTTGTCATTGTCCATTGACCTAAGTCGCCATACAGTTCTTCAAAATCCGTGGTTCTCCATCCCAAACACTCGCCTATTACAGGAAAGTGCATCGATGAAGTCAACTGCCCTCGATCGAATTGACTGCTACTGAGTTCGAAGCGTCCAAATATCCTGAAAAATTGCGATTTCCTCCCATCAAAAAACTTCCCAACGCGCCAGAATATCCCTTATTTTCCATGTTGAGTAAGTGACGAAACGCCATGTTGAAAACTATGACTGAAATGGTTTAACACGAGCAAAGCTGATCTGGTAAATTAATTAGTTCTCAGGTCCTTTTAGGGAAAAAAATATGCCAGGCGAAAATTTAATAAAAGCAAATCAAAATTCTGACATCATGTCATCGCTCTGCCTCGAAAAATCCCAAAGATTTACTTGCAGGTCTTCTTTTCTTTTTCTTTTCATCAAATAGAAGATCTGCGGTGCTCAAATTGTGTAAGTCATGGTACGAAACACGCTTCTTTGCAGATCGAGCCGTGATCGCTGCCATATTGAATTCTCTTGATATACTATTGTTCCGGAGTGTAATACGTTATACCGCTGATAATTGTTAGCGGGCTCGAAATGTCCTTGATTTCTGACGATGTTAGAACGAAAGAGTCTATTGCGCGGAACCATTCAGATAACAACAACAAGTCAAAAATTTCAATATGAACCATTAATTAAAGTCATGTTGCGGTCCATTCTTCATCGGACAAAATTTCCAGGCAACATTATCAATTTATTTCTAAACAAAAAAAACCGGAACGAATGTTTTCCGCTCACACTACAACGGCCGTCAACGGCGGCAGACAGATTTGAATGGACATTAATCATGTGCGTACCAAGAGCTTAATCTTAAAAACCGCCAAAAAATTGAAAGAGCATTGATGTTGTCGTTTTTACTAGCTCGGAGAATTTGTTCACTAAAAAGCCCTCTTCATTTTTGGAATCGCTTGACATTTCTAAACAATGACTCTAATACTCTTCAGACGTTTTAAGAAACCATTTAGTGGCACTTTAATTTGGAGAAAATCTCCGACTGCCGGGCATTTAGCCTTGTCGAGACCGTGCCCGGCATTCTGATGAGAAGCGTCTACAACCGAGTAATAATATTGTAGTGTGCACAAGCTCGAAGAAATTGTCCACTAAAAGACCAAGTTGATTTTTGGAATCCCGTAACATTTCTAAGCAAACATCTGATATTTCTAAGAAGCTTGAAAGAACCTTAATTTCGGTGGAAATTCTGTGAAAAATTCTGCGACTGCCGGGCATTTCGTCTTCTTAGGACCGTGCCCGGCTGCCAGGCATTTAGTCATAGCGTTTTCGAAAAGCTCCGTTTAAAATTTGTTTTCTTTCCTCAGAGTTTTAAAACTGATTTTGAAAATGCGCTTTCAAAACTTTCAAAACAAGTTCCCGTTTATTCAGCGTGGTGAAGACAGGGCTCTTGGGAAATTTTGTGACCCTCTCGTTTCAAAATACGACATCTGTCTTATTGTACAGGAACATCGATCGTCTGGCGCTTTGTTGGCTCGAGAATTTCGACTGTTACATTTCGTGACATACTGGTAAATTTATTCATGACCTATCACGCAATCGACTTCGTCAGGTATCCAATTTTTACCAGTATTGTGCTGTTATTTTAAGTCTGAAAAAAAAATTACATTTTCTTGCGTATAAAATTTGATTTTTCGCCTTGTTAAATGGAAGTCAAAAAAATTTGCTAAGAACTGGTTTTTGACTGGATTATAAGCAGCAATAAACAACAAACGAGTGCCTTTTTAACTCGTGAACTGCGCGCATGCGCAAGAGCGAGTTATAGATACGATGTGGGGAATGGTATTCGCTCGCTCGCTCGCTCGCTCGATTGGTCGATTCTTGTAAAATTTTTTTTAGATTTTAGGCTTTTGAGTGCATTTGATAGTTTTTGGCGAGCAATAAACAGACGAAATGGCGACCTTTGTTGCTAATAGTGGTGGGGTGAAAAAGAAGCCAATGATAATCTTAAAAAAAAGTTTTTTTTTTTCGTTTTAGTTTCAACAGGCGGCGCCAGCGACTGGCAGGCATGCAAGGATTCACACTGAAATAACAGAACAACCTTCGTTTTTCATAAAATTGTAATTTACAATCCTTGAACTTGAAAACAATCCGAAGATTCATTGAAAATATCACCTACTGCGAAGCGCTCGGAGTTTACAGATGTTCAAAAGCTTTTTTTGTTATAGCGTGAGCTTGAGGACAAAATTGATCATTACGTTTCGTCGCGTGCGTTTTTCCTGTGTGAAGCAACAAAAGATGCCGGCGACTGACGAAATAACAAGTTAACACGAAAATCAAATAACACCTAAACAAACAATTTTAGCTACCGATTTTCAGTGAATTTTTAAAGAACAATTTTCTTTTAAGTTTCAAGACAATTTGAAGATTCAACATACGTACAACGTATTAAAATGCGAAAGTTAACACCACAAAATTGATAAATAGGCCTGAAATGAAATTCTATCTTGTTATTGATTATGCATTGCCTAGCACGTGACTTAAAGATCCAAAATGATGGTGGCAGGCTTGGCTTAGTTATATCACTCAAAACTCGTTCCCGTTTGTCTCATTTGATAAAGAGGGAATCGTTAATGTTTTCATTAAGACAGTATTGCCTTGATTTTCTAATATTTACAACGAAAGACAGTAAATTTCACTTTTCACCCACATTTACTTCCAACCTTTTCTTTTGAACCAGAAACAAAAATGATAGAAGTTTAAAACACATGACATCATCCACCTTGTCAAATGTAATAGCATGATCATTTCAATTGTAATGCCTTCTTATCCCAACGTTACTTTGTTTCTTTGCTACATTAGCGAACACTGAACTACTGCTCGTACTCTAGATATGACAATCAACCACAAAATTCCCTAAACCAGATAACATTAAACATAATCTAAAAAATCATGTGTCAATTCACGAGTTTGCTCACAGAGCACTTTGATTTATTTCTGCCCCCGCTTTTACGCCCTCAGATAGTTCCTGCTTCCCGCCCTCTCCCGTTCTCAGATCTCCCGCTCCATTGTCCCCCTCCACTCCAACTTTTACTGATTTTTCCGTCACCGTGTAAGATACTCTGTATTACCCAAAATCGTTTGCTTGGAATTTATTTGTGACATTGTGATCTTCTCATTTTCAAGGACAAATGATAGAAATTGTTATTACATGTTGATTATTTTGTGGAATACTCTCGAACTGGTTTTGGCCCTCCGTATAAAGGAATAGCAATTCGACAATTCGACATTTTCGTTCTTTTCCACGTTAATACTCTTCTTTCCTTTTGTAAGAATGTAGACCACAAGTAATCCACCCACCCTACAAAAAATAACACTTGCATGCATAGCATGCCTATGTTTTAAAATAGGTGTATGCCCTTAGCCAGACTTGAGCTCACTATTTCAGTATACTAATCCGACACTCGTAGTATCACTACACTTGATTCCAAGGATCCAGTACCATCCAGGTATCCCAGTTACCCTGCTCACAGGGTCTAGTTGATTTATTTTTGTGACTAATAAGTTTGTCATAGATGGGGCAAGTTCTTGCTTAGAGGAGACAAAAAGGAAAGCGGGATGGCGAAAAATTGTGGAAACTCCATTCGGAATGAAAAGTTGGTTCCATGCAGCTTCCTGAAATAATTGCAAGATATTGTTTACCCGTTATTTAGTTTCTATCTAGAGGGAGGCTGGAACTCACAAGGCTCATCCAAGCAAGGGGATCAATATTGGCGCGGAAATTTCCCGCGAAAAATTTTAAACAAAAACAAGGTTGGCAACCGCTGTCAAGAAAATTAAACGTTCATAAAAAGTAGAGAAACGAAAACTCGACACTCTTCGAGTACAAAGCTTATTCAATGACGGTTATTTAACATTTTGTTTTAAGCTATATCATTCTAGGCTATATAAAAGTCATGAGGTTCTACAAAACACCGTGACTTAATAGATTTTATGTAAGTTTATAACTCTTAGAGGGCAAGTTGGTTCTGAAATCCTGGAACAACACGCGAAGAGATATGTCCATTGCGTTGAATATGCTAATAGTGACAAAGTATTTTGTAGGTCTCAAGTGATGGCACCAAAAGGCGGTTACAAGAGAATCACTGGTGAAGACGATAATAAAGTCAGTTTTGCATCTTCTCTTTTTTTCCGTTGGATGAACGGAGTCTTTAAGAAGGGCAGTCAAAGACCTTTGGATCAAAATGACTTTTTACCCTTGTCAGAGGAGAACTCTGGCCGTTTTGTCACTGACAGGCTTCGAAAAAGCTGGGAAAGCGAGAAACGTCATTGCAAGATATATGGGAAAAGGCCCAAACTTTGGAAAAGCGTGTTTGATATTCTGTCTGCCAAAGATATTATCATCATTTTGACGGGGATTACATTGTCTACAACTTCTCGCCTTCTCTTTCCACTGTTTCTTGGGTATCTTGTTTCTAAGTTTATGTCAACTGAGGCAGAGAATACTTATCAACTCTACGCCTGCGCGTTCGCTATGTGTCTCAATGGTTTGATCGGTGGTCTTGGTATGCACCAGCAAGACTACAGATGTGAGACATTAGGGATTAAAATAGGAAGCGCCCTGAGGGGGCTGGTGTACCACAAGGTAGGCACGATCAAAAAGAGTACTCTCTGCATTTTTCAAAGGTTCAATCGATTTTTCTAATACCCTAAACACCCCAAATTAAGCCGAACAAACTTGAACGCGTTTATCTATCCGATACAGAATGATTTTTTTCCAGAAATCTTTGCAATCCTGCTCATCAACAAAAAAAATTAAAGAAACAAACAGTTATTTAGCCTGCAATTAACGTGAAGTAGGCTACAGAAACCATAACGTATACGGCCGTGCTTTTGAGCAAGATTCAAAATGGCGTCTGAGTTGTCACTCTTTTAACAAACTTAAAGAGAATTTGATAGAGACTTATTTACTCTTGTCTCGAAACGCAGCCACGAGTAACTTTATGCCGGAGATTAAAATCAGATGGTTTGTGGAACATCCTTCTTCTTTAATGACTAATCTGTACTCTCTTTCAGACGCTTCTACTCAGCAAGCAGACGTTACTGAAACTCACTGCAGGACGGTTATTCGATCTGATATCCAATGATGTTAAAAGAATGGAAGAAGAGACAGTCAAATTGTTTTTCTCAGCCGTTTTCGCAGTTCCTGCTTATGCAGGGGCAATATTCCTTATCTACAATTTGATCGGTTGGCAGGCTGTTACGGGTGTGTTTCTCCCGTGTATTTTCATGCCATACTTTGCCGTCTTGTCGTATGCTAACGCTAAGCTGCGTCTACGCACAGCTACAGTGTCGGATCAGCGAATCTCCCTAATGAATCAAATAGTTTCCGGGATCCGCGCGGTCAAAACGCACGCGTGGGAGGACGAATATGGACGAAAGATAAAACATGTAAGAAGGTAAGGTAAATTATCATTTTTAATAAGAAGTGGACTTATTTATTGAAATCTGGGAAATAGATAACCACAAATCTGTTTTTTCTCCACTGAGAGCTCTGTAAGCTAGGCAGTTTAAGCATGACCCCCCCCCAAAAAAAAAGAACCCTTAGACCACTATATGAGCCAATCAGAATGCCTCTCTTCACAAAGAATAAGTGTCTCATGTAACCCATTTGATAACCGGAGGATTGGCTGCTCAGTTAAAAAATATTAGGACATACTGAGTAGAGAGTGTGGAAGAGCGCTAACTGATGGCTCAAACTCCGAATATTCCTTGCAATTCATCTTCGAGCGACTCGCGCGTGATTTTCGCCCGAAAGAGAATAATTGCTCATTATTATAGGTAGAACATCTCATTTAGTCTAATTTGTCTTCAGTTCGTATTATTTTTCATACGCTGTCGTGGGGTCGCAAAAGACGCACTTAAACAAAGACGTGAACGCTGAGGAAGGGTGCGCTTGCCGTCGGCTCACATCCTTAATATTTCAAATTAGAGAGGACAATGACGACGAGTTGGTTCGATAGAATGCCTACATAACTTATGATCAACTCTTATCCTCAGAAATGAAATCAGCGTTATTTCGAAGAGGACAGCCATTCAGTCAAGTATCGATGCCTTGTCATTCAGTGCAACGCCACTGGCCACTCTGGTGTCAGTAATTACTATGGTGCTTACAGGCTACACCCTCACGCCCGCCAATGTTTTTATGCTCCTGTCGTTTATGGGCGTTTTAATAATGAGTGGCATGTGGAATGTGACATCTGGTTTAATGGTAACGTATGACGCCTACGTTTCGCTCGGAAGAATCGAAGAATTCCTTCTTTTGGAAAATCTGTTGGAAGCCTCGAAGAGTGATGAAAGCAACGAGTCCCAACAAAAAGCGAAAGATACCCCAAGTGACCGAAATTGCAGTTACTTTAAAAAAAAAGAGGAAAATACTGAGAAAGTTTCCTCCTCTCGTGAAATAACAGAATTAGGGCCTATTATATTATGTGTGTCAAATTTAAGCTACGCAAAAACGCATCAAAAAGATGAATTTATTCTTGAGGATATCAACTTCTTTGCACCTTCAAAGAGTTTAACAGTCATCACCGGCCCGGTTGGCAGTGGTAAGTCTACTCTGCTCTCAGCGATCGCTGGTGAAATTTCGAACGCCAGTGGAACGATTGATTATCAAGGTTCTATCATTCACTTGCCTCAGACTGCTTGGGTATTCTCGGGATCGATAAAAGAAAACATTCTTTTTGGCCAGCCCTTCAAGGAGTCCAAGTACGAAAGAATAATCGACGTCTGCGCTCTAAAAGAAGACTTTCGGCGGTTACCTGATGGTGACCAAACAGTCGTTGGAGAACGCGGCGAGGTTCTGAGTGGAGGACAACAGGCGAGAGTAAGTTTAGCTCGTGTAGTTTATGCTGACGGAGATATTTATCTATTGGATGATCCACTGAGTGCTGTCGATTTTAAAGTTGGCCAACACATTTTTAACAAGTGCATCAAAGATCTACTAGGCGATAAAATCGTTCTTTTAGCCTCTCATCAGCAACAGCACATGGAAAATGCTAATCAAGTGATTGTGTTGTACAAAGGGCGTGTCTTCGAGAAGGGACGCTTTACTGAACTGCACGAAAAAGGTGTAATCAGTTCAACTATTGACCCGCTCTATAAAGCAGCTCTAAAGGACAAAACGGACTCACCTGAGCCGTTCGGCTGGGAAAATAACGAGGAACACGATGATGCTGAAAAATGCCAGAAAACACGTGCTCTGCCCAATAAAGCAAGGAGTTTGGAGATAGCAAAGGAGGATCGTACAATCGGAGTTGTGACATCCAGGCTTTATTGGGACTATTTCAGAAGTGGAGCGCATCCCTTGATTATAACTGGAATGGTTGGTTTAAGTCTCATCACTCAAGGTAAACTCATTGTTGGACTGAGTTACAAACCATGGGTCAGGCCCTAAAAGGGAGGACAGCAACCGTTTTCCTATAATTCTTTTATTCTACTTCTTTTATTCTATTTCGTGCAAATCATTTCACAATGCTTTTAATAAACAATACTGCACAAATTTCTGACCATGTACCCGATATCTAACTTGCTCGTGCAAGCGCGAAGCAAGCGCGAGTCGAACGTGAATGGCGAGTCACGCGCGAAAGGAAGAACTGGTGTTTTACTCTCCGCGTTTGCCTTGCACCTGCCCCACTCGCTTAAAAAAGGTAAAAAAACTCGTTTCTAACTAACTTTCTGATATCGAATGCAGTTTTCTAACAATATTTATGTGTAACATGGCTGACTGCTTCATCTATTCTGTGACATTGTGGTGCTTACATAAACATCCCCAAAATACAAACGAAAATACCTAACCCAGGCGAGTTTTGTCTAAGCCCAATAAATCTTACAATGTTTAACTGAATGATCATATAGAAATACATTTCAACCACCACATCTTGATCTTATCTCTTTCAGCCATCATAGCTGCTCCAGACTTGTGGCTCTCGTTTCTTGCAAGGCTAAACCCAGAGGATCAGAAGAACAAGACTTATCTATCTGTCTTCGCCTGTCTGGTTGGCGCGTGTTTTATATTTACTATCGTTCGGGCTTATGGATTCTTCCATGTTTGTCTAAAGTGCGCCGAGCGTCTTCACGATAAAATGGTTGTGGCCATTTTAAAAGCACCTGTCCTATTCTTTGATTCTAATCCAGTGGGAAGAATCCTAAATCGTTTCTCCAATGATATTGGCTGCGTAGATGAGCTGTTGCCCAAAACATTCCTAGCGGCAATGCAGTGGCTCTTGTTGGTATCTGCCCAAATTCTAGTAACAGCTGCCACAAACATTTGGCTGATGTTTCTTGTTGTTCCAATTTCCGTGCTGGTAGTTTTGCTATCCAATTATTACTTGAAGACTGCCAGAGAACTAAAGAGGTTAGAGTCGATATCCCGAAGCCCAGTGTTCGCTCATTTTTCGGAGACCCTGATAGGACTGGACACGATTCGTACGAGAGGAAGAAGGAGAGATTTTGTGGATGCACTTTACAGGTATGTTAGAGACATTGACTCAGTGCGTGGTGCCAGAGCCAATAAATGCACAGGGCACTAACGAGTCATAACTGCTCATTTTCTGTGAGCTATTAATTTTTCATTTACCGTCAATACACGAAATTGCATCACGCGTCTTTTGTAATCCTACCTGATATGTGCCGAGACACTATTCAGCAAGTGGACCTTTCCGTATTCGAGGCACGGTCGCAAAACGAAGCTATCCGAAATAGGCACGAAGGGCCTTACCCGTGGTAAGACTACAGTAATTGCTCTCTGCGGTTTTCGCCCTTCTGATAGGATTTTAACAGACCCATAATATGAACTGTCAATCAATATTTAGAAAAGTATCCACATCGTAAACAAATTCGGCTCTAAAGGCTCTCCCTTCATTTTGACGAGTAGAGCATTCCTAGGAATGTCTTTTTGAGATGATGGGTGTAAGGCAGAATTTGTTGAAGGACTCCGTTACATCGTCAGCCAAAAGAGACACTGGTCTCACTTCAATGTGCAGACCCGATGTAATCTGCTTTAAGTTTTCTTTGGAGTGATTATCTTAAAAAGAAAATTAAAAAATTGAGTAACAACAACGGCATTGAGCGCGGGAAAACGCGTTCGACCGATGGGCAGTTAGTTTTGCGCGAGTTTGCTGGACCAATCACGAAGCAAAGTAATACGAAGCTTATAGAATCCGATTTATTTCGACAGTCAACTAAAAAATCACTCCACTATTAAAACTTATTGTGATAAACACTCGTCCCTTCAGATATCAAGATGTTCACAATCAGGCGTACATTATGGTGATGGCCAGCGGTCGGTGGCTTGGTGCACGTTTGGACATTCTCGCTTCTTTGTTAGTCGGTGCAGTTGCTCTGGCTGCAATCCTGGTATCTCAAGATGCCGGTAAGCTCAAGATTCTTAGCAACGTTTTAGTATTTCTATGTAAAGTAAGAATCTATATAGTCGTGAATGAACACAGCATGAACTACTGAATGATAAAATAAGTGTGAAAATACGTGCACTCTTATTATCAACGGGTGGTTTATAAACACGACAGAAACGTTAGAGTCCCTCAGGCGGCTTAAGTGCTGAGAAAACTTTCAAGTGGGTTCTATGATTCAAAACGGGAAACTTGGGTTGATAATTCCTCTGCACCTACTTAGCTTGGAGTCGAAACAACGACACCAAGAAAGACGTAAAAAAGACACTTTTATTTATTCCCTTCCATAAAGAGACTGCCTGGACCAGGCTAAGTAACTTAGCCTTGTTAAGTTTTCGTTATATCTTTTGAGCTATCAGGAGAAAACTAGTCCGGAATTTATAAATTGAAGGTTCAATTTTTTTTCAGCTTACGCTGGTCTCGCGCTTGTTTACATCATCCAAACTCTGGGCTCGACTCAATACACTGTTAGAAAAACCTCTGAAGTAGAAAACTACATGACGTCAGTTGAGCGAGTTATGACCTACACCAAACTTGACTGTGAGCCTGGATACGAGGAAGAACGAACACCGCCAAAAGCCTGGCCTCGGAGAGGAAGTATTGTGTTGCGAGATGTATCATTGACGTACTATCCGGGGGGACCTCAAGTGCTGAAGAATATCAATCTTAGCATCAAAGGAGGAGCAAAGATCGGAGTTGCCGGCCGTACGGGAGCTGGGAAGTCATCTTTTGTAGCAGCTCTTATGCGCATGCCTGATGCTGATGGAAATATAATCATCGACGATGTTCCAATTAAAGAGATAGGCCTCCAACAAGCTCGACGAGGTATCTCGGTTCTTGGCCAAAGTCCTGTTCTTTTTAGTGGATCTTTGAGGAAAAATCTCGACGTTTTAGACAAGTTTCAAGATGCTGATTTATGGCAGGCTCTAGAAGATGTACAACTGAGAGATTTTGTCGAGACACTTGAGGCCAAGCTGGATCACGAACTGCTGGAACATGGCGCTAATGTAAGTGCGGGAGAGCGGCAGTTAATTTGCTTGGCTCGTGTGCTGCTACAGCGAAGTAAAATCGTCGTCTTAGACGAGCCAACTGCGAATGTTGACCCAGACACAGAGCAGACGATCTGGAATGTAGTGCGGGACAAACTGAAGGAGTCCACTGTCATCACTATAGCTCACCGTTTGAACACGATAAAAGACTGCGAGAAGATTTTGGTCTTGAAAGATGGACAAGTTAAAGGATTTGACAAATTTGATTCAATAACGAACATGAAGTGAGATGCCGTCTAAGGTTGAAAATACCTCGAATGTCACGCAGGTCTGATCCTGCAGAGCTCAAAATATTGTACAGTTTATAATCTTCTCCAGAGCTGGCATTTGATGTTATTGCTCGGTTTTGGCTCCTTTATACTCCTACGCATCTTTAAAATCTCCCTTACTGTCATGTTTTGGGGTGTTACGCAACGTTCATTTTGCCGTGCTCTTGTTCAGTAATAGATCACAGATGAACTCATTATGTGGTAAGAACAGAAAAACCTGCACATTAGGCGCAGGCGAGTGTGTCACTATTGTTCCTAAAGCTGTATAGCGTCCTCTGTGATCTTTTAATGAACAGACCCACCGTAACGTAGATTACATATGTTTTATGTAATAAACAAAGCAAATTTTCTCTCATATTGACGTCATTTATCCGTCTGTCCCCCAACTGATCATGAGTAAAAAACCAATGAAGATGCCCTGGGAACGACTTGCGAGCACCACATATCACTCAACGCAGTGCACACCAGACACCAGAAACAAGATAACAGTTTATTCAGAAATAGGAAATTGCTCAGCAGCCTAACTATGATTTTTTAAGTGAGAGGGGGGGGAAGCTATGTCCAGATTTAGGGTCCGATATCAGAGAGTAACAGGTCGTCATGTCAACATTTACGTTGGGTAAAAATTTAGATCTTCTCGGATGAGCAGAAAGAATGAGAGGAAATAAAGGCCTATAAGATAGTGGCACAGATGACTTAAGTACCATATGTAAGATAAATGACTCTATTACAGTCTCTCCCAAACATATTGTCTCAAAGAGGAGTTCAAAGGTTCCAGGAGACTCTCCCCTTACCCCACGCCACCCCCACCCCCCTACGAACAACAGGCTTTGTATCACACATTCAGTTCATTCAGACAACTGAGCGCACTAACATATTTTTTGCTATGGTAATCCTAGTGTTTTTCCATAGTGTAGAGATCACATAATTTCCCTTTGGTAACTTATTTAAAACATCTCTAGACACTTAAAATCGTATAAGATTTTCCTTCTCACTTCCCACCTTTTAAAAAATGTTCTTTCGCATGCGCCATACTTTCTCAAATGATTTCCACCTTCCGTTCGGATATATGATTGTCTTTCGTGCCCTGGGGTGAAGATGGGAAATTGGAACCGGAACTGTCAAGTCTTAAGTCGGAATGAATCATTTTGAAACTAGCGGAATAAACCCGTTATATCTTTTGATATGGATTTTTTTAAGGTTAAAAGTTTACTTTCGCGAGTAGATGGCTCAGAAGAAGAGGAGAGGTCTTCAAGAAAGTCACTGTCACTAATCTTGCCTTCTAAAAAAAAATTTGGCAAGTAAACGAAACAATCTTCCAAAAGTTCAAATGTCCCTTGGCGCCACTCGGTCAGGTTGATGAATGAACAGCAAACTTTTCTCGACAAGTTGTTTGTCGGAGCTTTCTCGAATTATGGTGGCGAAAACACAAATTCCGTATCGCTGACAGACAGCGAGGTTCAAACTTTCCTAGAAGATGAAGCAAACCAACATAATAAAAGAAAAACCGAAACTTACATATTCAGTGACTTTGGTGTTGGCATTTCTTTCGGCTGAGGGTGAAAATCGACAACTGGAAGATTTGCCACTAGCCGATTTCGGCCGTTTACCTGAAAGACTTCTTCTGTCGGTAAGGACAAAGTCAAAAAATGAAAATTTGGTAAATTAAAAATTACGACCATTGTTGTTTTTGTAATCATGATTCAACGCATTTTCCCATTTCAAGAGTTAGCGCCAACGCACTTTACGATTGTTATCTGAGGATTGTCGGTTCATTTATTTTCATTCATTAATGAAGTCGGCTTTTCTTGTCAGTAAAGGGCTATTGTGTTTATGTGATAAACAAAATAATACATGGTTGCTTGTAGATATGAAATTTCTCTTCTCGTGTTCAACTCGACAACTCACTCGTGAGCTATCGAGTTGAACACAATTCCATATCTACGCACGCCCATGCATTATTCTCTATTTAATTGACTAACTTAGACATACCATGAGGTAGCTACCTCCAACATATCAGGAAAGCCCAAATTAAAAAATTAATAAGACGAGTATAAACAATTCTCTATAGAATATAAGGATGCATTCCTTTGGGATGATCCAGACCAGGATTTTTGATTCGAGATCACCAGGATCATGCTACACTCAAGCAGTAAAAAAAAACGGATACAGCAGTAACTGGTCTATTATTAGTAAACAGAGGAAAGTCACAAGATTTAAAACGAGGAATAACTCGTGCTGCTCTCATTTGACCATAACACATTAGGGATGATCATGAAGGTACATGGTTGGGTAAATCTTTTGTTACTTCGACAATATTCGTGACAATTTCCATTAAAGTCCAATACTTGTGCAGTTCTCTGATAAATACATCAATAGTAAAAACGATCGATTGCCTTTGGGATTCCAGTTCTGTTTTAGAAAAAGTATGGGGTTAGACACTGAACAATCTCTCCCAAAAGCTCCTTTTTTCATCTAAAAAACATCAAACAAAACCACGAAATAATTTACAATGATCATCTCACCATTAATTTGCATCATTTTGTTGACGACAGCGCCGATGCGTGATATGGCGCTGTTTGCTCTCGCATGGATTTGAGACCCGTCTAACTTTCTTCACAAAACGAATCTATCTACGGTCGAACCTGTATTGAGCGGTTACCCTTTATTAAGCGGTCGGTTTCCATAGTCCAGAAAATTTTCCCCCTTAATGACTGTAATTTTAATCGCCATTAACCGGCCACCTCTATAGAAGTGTTCGTGGTCACACTGAGGTCCCAAAGGACATTTTGTAGTTCCCCACCTGTATCAAACGGTCACTTGAAGTGCAAATTGCAACCTTTGAAATAAAACTGAGAAAGATCTCTCAAGTAAACTTGAATCCACGATTATCTCCCTGCATCAATGTGACCAAAGTGGTCTATTATGGCATCATATTTCATCGTTTTTGTCGTTTTCCATAATGCACCTATTCTGTGGAACCTGTATTCAGTGGGCAACTTGTTGTAAGCGGTAACCCCGTTATTCCCCGTGGGTAACCATAAATACTGGTTCGACTCAGTATCTTAAATTGCCAATTTACTGCGTTAAGGTGTTATGGAAGTATACAAGCTGTATTTTGATGCGTGTTTCGTAAACAGATAACATGACACGGTCCGTGAAGCGTGAGCTGTAAACAACACGCAATGTAAAAAAAGGGCAATCAGTAAATGAATCAACCCTTTTCCGCAATTGCTGGTTTGGTTACATACAGCTGAACTCAGTGATCAAATGATAAATTGCTAGTAATCGTGTGCGTAGCTCACTTGTAAAGATTTTATGTTCAATATCAAACCGACATTAAGGTCATAAATTCATTCGTTACTTCATTCAACCGCAAACAATTAAAACAATGCTGTCATTTATATCACAGCAAGCAAAGAGGGATCTTTTAAACACCCAAGGTTAAATGCGGAGCCTACAAAGTTGACTTGCTCTTGGTAAGTGTATCATAGTCATTAACATTTTGTTGAAGAGGCCTCGCCATAATGAAAATTATCGTCCCAGGCATTTATCAAAGGGATGAATTGACACTGAAAGTTATGGGTCTTCAAGGTGCTTGGTTTCTGTGTTTGTGCATTGAATACACTTCACTCTCAAAATGCATCCCAGCAAAAGGGAGTACAATGACGTCTATGGTATGACGGAGAAACCTTAGGAAAAACGTACGGTGAGTTATAATCGCTTCCATGGAAAGAATTGATACGTCCGGAGACTTATGTTACTTTTGAGGAACGTTTTTGTTTTAAATTATTCTTATGCGAGGTTAAGAGTCCCGAATCAGTGCAAGTCAAGCTAAGTGCGATTGAAATTAAGGTCCAGTTTACTCCACTCTTAGAAAACTTTGAGCAGGACTTCAGACTTTTAATGAACGATTTGTCAAACTTATTCATTGGCAGAAATATTGGACAAGATGGCGGCCGCGCTTGCGCATTTCGTCCATAAAGGCGTCCAAATAATATAAGAAATTGTAGGGAAATTTGTAAAATTTCTAAAATATAACAATCAGGAGCTCATGGTTCCGTCCGCTCTCGATCGAGACATATTCAGTACCGATTCTGCTATTCATCAAACCTCCCAGTGACTCGAAAGAACGAAAGAGTCTATGGCGTGGAACCATTCAGATAACAACAACAAGTCGAAAATTTCAATATGAACCATGAATTAAAGTCATGTTGCCGTCCATTCTTCATTGAACAAAATTTCCAGGCAACATTACCAATTTATTTCTAAACAAAAAAAAACGGAACGAATGTTTTCCGCTCACACTACAACGGTCGTCAACGGCGGCAGACAGATTTGAATGGACATTAATCATGTGCGTACAAGAGCTTAATCTTAAAAACCGCCAAAAAATTGAAAGAGCATTGATGTTGTCGTTTTTACTAGCTCGGAGAATTTGTTCACTAAAAAGCCCTCTTCATTTTTGGAATCGCTTGACATTTCTAAACAATGACTCTAATACTCTTCAGACGTTTTAAGGAACCATTTAGTGACACTTTAATTTGGAGAAAATCTCCGACTGCCGAGCATTTAGCCTTGTCGAGACCGTGCCCGGCATTCTGATCAGAAGCGTCTACAACCGAGTAATAATATTGTAGTGTGCACAAGCTCGAAGAAATTGTCCACTAAAAGACCAAGTTGATTTTTGGAATCCCGTAACATTTCTAAGCAAACATCTGATATTCCTAAGAAGCTTGAAAGAACCTTAATTTCGGTGGAAATTCTGTGAAAAATTCTGCGACTGTCGGGCATTTCGTCTTCTTAGGACCATGCCCGGCTGCCAGGCATTTAGTCAAAGCGTTTTCGAAAAGCTCCGTTTTAAACTTGTTTTCTTTCCTCAGAGTTTTAAAAAAGATTTTGAAAATGCGCTTTCAAAACTTTCAAAACAAGTCCCCGTTTATTCAGCGTGGTGAAGACAGGGCTCTTGGGAAATTTTGTGACCCTCTCGTTTCAAAATACGACATCTGTCTTATTGTACAGGAACATCGATCGTCTGGCGCTTTGTTGGCTCGAGAATTTCGACTGTTACATTTCGTGACATAATGGTAAATTTACTCATGACCTATCACGCAATTGACTTCGTCAGGTATCCAATTTTTACCAGTATTGTGCTGTTGTTTTAAGTCTGAAAAAAAAATTACATTTTCTTGCTTATAAAATTTTATTTTTCGCCTTGTTAAATGGAAGTCAAAAAAATTTGCTAAGAACTGGTTTTTGACTGGATTATAAGCAGCAATAAACAACAAACGAGTGCCTTTTTTATTTCTGCTCCCGCTTTTACGCCCTCAGATAGTTCCTGCTTCCCGCCCTCTCCCGTTCTCAGTTCTCCCGCTCCATTGTCCCCCTCCACTCTAACTTTTACTGATTTTTCCGTCACCGTGTAAGATACTCTGTATTACCCAAAATCGTTTGCTTGGAATTTATTTGTGACATTGTGATCTTCTCATTTTCAAGGACAAATGATAGAAATTGTTATTACATGTTGATCATTTTGTGGAATACTCTCGAACTGGTTTTGGCTCTCCGTGTAAAGGAATAGCAATTATTCAAATTTCTCTTAGAAAAGACAGAGAGTGTTTTCAAATTGTTTTGAAACAAACTGGCTTCGTGACGGATAAAACCCATTCGGTGTCTGTGGTTTCTCAGGTCTCGATATCTCGTGTGTGATTAGTTACAATTATTGATTTATATTTGTGACTAATAAGTTTGTCATAGATGCGACAAGTTCTTGCTTAGAGGAGACAAAAAGGAAAGCGGGATGGCGAAAAATTGTGGAAACTCCATTCGGAATGAAAAATTGGTTCCATGCAGCTTCCTGAAATAATTGCAAGATATTGTTTACCCGTTATTTAGTTTCTATCTAGAGGGAGGCTGGAACTCACAAGGCTCATCCAAGCAAGGGGATCAATATTGGCGCTAATCAAGAGAGTCACTGTCGCTAATCTTGTCTTTTACCCAAAAAAATTGGCAATTGAACGAAACAATCTTCAAAAGTTAAAATGTCCAGGGGGTTGCTTAGAGGGGATGTTGAAACTTCGAATTGATTGACGCATAATTTGCATCGCTTCGGTGAATCGAAGTGTCGTTGAATTAGAAGCTTATTCTGTCGCGTTTAGGAGTTTGATATCCATTATTTTCCTAACGGAGTTTTCTGTAGCATCGATCCTCCTCATTTCCTCAAACCAATGTCGCCGCAATGGCCGGCAAGCGAACCTTTATGTGAGAGGCAAGGTTGAAGAGCAAAGCTTTCCGTACCCTCATCAACGGTAAGCCATGTTTTTACTAATTGGCCGTCTAAAAGAGATTCTAAAGTAACGTTTTGAGTTGTAGCCCTTCTTCAGAGCGGATCGAATGCTAAACAATTTACACTGAGTGAAAAAAACTAAAGCGAGGATCGTATTACACATGACAATGTCAAAAGTGTCATAAATAGTCTAGCTAATTCGCGCAATCTTCAAGTTAAAACCTGACGAACAGCGACATGACTAATTCTTGCTTATCCAACTATTTTCTTGCCTTTATTTCCTTTTTTATTGAAAGAACACGAGTGCGTGATTTTAATGTTGAGTAACTTGGTGAGAGTTGGTTTGGAAGTTTTTGTAAAGTCACGTGCAATTCCTTAACTTCTGCACGGTATGTTGGAAACTAATCGCGAACACTATGTGAGCTTGGAACAAGTTGCGGATCACAACGACGCTAGTGAAAAATAATACGATGCAAATGACCCAGGAGAAGGGTCATTTCAAATTTTCGAGGATTATGCAAATAAATGCATATAGAGCAGGACGTCGTTGATTTTGAAATGGGTGACACTGACACAAAAAGTGGACCTGACAGTATCGTCGGCATTGGTGACAAAAGGGACTTATTTACCGTCTTTTGTTTTAGTTTGTCAGGTGAAAAATTGCTAGAATGAAACGAAATTCCTTTATTCATCTGAAAGCTAAGAGCAAATAAACTAAATGTTGGCTAAAATGTTCCTTTCACCAGGAAGTTGATTAATCACTTAATAGTCATAATAATAGTAACCATAGGTTAAAATGGTTGGAAACCATAGGCTTTGGAGGTGTGGGCAATGAATGGAAAATTTATTTTTATACCTGAAAGCCGCGAGCAAATTAATGAAATGTTTAGTTTAAATTTGCATTTCACCAGCAATTTGAATAATTTTGTCTTCGACAGCCCTAAAGCGTGACGTGGTACTATCTGCTTTCGCGTGTTTTTGAAAATTTTCCAAACTGACTGAACTTATAATATAATAAAAGTATAAAATAACCTTCTAGATTTAATACTTGTAATAGTAATCATAGGTTAAAAAGTGTGGGCCTAGATGCACCGATAGAGCCTTGCGTTTGAAGTGGTGGGTACTAGGCGGAAAAATTCTTTGTTTATCTACAAGCCACGAGTATAAAAACGAAATGTTTAGTTAAAGTGTCGCTAACTCGAAAGCTTATTCTGTCGTATTTAAGACTTTGATATCTGTTATTTTCGAACAAATCGAAAGCTGTGATAAGCCAGGTAAGCGGAGTTGCTTCACACCACGTGCTTCTTACGTGCTTCCTACGCACTTGGCTTTTTGCGATGACGTTGGTGTCTACTGCCTTCCAAAGCAGTAGACACAAAAGGTCGAACGGTCTTTACAAAAACCATGACTTACTGACTAGTGAGTATGTTTATAACCCTTAGATGACAACTTGATTCTGAAACCCTGGAAATGTAGGCGTAGACGCTTGACCGCTGCGTTGAACAGGCTAGGAACAAATAAGGATATTTTCTTGATATTTTTTAGGTCTCAAGCAATGGCACCAAAAAGCGGTTACAGGAAAATCTCCAGTGATGACGATAATGAAGTCAGTTTTGCATCTTCACTTTTTTTCCATTGGATGAACGGAGTCTTTAAAAAGGGCAGTCAAAGACCTTTGGATCAAAATGATTTTTTACCCTTGTCAGATGAAAACTCTGGGCGTTTTGTCACCGAAAAGCTTCAAACAAGCTGGGAAAGCGAGAAAAATCACTGCAAAATAAATGGGAAAAGGCCCAAACTTTGGAAAAGTGTGTTTGATATGCTTTCTATCAAAGATCTTATCATCATTATGACGGGGAACATATGGTATTCATTAAGTTGCCTTCTCTTTCCTCTGTTTCTCGGGTATCTTGTCTCTAGTCTTATGTCAGCTGAAGCAGAGAATACTTACATGATCTACGCCTGCGCATTAGCTTTGTGTCTCAATGGTTTTATCGGTGGTCTTGTTGCGCACCAGCAAGACTACAGATGTGAAGTGTTGGGGATCAAAATAGGCAGCGCCCTGAAGGGACTGGTGTACCACAAGGTAGGCACGATCTTTAAGAGTATTATATGCTTATTAAAAGAATTTATTTCCTCAAGAAACCTTAACCGATTGCAATCAACCCAAGCTATCGGGAGACCCAGAAGGAGAGGTTCATTGAACATTAAAACTGGTTGCTGCTTCTGCGAGAGAACTCAGTAAAACTCAAGCAATCCTGCCCACCAACGACCAAACAAAGTAACAGACAGTAACCTCAGTCAGTAGTTAACGGAGAAGTATGCTCCAGAAACCGTTAATTTTTTTACTCCAGCAGTGAAAAGTATCTTCAGAATATTGACGTCTTGTGACTTTTGAGCCTTCAAAGACCAACCTAGTCATTCGAAAAAATTCAAATGCGCCGATCATTCGCCATGGTCTCCTTCGCCAAAATTAAAAAAAGTTTCTTATATGGCTATAACTTAACATTATTTTGAGTCAAGAATGCCTTTTTGTGTAGCTCCTTCTTGTTCAAGTGGATCACTTCAAGATGGAAGATAAATGTTTCTTTCGTACGTCACAAGTAAACGACCGCTCCGCTGAGCGATCATCAAAATGGCGCTTGAGTTGTCGCATTTCTGACATAGTTAAATATGATTTGGTAAAGGTTCAATAATTCTCGTCTCGAAAGGCAGTAATGGATATCTTTTGAGGCGGAGCTTAAAATCTTACAGGTTTTGGAACAAACTTCCCCTTTAATGTCTAATCTGTACTCTCTTTTAGATGCTTCTTCTCAGCAAGCAGACGTTACTGAAATTCACTGCAGGACGCTTTTTTGACCTGATATCCAATGATGTTAAAAGAATGGAAGAAGAGACAGTCAAGGTTTTTTTCTCAGCCGTTTCCGCGGTTCCTGCTTTTGCAGGGGCAATATTCCTTATCTACAATTTGATTGGTTGGCAGGCTGTTACGGGTATGTTCCTCCTGTGTATTCTCATGCCATACTTTGCCGTCTTGTCCAATGCTAATGCTAAGCTGCGCTTGCGCACAGCCACAGTGTCCGATCAGCGAATCTCCCAAATAAATCAAGTAGTTTCCGGGATCCGCGCGGTCAAAACGCATGCGTGGGAGGACGAATATGGACGAAAGATAAAACATGTAAGAAGGTAAGGTAAATTATCATTTTTAATCAGAAGTAGGCTTAAACAACTAGCTTCATTCATTCCCGTTTTGGCGCAAATTATTCAAAACTCGGAAATAGATAACCACGAATCTGTTTTGTCTCCACAGAGAGCTTTATCAGCCGGCAGTTTAAACCTCCCCTCCCCCCCGAAAAACAAAGCTTTACTACTTTGACGGCTGTATGAGCCAATCAGAATACCTCTTTTCACAAAGAATAAGTGTCTCATGTAACCCATATTATAAGTGGAGGACTGACCGGTCAGTTAAAAAATATCAGTATATACTAAGTAGATAGAGTTAAAAGAGCGCTCTAACTGGTTACTCAAACCCCGAATGTCCTTTGCAATTTATCTTCGGACGACTCGTGCGGGAGTTGCGCTCGAAAAATATTGTAATCGTTTTTACCGTTGTGTCGGTAAAAGGGGGCGGATATCACCTCCACTTCGGAGAAAAATAGTTTATTATAATAATTTCATTGAGTCTAACTTGTCTTCAGTGGGTATTATTTTCATTGGGTCTCAAGAGACGCACTTTCACGGAGAATTGTACGATGAAGAAGGGTGCGCTTACCGCCCACTCACCTCGTTGATATTTCAAATTGGAGAGAACACTGACCACGAGTTGGTTCGACAGAATGCTCACATAACTTATGATAACCTTTTATCTTCAGAAATGAAATCAGCGTCATTTCCAAGAGGTCAGCCATTCAGTCAAGTATCGCTGCCTTGTCATACAGTGCAACGCCACTGGCCGCTCTGGTGTCAGTAATTACTATGGTGCTTACAGGCCAGACCCTCACGCCCGCCAATGTTTTCATGTTGCTGTCGTTTATGAGTGTTTTAAAATTTAATGGCAGGTTGAATATGATAAATGGTTTAATGTTAACTTATGACGCCTATGTTTCGCTCGGAAGATTTGAAGAATTCCTTCTTTTGGAAAATCTGTTGGAAGCCTCGGAGAGTGATGAAAGCAACAAGCCCCAACAAGAAACGAAAAGTACCGCAACTTACCAAAGTCGCAGTTACTTGAAAAAAGAAGCGGGAAATATGGAGAATGTCTCCCTTTCTCGTGAAGCAGCAGAATTAGGGCCTACTAATCTAAGTGTTACAAATTTAACCTATGCAAAAACGCATCGTGAAGATGAATTTATTCTTCAGGATATCCACTTCTTTGCACCTTCAAAGAGTTTAACAGTCATCACTGGCCCGGTTGGAAGTGGTAAGTCTACTCTGCTCTCAGCGATCGCTGGTGAAATTTCGAACGCCAGTGGGACGATTGATTATCAAGGTTCTGTTATTTACTTGCCTCAGACTGCTTGGGTGTTCTCGGGAACGATAGAAGAAAATATTCTGTTTGGTCAACCCTTCGAGGAGTCTAAGTACGAAAGAATAATCGACGTCTGCGCTCTGAAAGAAGACTTTCAGCGGTTACCTGATGGTGACCAAACAGTTGTTGGAGAACGCGGCGAGGTTCTGAGTGGAGGACAACAGGCGAGAGTAAGTTTAGCTCGTGCAGTTTATGCTGACGGAGATATTTATCTATTGGATGATCCACTGAGTGCTGTCGATTTTAAAGTTGGCCAACACATCTTCAACAAATGCATCAAAAATTTGCTAAGCGATAAAATCGTTCTTTTAGCCTCTCATCAGCAACAGCACATGGAAAATGCTGATGAAGTGATTGCGTTGTACAAAGGGAATGTCCTCGACAAGGGACGCTTTACTGAACTGCATGAAAAAGGTGTAATCAGTTCAACTGTTGACCCGCTCTATAAAGCAGCTCCGAAGGACAAAACGGACTCATCTGAGACGTTCGGTTGGGAAGATAAGGAGGATTACGAAGATGCTGAAAAATGCCAGAAAATACATCCTTTGCCCAATGAAGCGAGGAGTTTAAAGATAGCAAAGGAGGATCGTGCAATCGGAGTTGTGACATCCAAGCTTTATTGGGACTATTTCAGAAGTGGAGCACATCCTTTGATGATAACTGGAATGATTGGTTTTAGTCTCATCACTCAAGGTAAACTTATTGTTAGACTAAGTTACAAACTTTGGGTCAGGCTCATAAAGGAAATACAGCAACCTTTTATATTTTTTTTTCTATTTCTTTTATTCTATTTCGTGCAAATGATTTCACTATGACTATGCTTTTAACCAGCAATACGCGTTGGTTTTAGATTAGACGGTAGAGTTAAGAGACACTGCACAAATTGTTTTCACCATGTTCCCAATATTTCACTTGCTTGTACAAGCGCGAGACAAGCGCTAGTCGAACGTGAATGGCGAGTCACGCACGCGAAAGGAAGAGCTGGTGTCTTGCTCTCGCGTTTGCCTTGCACTTGCCCCACTCGCCTGAAAACGGCTAAAAAACCACTCGTTCTACAAACTAACTTTCTGAGACCAAATGCAGTTTTCTAACAATATTTATGTGTAACATGGTTGACTGCTTCATCTATTCTGTGACATTATGGTGCTTACATAAACATCCCCAAGATACTAACGGTAGTAGGTAACCCAAGCGAGTTGTGTCTAGGCCCACTAAATCTTACAACGTTCAATTGAATGATCGTATAGAAATACATTTCAACCACCACATCTTAATGCTGTCTCTTTCAGCCATCATAGCTGCTCCAGACTTGTGGCTCTCGTTTCTTGCAAGGCTAAACCCAGATGATCAGAATAACAAGACTTATCTATCCGTCTTCGCCTGTCTGGTTGGCGCGTGTTTTATATTTACTATCGTTCGGGCTTATGGATTCCTCCTAGTTTCTCTAAAGTGCGCCGAGCGTCTACACGATAAAATGGTTGTGGCCATTTTACGAGCTCCTGTCCTGTTCTTTGATTCAAATCCAGTAGGAAGAATCCTAAATCGCTTCTCCAATGATATTGGCTGCGTAGATGAGTTGTTACCCAAAACGTTCCTGGAAGCAATGCAGATGCTCTTGGTCATATTTGTCCAAATTCTGGTAACAGTTTCCACAAATGTTTGGCTGATGTTTCTTGTTGTTCCAATTTCCGTGTGGGTGGTTTTTCTATCCAATTATTACTTGAAGACTGCCAGAGAACTAAAGAGGTTAGAGTCGATATCCCGAAGCCCAGTGTTCGCTCATTTTTCGGAGACCCTGATAGGACTGGACACGATTCGTACAAGAGGAAGACAGAGAGATTTTGTGGATGCACTTTACAGGTATGTTAGAGACATCGATCCAGCGTGTGATATCAGAGTCAATAAATGCACAGGGAACAAATGAGTTTTAATTTACACCATCTCCACCCAAAATTACCCCGCAATTTTCTCTGAACGATATATTTTTTTATTTACCGGCGATACACGCAACTGTATCACGCTTCTTTTTCAATCCTTTCTGGTACTTGCTGAGACACTGGTCAGCAAGTGGACTTTTCCATATACAAGGTACCTTCGCGAAATGAAGCTATCCGAAATAGGCACGAAGGGCATTACCCGTGGTAAGACCACAGTAATTTCTCTCTATTGTTTTCGTTCTTCTCATGGGATTTTAACAGACCCTTAATACGAACGGTCAGTCAATATTTGGAAAAATATCCATATTGTTAACAAATTGGGCTCTAAAGGCTCTCCCTTTATCTTGACGAGTAGAGCATACCTAAGACTGAGATGTGGTTACGGAAGCGATCATTTGGACATTTAGCTAGAAGACATTTAGCTTTGATAGGATGGGGGTCGGGTGGAATTTGCTGAAGGGCTTCATTACATTGTCAGGCCAAAGGAGACACTGGTCTAAGTCTAATGTGCAATTTAATAACAACAAACCGATCAGAACAAAAGAAAAGATCACAAGTAGAGAAAGAGGTCTTAAAAACAAGGAGACGACTTTGAGCGCGGATAAACGCACACGACCAATAGGCGGTTGGTTTTGCGCAAGTTTGCTGGACCAATCACGAAGCAAAATAATACAAAGCTTATAAAATGCGATTTATTTTCGACAGTAAACTGAAAAATCACTCCATTATTAAAACTTATTGTGATAAACACTCGTCCCTTCAGACATCAAGATGTTCATAATCAGGCGTACATTATGGTGATGGCCAGCGGTAGGTGGCTCGGTGCACGTTTGGATTGTTTCGCTTCCTTGTTAGTCGGTGCAGTTGCTCTGGCTGCAATCTTGGTATCTCAAGATGCCGGTAAGCTCATTCTTAGTAACGTTTTAGTCTTTCTGTGTAAAACAATAATCTGTATGGTCGTGTATTAACACAGCATGAACAACTGAATAATACAATAAGTGTGAAAATACGTGCACTCTCATTATAAGCGGGTGACTGCCTGGACCCAGCTAGGTAACCTAGCCTTTTTAGGGTTTACACGTATATGTCCGAGTAATCGGAAGAAAACTGGTATTGAGTTTCTAAAATAAAGTTCCAATTTTTTTCCAGCTTATGCTGGTCTCGCTCTCGTTTACGTCATCCAAACTCTGAGCTCGACTCAATACGCTGTTAGGAAAACCTCTGAAGTGGAAAGCTACATGACGTCAGTTGAGCGAGTTATGACCTACACCAAACTTGACCGGGAGCCCGGATACGAGGAAGAACGAACACCCCCACAAGACTGGCCTCGGAGAGGAAGTATTGTGTTGAGAAATGTATCACTGACCTACTATCCGGGGGGACCTCAAGTGCTGAAGAACATCAATCTTAGCATCAAAGGAGGAGATAAGATCGGAGTTGTCGGCCGTTCGGGAGCTGGGAAGTCATCTTTTGTAGCAGCTCTTATGCGCATGCCTGATGCTGATGGAGAGATAATCGTTGACAATGTTCCTATTAAAGAGATAGGCCTCCAACAAGCCCGGCGAGGTATCTCGGTTCTTGGCCAAAGTCCTGTTCTTTTTAGTGGATCACTCAGAAAAAATCTCGACATTTTAGACAAGTTTCAAGACGCTGAATTATGGCAGGCTTTAGAGGATGTGCAACTGAAAGATTTTGTTGAGACACTTGAGGCTAAGCTGGATCACGAACTGCTGGAACATGGCGCTAATGTCAGTGTTGGAGAGCGGCAGTTAATTTGCTTGGCTCGTGTGCTGCTACAGCGAAGTAAAATTGTCGTCTTGGACGAGCCAACTGCGCATGTAGACCCAGACACAGAGCAGACGATTTGGAATGTAGTGCGGAACAATCTGAAGGGGTCCACTGTCATCACTATAGCTCACCATTTGAACACAATAAAAGACTGCAAGAAGATTTTGGTCTTGAAAGATGGACAAGTTAAAGCATTTGACAATTTTGATTCAGTAGTGAACAATGAGCTAGAAGCTGCCTAAGCCAACTCATTCCCAGGGTCCTCTCTTTTCCTCCCTAGAGAGGGTGGGAAGGAGGTTGGTCCTCCTATTGATCAGGAGTAAAGAACCAGTGGAGATGCCCTGTGAGCAACTTATTTGCACCTCTTAACCACCCCATGTCGTGCACACAATCAATAGGATAGTAAGTTATTTAGTAATACAAGTTTTTTGTGGGACCTTAGTTTATAAATTTCTCTACTAAAAATGTGTTATATATCTTTTCACTATTTTAATGATGAATTTCTAGAAGTGCAAAATTGCCAAGTACTTTAATGAAGCACAATGGGACTATCGACTGTGGAATACAGCTGTTATGTATGGGTAACTACATAATTTTGAGTGTAATAGGTGTAAATAAGCACAAGTAAATTTTTCAAAGACAGCAAAATTGCATGAGCCTGTAAAAAATTTATAAGTGCTTATTTACATGAAATTGTACAAAAACTCATGTTGTTACTTTTTAATAATTTAAATGAAAAACACATCACAGAGTTGATATGGACTTTTGGCAGTACACACATGCTATTTGTAATTAGCACTTGTGTTACAAATTTGCACTTGTGTGACAACTTTTCACTGGAGTTAGTATGGGTAATAACATGATTTTGAGTGAAATTTGGTGTTAATAAGCACTAGTAAATTTTTCAAAAACAACAAAATTACATGAGCCAGGAAAGCAAGTGCAATTTTTTTTCTTTGAAAAATTCAAGAGTGCTTATAACCCCAAATTACATGAAAAATTATGTTATTACTTGTTAATAATGTACATGGAAAAATATCACAAAGTGTAGACTGACAAAACTTTGAAAGTGTGCATGCACTTTTTGGAATTTCCACCTGTGTTTCAACTTTGCACTCATGTTACATTAGAACACACTTGTTTTCAGCCTCTCAGAAGCATGTAATTTCTTCATGTACATTATTACATGAAAAGTTTAATGTTTTCAGCCAATCATACACACATAATTTTTTCATGTATACAATTTACAAGGGTATAGCTTAGCTGGTGTGTGTATGGAGGGGATCAAAAGTCCCCCCCCCCTGCACAAATGGAAAATACCAAAATTAGCATACAATGGCAAAAATGGGAATGACAACAAGTAGGTAATGATACATTGTCAAGAAGTCAATAACAAGCAATGAAGTTCACCTGTAGCAGTTTATCTGTTTGTTATATGTATAGTCTCATTCATCTAAAGAATTAGTGTATATTGTTGTAAATTTTGAAGGGTGTCTGAAGTGTGGATGAAGCTTTATGCTCAACTTAACTCTCTTCAGATAGTTTACATTGTTTTGCATATTTACCTTTATATCAATGATGACTCTTGAGGCCTTAAAATAATGGGCATAAACTTTTTGAAGAGCCAGAGCATAAACCCTTTAACTCTTACAAGTGACTGACTTCCAATTTCTCCCTAAAGTATCACCCTTGAATCATGAGTTTAAGCAAAGATTAAGTCCTCCTCAGTAAGTTTTGAGTGTAAGAAAATTCAAAAAACAGATCCAAACAGGTGGCTGTTAACATGATAAGACCTTGAAAATAATTTGTGGATAATCATCATCAAAATGGCAGTCATTAATTTAGAGTCTCACATTGTATAGAACATTTTGACCATAAATTGCAAAGATCATTATCAGCCTTGTTCAAGCCACAAGAATAAAGGAAATGATCACCACTTTAACAAGCTCCTGATTGTCCAACAAATTCTCCTTGTCAGTACCATGGGAAATGTAAAGAAAACAGTGTGAAGAATACGAATGATACTGGTAATATTGGGGTGCAAAAGGTTGATATTAAGCTTAAGCCAAAGAAATTTAAAGATTGAATGTTAATTTTGTTTTTATTTGACAAATTAGTGCTTTAACCCATCTAAGGACCAAATTAAGGCAATTTCCACAGACATGCCTTTTACTTCAACAATTCAAATGTCATAATGAAAAATAATCCAGCTGCTGCTATGAGTTTGTCTAATAGGGTTGCTTTCAAGAATTATGAAGTTATTCACCTATCCTGATATTGCAGCAGTGCTCGCAACACTCAGCATGCTGTACAAATAAATGAAAAGCATAATTTAGCTGCTGTAGTTGTCTGTCTACTTCATCGATCTGTTCCTGTAGTCTTTTATTTGCCTGCTCCAAACTTTGAAAGCGTTCCCTCCTGAAAGAAAAGAAAACTGGCTGCAGAAGTCTCAAGCACTTGCAGTCTACTGCCGAGGTGTTTCAGTAGTTCCACCATGTCACTATGAAACGATATTTCCTCGCAAAAATCTGCACAGAAAATTTCTGAACAGGACAGAATTCAAATTCTCTTGAAAGTTAACAGTTTTCAACTTTGTTAAAGGTACTTCATAACATGTAGGTCAATGATTTCACGGTTACCTCCTCTTCCTGTATTTTCGACTGCTCTCCACGTTTCGAGCTCTTCTTTTCCCGTCTGTTTTGTAGAGTCTGCCTTCATTTATAGAAGTCTTTGTAGCGGACCACGATGTGAGGGGAAGCGGATTCTGGATGTTTGAAGAAGAACTGGTCGCAACCTGTTGAGGCAAAAGCAATCAATTAGGGACTTTTTTTCCCCAGCGGATGCCTCCTCTGCCACACGAAAGGTCACTCAAATAAAACAAACTACAACATAAGATACCTCTTGTTGCTCAGAGAACTTAATGCACACAGCTGGGTCTGCATAAATTGTAAAATTCATGATCGTTTTTGAAACGACCTTTGCGCCTCCTTCCGCTTACTTCCAGTAAGCACAGAATGACGATAGCGCGGTAAAGGACTACCTCGTACCCAGGTCCTATGGGACAAACATTTTAATCTTTGGGGTTGGTATTGGATAATTTTTCTACAGTCCAATTTAATTTTTCTGTCCCTTTCTAAATATATTTCTTAGTATTATTCCTTTTATCCATTTCGAAAATGTCCTCTGATAGACGTTGGAAATCATCATCTACAAAAGTTTGCAAATAAAAGTTCAAAACCGGCGTTGTTTCCCTCTATTTTACACGCAGCCAATTAAAGCCCGAATTCATATCACGTGATTCTACAACCCAAACAAGAGGAGCGTTGGGAACAAGCTATAAATTTGTAATGATTTTTCAAAGCTCTAAACAAGCTGATGGTAGTATAGAGCGAGAGCTTTTTTCATCTTATTTAGAAAGGTAACTTATCTCCGGAAAAATTTACTCGTAGTTGGACAAGAAGACGTCAGAATGGACGAAGGATCAGTGGAGGTGACTGGTGTTTTTAGTGCTTTTGCGTTGGTGAAAAGTTGATCGAATTATTTACAGAAACCAAATCTGATACTCGCTCAGTAATCTAAGCAAAGATTAAGTCCTTCTCTGTAAGTTTTGAGCGTGAGAAAACGCAAAAAACAGATCCTAACGACTGGCTGTTAACATGATAAAAACTGGGAAATAATTTGCGGATGACCGTTTTTCAAAAATCGTCATCAAAATGACGGTCATCAATTTGGAGAGAACATTCGACTCTAAATCGTAGAGATTAGGACAGGTTTTAAAATCTAGACCAAAAACCGACACACTATCGATTATTTTATACAATTAGTTTTTTTTAAGGCAAAACGTTTTCCTACGGTTAATAATAATGGTTTGAAAACAGGAGGCTCAGAACACTGACAAACGCTATTTCAAACAATCACATTCAGAGGAGATCCTAGAACTATTAATCCCATTAAATCAAAACAAGAAAGGTAAACAAGATACATATAGAAGTAAATTTTATAAGATTACAGGTGACTTCATGTTAAGGCCAACAATTGATAATGCAGCAATTTTTCAAGTAGTATTTCCATCGCATCTAGACTGACTTTGACTATCATAAAGTTAGGTACAATGTCTAGTCTGTGACCATCAAATGGTAATCTTAGTAAATTAATTTCTAAATGACAGCATCCTATATAAAAACAATATTTGTTAAGAGTGATGAACCAGTCAGTTACATATGAAACTAAATAGAAATTTATGAAAGCTATTTGAGCAGGCTCTAATAAATCATAAATTGAACTGGTAATTTTTGATTAAACATTATGGTATTTTAAATCAGTATAGTTTGTGTTTGTAGGCAAAAATATGTCTTTGGCCAGACTCAGAGTCATTTTAGCTTGAGGCACTAGGCAAGATCTAAAATAACTCTGAAAAGGGTCTAGAACATAGAACTTTATACCCAAGAACATTAACTGTATAACTATTATTATCACTCTGGAGGGCATTGAGAACATAAAAACTGAGAAAAGGCTACAAAACAGTCTGGACAATCCCATGGGTGTGCAAAGAGGCTAATATACTGTACATTTTAGCTTGTAAAATTTACCACAATACCCAACAAAGTGTTGAAAATAAGTTATGATACATTTGAGATTGGGATAAACTTACATTAAGACTATTCACTCTAAGTCAGCTGTAGTGTCAACTTGACTGAAGTGCTGAGAGACTTTAAGTAAAAGGCCAACAGCAGCTGTAAGTTGAGAATTCTTTTCCCAAGCAACAGACTTATTTGATCTGTACTGTTTAGTTTCCCATTTTCAGTCATTCATCTGTGAAAAACCTTGCAAACGTCTCAGTTACTCAATTTGGATGTGTTTGTTTTCTGTTTACTTTCCCAGAGTCTAGCAGAGGTTTTCAGATGCTTTATCTGCATGGAGAAGCTGCGAGATGCTAGACTTTGTCCTCATTGTTCCAAAATGTGCTGTTTCTTATGTATAAGGGTGAGTTATATAGATTTTATGTCATCTATTGCAAGTCAAGATGCACAACAGTGTGTAAATCAAAACTAAACATTCAGAGGTGTGTGTAAGACCTTAACCCTTTTGCTCCCAAGATCTTATTAGAAATTCTCTCAGCTGTCTGCTATAAAATTCTTGTATGTTCCTACATAGAGTTTGGTAGTGAATCAACTTTAATTCTCTAATTTAAATTTTTGTCCATTTGTATAACATGTCTGCTTGATATTGTATTGAATGAATATTGTAAGGGGAAATTCTGTCTTTGTCACTCAAGAAAGTTAGAGGGTTAAAGAACTCTTTGCTTAAAAAATGTTAAAATTTTTAAAATTGTGCCATGTGATGCACTGTAACTTTCAATAAGAAACTTGTAACAATCAACTCTTCTTTTTCCTCTGATGAAGGTTAAGTTAAGAATCTCAGCAAACATCCAGATTTTTATAGCACTTTCAGTGTTCACCCTTGTATTTTAACCATGACAGGTTAAAGACATTTTTAAACCAGAAGAGCAATCCTTTTTCCAATTGAATTTTGAAAAATTCCAAGTCATTTTAGTAAGATGTACTAGAGACAATAAATTTAATCGGTTACCATCCTAAAAGGAGAACACTGAACTTTTTGTTTATACACAGCAAACGGCTTCTTGTAAGTCCTGGGTTTATATGACTTTTTCAGGTTTTTCTTTTTTTAATGAAACATATTGGAGCATTTGCCTCATAAGTAGATGTGCTCATTTAGAGAATTCCTGCTAAGGGATTTTTGATTGACATAGGGGATTATTTTCTTGAGGGTATGTCTCAGGGAGTTTACATATAAGCAGCATTAACCACAATTGGCAGTAACATTGTAGTTTGATTAGCTTGTTGATAAGAGTACAGATGATGATGCTTGCATCAACTTGTCATGCAACAGTCAGGCACTGAAATAATAGTTTAATTTGAAGTCTTTATTGTGGTCTGTACTCTTTTGCAATGTTCAGGACTGATACAATAGTTTTATTTGATGTCTGTAGCATGGTCTGTACTCTTATCGACAACAATTTTGGTCGCCACAGTGGTCATGATTTGTTGTGGACTCACGAGATATACACAAAATTTTTACCACTGCGGTGATGAATATTGTTGTTGATAAAAGTACAGACCATGCTTAACCAATGACTATTTGTTGATTTTACAGTAAACCAAACATTTTTTTAACTACCTGCACAGGGGTCTCAATAACATTTTCTATATTAAGAGGTTGCTTATGGTGCAATAGGTTGCCATGTTGTAAGGTAAAACGCAAGCAAAAGAGCTAGCTCACATGTTGAACAAACCACAGTGAGAGGTCTTACAGGCGGTGGTAGATGCCAGGTGGTTTTTACTGAAACCTTTCTGTTAAGTAGTCATAACTCACCCCTCCCCCATTCCAGGATACCTGAACTACAGGAGAAAAAAGATCTGCAACTATCTTTTACAAGTTATAAGTCCTTTTCATGGGTTTTACAGCATTATGTAAGATCTTGAATAATGGGGGTAGGTTTGTAAAGGAATTAAAGGGGATTTAAAGGGGATTTAAAAAATTAATAAAAAGATCCTTTTTAATAGGATTCATGAATTTTTGTTGAAAGTATTCATGATGTTCAACCTACATTCTTTCTATTTATTGTTCAAGGGGCCACTAACTATTTTGCCTTTAATAAAAATGTATTAATTTTTATGTCAAAATGATTTTTATTTGTTAGTTACTTTGTGTATCCTTCTTTTCAAGGTACAATATTTACATTGTTAATCTTTGAGTATACAGTTTATTGTAAATCGTTTGGGTTGAATTGATTTAACTTTAAATTTGAGCAAAAGTGAAGCACATATTTACTGTCACATACCTCTTCAACTTTTTGGCAACTTGATAGAATGCTGTATTCATTGGTAACAGATGAGGGAAAAACAATATTTTTGAATGTAATAATTAAAACCACTCTCTATACCGTGACAAGTTTCTGTCACTTCTCATTTCAAGTTAAGACCAGTTGTTGTATCTGAAACAAATTCTATTCACACAAAGAGGAGGATTTGTAAAACTTTTCTTGGTTTTGTCACATAGTAGATTTTTCTTGTTAAATTTTATTTTTAATATCGTAGAACAGTCATGTAAGAACACTTCTTGCCTGTAACCATATTTGAAAAAAAAAAACCCAAAGTCTGGGGAACCTGAGGCTGTTTAGCCTAGAACAAGTAAGATCCCTGGTTTTTAGGAAAGTTGGACAATCTTTGATTTTCTACCATGTGCATGTACATGTACTGCATTTTTTGGCCAGCATCCACTGATTTCCATCTGGGGTGCATTGCATTGGCTACCACTCAGAGTTAAATGGTTAAGTGTTGAATTTTGGGAGTTGAGTACATGCTGTAGCATCACATACTCGTAGCTACAGTTCACCATTTTTAAGCAGATTTCTAAAGGACCTTAGCCAAAATTTAACTTAACCCTTCGACAGACCCACAGGTGATTAACTGGAACTACTCCCAGTAATATTCATACATGTATATTGTCCAGCAATATGAAAAGTTTGAGAATACTCAAACTAATTGGATTCTAGGTTTTATCTTGATCTAACACCAACCTCTCCTAATTACGCAATTTTTGGCATGTTTCATTCATGTTTTTCAGTTAACGTATACTGGTATGCGAGCGGTACTGTAATTTGCAAAGAGATGTGTATCAGCTAGAGGGGAGAATTAACAATCAGATCTTGGGAGTTTAAGGGTTATCACAGGGTTTCCTTCGATACAAGTTTAGTAAACTTTACTACAGTAACTGTTCTTAATCATTCAATCCCAACTGAGTGAGTGAGTTAATTCAGCAATCCTCTTGAATATAAAGCTGGTAAATAGAGTGAGTGAGTTGGGCCAAGCTTGCTCTTACACAAATACACTAAGAATGCCTTCATCTGCTTCTGTCCTCCATTACAATTAAAGAATTTTACATCTAGAGTTAAAAAATGTAATTATTGTAACCTGAAATTTGTGTGACAAAAGAGCTTAATTTTGGTGTCTGAAGCCAGCTGATGGAGGTGTACCTTGAATAAAAATTTATTTGTACTGGAGATGAATGAGTGAGAATTTGGACCTTTCAAATTTGGGTTCAGCTTAAAACAGGTTTTTACACCATTCTGTGAATCATGAATTTTTATCAAAATCCAGGGAAAATTTAACTTCTTGTGGGTCATCTTTTGTTTGACTGTGTCTTTTTTTGTTTAATTAAGGCCTTAGGAGGAGTGCTTTATATTTTGATTAATGGGTAGAAATTATGCTTTTAAGAGGAAAAAAGGGTTCTTCAACTGCATATTATATATTGTATTTATCTGACAATGGAAGTTTTGTTTTCGATTAAAATAAAAGGTAAAGGAAATTTCAAAAACTGATGCTTATGGCCACCACCAGTACAGTATCTTAATATGTAAATTTTGCTAAATGCATCCTGTTTTTTAAGTAATGCAGGTGTTCTTGGTTATTTTTCTTTATTTTTATTTTGAATACATTGTATATCCTTTTTTATCAGTTATTTGCATGGTGACTTAAAGTGACTTGAAAGTAACCACTGAGTGAGACAAAATAATTCTAAGAGTGCTAAAAATTTACATTTTAAAATCAGTTTTCAGACGGAAATTTTCTGCATCATATTATGAGGGATTTGTCTCTTGAGGAATATTGTTAATTCTGCTCGGTTAGTTTTAGTCTGGTTCTGAGTCTGGTCAAGGATTGAATCCCTCTGTTTGGTGTGAGAAATAATTATGAGAAAATTGTGCAGAATTTGTAGAAGGTGACACAATCAGAAATTCTAAACACAATTTTTGAAATTTGATTTTGCAAATTGTGTAGATTTGGTTTGAAACACTCACTGTCATTACCTTCACAATTATATGAAACTTTCAGTACTGTAGCTCTACATTATGACTTTGTGTGGAGAGTTACTGACAATAGTTGCCATTTTAAGAGCCTTTTTTGTGTGGAGATTGGGCCATTTTGAATTTTGAGATTTCTGTGTAGATGTTTTGAGTTAATATGACTTGAGGTCATTTGTGTGAAATTGCACCACCAAGTAATATCTCAGAAGCCTTGCAAAATTTGATGCATTTAAAAGTACCCAAGTTATTTGGTATAGTATGTGACACACATGGATTTTAGGATGATATTCAAACGGGCAACTGTAAGTAGTTGTTCAAAACCTTGAGTATTTGCAGTGCATTTAAGTGATATTTCCTTGTTAAATCATATACAGTCATGCATTTACTGAAAATATTGCTCAGTTGGCATGCAGTGGCACCCAACTACACTGTAGTATTTGGGGACAAGATTTAAGTGCAGTTAAGGCCTTAATTTGTTTTGCAATGGCTGAACCCCTTAAATCCCAAGATCTCAGTAGTAATTCTCCTTACTGTCTGCCATGCAGTTCTTGTACATGTGATGTTAGTTTGGAAAATTTGGTATTGGATCAACTTATAATCCTCTAAATTATATTTTTCTTTATTCTCATCACTTATCTGCTTGATATTGTATTGATGTTGTAAGGAGAAATTCTGTCTTGGTCACTCATGGGAGTTAAAGACTAAAATTGCAGCTTATCTATAAAGATCATGGTTTAATTGATTTTCAGTTCACAGGTTTAATTTTTTTCATAACAAATTAAAAATGTAATAATAATGTGCAAAATGGTATGTCATGTTGAACAAAATTGAAGATCATATTTTTACTGAACAAATGTGGGAAATATTTCTTTGGTTCAAAGGCATTTGAATTAAAATTGAACTCACAAAAAAAGTTAATAATTGTAAAAGATACTGTAAGTGAAATCTTTATTGAGTAGACACTGAAGGGACATTAGGTACAACTTTATTTTATTTAATAATTGTTACATAAAACACTTCCTCTTCCCCCCTTGTCTATGTTGGTAAGGAAATAATTGATCTGCATGCAGAATGCTGAACGTTTTTAAGAGAATGGAGTGTCCAAACAATTTTAGTTTCCAATTAACCCTTTCACTGTCAAGATCTCTTCAATAATTGTCCTTACAGTCTACCATATAATTTTTATGATATTAGTTTGGAGAATTTGGTATTGGACTAACTAATAAATCCCCTTAATGATATTTTTCTTTATTCTCTTCATTTGTCTGATTGATTTTTTTTTTGATGTTTGAGAGTTAAGAGAGACAGAGTGTAATCTGCTAAATTCAAAGTTAAATTACTAAGTTCATATTTTATCTTTTTAAATTATTTTTGTGGCTACCTCATCCTTTGGGAGGAACAGGGTACTCATAAATATGAAGGATGCAGCAGGTTTTCTATTTTGCATGTGAGACAAATCTCCTGCAACACCATCCTCCAGCATCATTATACAACCTCTAGTTCTTTTCAATGCTATAAAAATTGTGCTTTATTAGTAACCACATGTAGGCTCAAACTGCCTATTTTTAATAGTTGATTTACATGAACTGTTAACCCTTTAACTCCCAGATCAAATTTGTAATTCTCCTTACTGTCAATCATACAATTCTTATAATATTGGTTCAGAGAATTTAGTATTGGATCAACTAATCATCCCCAGATTGATAGTTTTCTTTGTTCTCATCACTTATCTGGTCGATATTGTATTGATATTGTCAGGAGAAATTCTGTCTTGGTCACTCATGGGAGTTAAAGGGTTAATTACTAAAAATATTAACTAAAGAATGATAGAAAAGATTATGCATTGCAAGGATTATGTTATTTCATGGTTCCAGTTTTAATAACTGACTAAATATAGGGTAATCTAAATTAAACACAACCATTTATTATGATTGTTTTCTGTTTCATAGCGATGGTTGACTGAACAAAGACCACAGTGTCCACATTGCAGGTAAAATAATTAAAATATGTTTCTGGGAACATTATTCATCTTTCTAGCAGTCATAATGCCTACCCTTGCGTTTAAAAATCTATTCAGCCTTAAGTGAAAACCTTTTGCTCAACTTTTTTTCTCTCAATACAGGGCATCCCTTCATCTTCATGAACTTGTCCACTGTCGATGGGTTGAAGAAGTCACTCAGGTTTGAACTATTTTTGTTTTTTTACTGATTTTAGGAGCTACTGTTTAAAACTTTGGCAACATGTTGCCTTGATTGATCTGTTATGTAAACACCTGTGAGAACTGAGTGACACTGTGTCCAAAATAAATTACAGAAATGAACTTTATTTTAATTGTTACCATCATCTGTTATGAACAAAAGAAGCTGATAGTCAGCTGCCTTTTTTTTAGACAGTCAGTCAAAATACATTGAATGGTAAAAATGGTTTAAAGCACCAATTAAGAGCAACATCCAATATTTTTAGTGAGAAGACAACTTTGTTAATATGAGTGTACTTCATAAAGTAAATCGAGACTGGCATTGTTAACCAAGCCATTTTAGATTTTCTTCAGAATAAATAGCAAACAAAAAATATATTTCTCAGACAATATTTTTGTCACTTATCAGTTTCTGCTGACTTCTGAATTTACAGTTTTATGGATTAAATGAAGAGACAAGTTTTAGGTACTTCCATTTGAAACACAGTTTGTTTTTAGCATCTTCATAGAACCAAATTTTTGCTTTTATTCTGTTATTACTTAAATTTATCATGATTACTTTCAGTCTGTTAATTTTTGCTTCAGATCGAAATGCATAAATCTAGTTCTTCAAAATAAAGCTTCTAAAGGTGAATGGAGGAGGATATTAATTTTACTTTGTGGTTATGAAAATATCCACCAGAAAGAAAAAAAAAAGTTACTGGATAAATAATTCTTGGTTGAGTTTATGTTCATTTTTTCTGTTGGTGGGTTATGGGTCATTTGTTCATTACCTTTAAAATTACTTGATACAAAATATTTGCATATTTCATTATTAAATCATATCTCACTAAAACAACCCTAAATTATTTTGGTAAATAGTCAAGTCATGAGTGATGTCATGTGTAGGAGAAAGATGTCAGATCTTTCAACATAATACTTAATCAGATGTATTATCTTTATTTCATGGGGTGCGGTCATAAAAGATATTAAAGAGAGCTCACAGTGTTATAGGAAATGTGTGGGATTGTTCATGTCAAGCTTAGACAATTACTTAAGTTGCCTGCCGAATAATAAGTTGTCTCTAATTTGCATGCAGTCACTTATTAATAAATGACCCAAATTATTAAGCAAGAAAACTTCACTTTGGATTTAAGATTTTAATTCTCGTTTTATCTTTCAGCAACTAGACTCACTTCAGTTAACAGGCCCCCCTAAAGCTAAAGAAGATGCAGATAAAGACAGGTGAGATGAAATCTAATGTTTAGAGCCCCCTGGTATTTTTCTCTAACTGTCAGCTATTAGAGGATGCAGCAAATTTGCATAAGAGTTGCGAGAGAAATGTGTGCCCCTAAGAACTTCCTTTTTAATTTAAATGATCTTTGTGAGATTGGCAAGTGCTGAGCTGAGCAGGTGTCTTGTTGTAGGCAGAATATTATTGCTTTGTCTAGGGTCAGTTTAGCAACCCACACATTTACAGCCAGAGTTAAACTGATGACTCTGATCGCATTGATAAAATGTATTTCTTAGATCAAACACAGACAATATGTGCTGAAAAATGATTGTAACACTGGAACATTTTTCTAATGGCTTGGGATTCTTCTGAATGTTAAAACTTGAAAATGATGGTGAAATGTGCAAGTTGTGGAAAATTGCTAAGGGTAAAAGTAAGTGGAAGTATCGAAGCTTCAATACAATTTTCATTTGTTGATTTTTTTCACATCTTGGTTGGATTTTTGAGGAGAATTTTGAGAAATATATTTCACTGAATAGTGGGCTTGATAAAAGAGTCTATGCATATACGTGTTTGGTCATGGAAACTGCGGATGAAGAAGAATGCTGTTGATAGGTATACTTTCTTTTTTATGAATAATGAAAGTACCATCATCATTTTTATTTCAAGTGGTATCTTTTTCTGAGAAGTATGTTTTGGTCTCACTGTAAACTGTGATTTGAATTCATCTCACAAGCTATTGTCAATAGTAATTTTTGAACAGGATTTCATCCTTAAAGTCTATACATTTATACAACAATGTTATTCAAAATCATAACAGTACTGCAATTGCCTTCACTTGTTTGTGATTCATTTTTAAACTCAAGTCACTGTAGAAATTTTAAAAAATATTTTAAAGAAAGAAACCTACTTTTAGGAGTGAATACAAAATACTATGTAAACATTTCCACTCTGCTTACATGTAGATTTCTGGAAATATAAGGGAATATGTGCTACAGTGTCTCTGAATATCTTTAAGTAACTTATTTCGGCTGTCTGTGAGCACTGTTTATCTTTGTCATGGTTAAATATATGGAAATATAAGGGAAAATATTTTGAATGTGCTACAGTATCTCTCTATATCTTTATGTAACCTATATTGGCTGTTTTTAGAACACTGTTTGTCTGACTTTCATGGTCATGGCTGTTCACTGAACTGAGAGTCAGCGTTATTGTTTTATAATTTTGAAATCAATAGACTGTATTATTTTATACTTTAAAATTATTGAAATACAAATGGAGGTTACAGTTTTTCAAATGCCTTTAAATCTCTTTTTGCTCATGGAATTCAATGAAATGATACATAAACAAGAACAGCTCAGCTTAGTTTTTTTTGTAACTTATGTGTGTGTCTGTTATTAACTGCTGATTTGTGTACAGCACCAGACTATCAAAGGGTGAAAATCATGTCCTACAAGATCTGTTTTACATGATCATGATATTTGCAATAGTTCAAAATGAATTTTGGGTGGTAAGAAGGGGTTGGATAAATTTTTTTCATCAAAAAAAATTGTTAAACTAGTATTAAAACCATAGGGAAAGAACACAGAAGATATTTTGATCTAATGGCTACTGTTACACCATTTCATTAGCATGAACAATTGGTTCCATTAGTCGTGCATGTTCCCAAGGACCACACTTTAGATATATTTCAGGACAATATGATATAGGAGGATATGACCATTTGTTTGAATACTGTCTCCCACCGATGACAATTATTCTTATATATGATATATATTAATTTTAGAACAGCTTGAATATGCATTTAATGAGGAGGTATCCCATTTCGTTCCCAAAATCTTGATAATACTCCTTACCACCTGGCCTGCATTTTTTTTAATATTATGATCCCTTTTTATTTCTTGTGACAAACAAGAAGACAATACCCAAAAAAATGTGACCAAAAAATTAACAATTTGACTTTCAAACTAGACATCTGGAGAGGACACAAACATGCCCTATTGCTAAAAGCTTCCAATTGGAATTTTTCAAATTGTATACTCTTGATTAATCAGCTCACTGTTGGAAATGTACAAATGACAAACAGCTACATCCTATAGTGCTCAAAAACTGTGCAGGGCCTTTTCATGAACCTTCAAGGTGAATCTGAACACAGGAGATAACAGATTACTTTTTCATGTACAGTTTTGAAGTTCCTAGGGATCTTTAAACTAGGGTTACTGAAGAACACAAGATATGTAATTCTATGGGTAGTGTAATCATTATCATAATGGTAAATAGTTAATTGTTGATTTTTTTGATTTTCAACTGTGTTTTGTTATGATTTGGCCTTGCTTTAGATGTGACATTCATCATGAAAAACTCAGTGTCTTCTGCAGTACATGTAAGCAGTGCATCTGCCATCAGTGTGCTCTGTGGGGGGGAACGGTGAGTTGATCTTCTTAACAACTTGTTAGTTTAAAAATAATCACCTTTTAAATAGTACTTATTGGTATCACACAGCTATCTGTAGGCACTTGTCAACACAGTACTGAAAAACAACTGTGAGAAATGAAAGCATTCAAATGAAGGAAGAAACATCTTGCAACCTTGGTCTTACTTTCTCCCTCATTTAGCATCATTTCACATGAAATGTTCCTAAGCACTGTGTAACAAAAATAAATTTATTGATTCATGACTTACTTAATAGTTGACTGAAAAGAATTGCCCTTTTTTGTGGGCTAATGAGTCATCAATATGGTTTTGCATAACTTTGCTAACACAAATTGCAACTTGGTCTCTCCCTTTTTCCTGCACTTTAACCCTTTAACCTCTAAGATCTAATCAGTAATTCTCCTTACTATCTGCCATACAATTCCTATGATGTTTGCTTGGAGAATTTGGCATTGAATTTAACTAATCTCCTAATTGATATTTTTCTTAATTCTCGTCAGTTCTCCGCTTGATATTGTATTGATATTGTGAGGAGAAATTCGGTCTTGGTCACTCATGGAATTTAAATAGTTACAGTCTGTAACGCTATTGAGTTATTATATTTGATTTGATTTTCAGCACTCCGGCCACACTTTTAAACCTCTGGATGAGGTATACGACCAGCATGTCTCATCAATCACAGATGAGGTATTGTCAACTTAAATTTTGCATAGAATAACTCAAGCTAGTGATTTATTGGTAAGTGTTTAATTAATATTTTTATTTTTTTAGGTTGCAGCATTAAGGCGCAGACTGATGGAACTGATTAGTCTTGTTCAGGAAGTGGTATGTGGGAAGCTCTTAACTGAGATATGTGACACCAAACCTGAGGATGTGGAGCAGAAATGTTAAGCTCTTAACCCTTAAACTCCCAAGATCTGATTGTTAATTCTCCTCTCTAGCTGCTACACACTTCCTTGTAGATTAGTTACAAGAATTTGGTGTTATATCAAAGATAAAAACTTCTTCCTTGATAAGTTTGAGTATTCTCATTACCTGTTTGCCAGACAATGTATGGATATCGTAGGGAGAAGTTGTATGTCAATCACTTCTGGGAGTTACAGGGTTAAGGAAACTGAGTTGGATAATTATGCTTCTGAGATGAAATTGATGTCAACATGCTCTGTGATCTTAAAATAACTTATTGGTTCTGGTGCCCCAAGTACCCTAATTTGTTATCTTTTTTATGATAACTTTTAATTCTTGTCTTGATCTTTCTAAACCATTTTAAATTATTTATAATTTAAGAGAAGACTAAACCAGTGTATGACTGTAATGTGTTTACCTTCCTTAGATAAAGTTACTTCCTACTTACATGGACTTACTCAGTCACTGTATTAATCAAGTTATTTTTTGTCTGCTAATCTGTCTGTACCATGACTTGAAATCTAGTATTCATTTCTTTGTAGGAACGCAATGTGGAAAGTTTGCGTGAAGCTAAAGAAGAAGTATGATTGTTTCTCAGTGTTTAAATTGCAATAATTAACCTTATTACATGTAACTTAGAACTACTAATCCTATGTTGTTTTTCCCATAATAAATTTTTTTAGCGTGTACGTGAAATTCGCAATGCAGTGGAATTGATGATAGCACGCTTAGACACTCAGCTTAAAAGTAAATTGCTGACACTTATGGGTAAGTTTTGAAATGAAAATATTATGACTCCTTGTTTCACTTGTATAACTAGGGTGTAACTGGTTGTTTGCCCCTTCCTCTATAAGGTAATAAATGGGAATAAATAACTATTAAGATTATTAGTATTTGATATGCAAGCCTATTGATGTACTATTATTGGTAATTTCAAATTAATGCTTTCATGAGGGACCCAGTAACCTAGTGGATTCAAGTCCTGTTGGAGGTGATTGTGTTGTGTCTTTAGGTAATAAAAAACAATTTACCCTCTCAATGTTTCTCTCCACATAGGATAATGAAAAGGATTGATAAAGTAGCAAGGGAAAACTGATTAGTTGCTGAAATGAATGTTGTACTAAACTTGCATCTCATTCAAAGCTGAGTCATGATACTGTGCGTGAATAATTTTATTTACTTGTTTTCTTCACTTGTTTATGATAAACAGGTCAAAAGAACTCACTGACTCAGGAGACAGAACTGTTAGAATCCTTGTTACAGGAAGTTGAACATCAGGTTTGTTTAAAAACTTGTTTAATAATAATTGTACGTGTAGCACACTTGCAAGGATTCTTTGTTTACTTGAAATCATTGGCAGGTCAAAATACTTTTTTTTCATTGATTAGGTTCCTTTATGGGAATAAAGAGCTTACTGAAATTTTCTTAGCTTCCAACAGGTGGCTTTGTTACTCAGTTGGTAGTGCTGGGTAGGGCTCAACTAATTTTCAAGGCCTGAACTTTTTCAGGCTTATTTTTTCCTAAGATTTCTTTTATTGCAGCTCATGTGCGAGTAATCTCTCTTTACTTGCACTTCATGTGCATGTCAAAATGTTACTTATTTCATTCAAAATCCATTATTGGATGTATGTTATCAACATTGAGGTGGAATGCATCATCTCTCTAGACTCTTGTAACCCTGATCATTTGATTGGGTCATTTCAATGCCAAACATTTCAAAATAATTGAAGAAATTTTAATGTTTGTTGTTATATTTTTTTATTGCCTTTTAGTTGCACTCTTGCTCCAGAAGTGAACTTATTGCTAAAAGTGGTGAACTTTTACAGATGTTTAATCAGGTGTGGTAAAATAACAACTAGACCTGAATAATTCAAATTATTTCTGTGTGGAATAATTTCTAAAACCCATTTAGTGGTTTTGCTGTAATTGATTCAATTCATTTAATCATTATACAACATTTTTATACACTGTATTAAGTATAATACTGGTATTTTGCAGCAATTAACTGAAAAATACAAATTAAATTCATTGTAGGTTCATCGTAAACCAATGGCTTCATTTGTGAGTCCTCCAATACCAGCTGATTTTTCAAGGTAATTAGCTTAATTCTTGCATATTAAGACATTAAAAAACAGTTATTTAAGACTTAATGTAATTTGTAGGTAGGAAAATGCACTGCTTTCCTACAATGGCCAATAATTTTTGTAAACTTGAAATCCAACTGAGAAAAGAAAAATTTATCTCATGCAAAATGCTTTTTCTCTTCATTTTCAGTGAAATTGTACCTGGCTATGACACAAGTACATTCTGTATCACCAATTTCAGGTAATTCATCTTTTCTTGAAAATAAAGATACTGGTATGTTGAAACTGTCTAAATTCTACAGATAATAATAAAAAAATAATTATTTTCTTATTATTAATTTAGTCATAGTCCTTTCTATTGTTCCCTTCATCAAAACAAATATTTTTCTCCACAGATGCGACATATGATTCCCTAAGATGTCATACTATGATACTCAAAGCATAATTTTCATATAAACACAATTCATATTTTCAGAAATATGCAAGGTTTTTAAAGATATATTTTAAGCAATTTTTCAAAACCATCATATAACTATAAAAAAATAACAAGTATACACTGACACACACTTCACAATAAACTTTGCTTATGACCAATTACAAAAAATCAATTTCACTAGTTATATCACAGGCTTTTGAAAGAACAAAAGTATATAGACTGTACATCTCTGTCAGAGAAAATGGTGGGCTAACCCTTGGAAGGTCAACTGTAGAAACTCTTTACTATGGCCATGTAACACTATCAACTCAGTTGATGAAACCAAAGTAACTTGTAATACCCCCCACCGATGCAGCACCACAGTTTCTTTATAAACTTACCCCAGTTTATCCATGTATCATTGACACTTAACTTGTTTTTCTGTACACAGTTTATTGCGAAGAAAGGCAGATCCTGTTTATAGTGAACCCTTAAATATCAGTGGACTTAGTTGGAGACTTAAGGTTTATCCTGTGAGTATGGAAAAAAAAAACTACATTCAACAGTTCAGAATTTGAAGTTTTACTATTCAATAGTTTGTTTTGATCATGGATGTGCCTCAGCAGTTCTCTCCTGGATGTGAATGGCCACTTTTCCTTTCTCAAAGGTTCCTCATTGGAGGGCAACCTGAGAAATTTGAAGTGTCTCAAGGTGGCATGTAAAATATTTAAAACAACAAAAGTTTTGATGTTCTTTTTAGGATGGTAATGGTGTGGTGAGAGGAAATTACCTGTCTGTATTTCTGGAGCTCTCTGCTGGACTGCCAGAAACATCCAAGTAATTATTTACAATAATGTTATGATTGTTTTCAATTCTTTTACTTCCTATTTTAAAATTTCCATTATCGTTTCATTTGGTGATTAAATTCATGATAATTATATTTTAATTGATTTCTTTAGGTACGAATACAGAGTTGAAATGATTCACCATGCATCTCCTGATTCAAGCAAGAACATTGTGAGAGAGTTTGGTGAGTTGTATTGAAACACAGGCTAGTACTTCTACAATGAACCTTTTAACCCCTTATAGAGACTAGCATGCATGCATCTCATTTCTCCTTACAGTATCACCCCTGCATCAAACATTCAAGTCATGAGAAAAAAGGAAATGATCACCAATTCAACTAGAGAAGCTCTTGATTGATAAATAAATTCTCCTTGTCAGCACCCTTTGAAATGTATTAAGAACAGTATGGAGAATATGTATACTGATGTGAGGGTGTAAAGGGTTCACATTAACCTGTGAACTTCAGTTTATTTGTACAATGTATTTCTTTTACAGCTTCTGACTTTGAAGTTGGTGAATGTTGGGGTTACAACAGATTTTTTCGTTTGGATCTTTTGGTAAGTGAATGTCAATCTTGTTATTGTGAGACGTATTATGAGGCGAAGTACATATGCTCCAATAACTAAAACTTGCATATGTGCTTGTTGTAGGGAAGCGAAGGATACCTGAACACAGCAAATGACACTTTGATTCTAAGGTTTCAAGTCAGACCTCCAACATTCTACCAAAAATGTAGAGATCAACAGTGGTAAGGCGTCACTTGATGCAAGTGTTCAAACGTAGCCAGGGCAAATATTACACTTTCACCCGAGATCTGATTGTGAATTCTCCTCTCTGGATGCCACACATTTCCTCTCAAACTAGTTACGAGAGTTTGGTGTTAGATCAAGACAACCTCTTCTACCTGATACGTTTTAGTATTCTCATTACGTGCTTGCTGGATAATGTTTGAATGTTATAAGGAGAAGTAACATGTTAATCACTTCTGAGAGTGACAGAGTTCAGCTTAAATTATGGGCCGAGTTATGGTAACATGGCAGCTCGTATCTGCAGTCTTGCTGAGTAACAGGTAATTTGGTGTTAACAACTGAGTTGAAAACGTAAATTAGCCACCGTAAAGGGTAAAAAAAGCTGACGTTTCGAGCGTTAGCCCGTTAGCCCTATCGCTCTGACGAAGGGCTAACGCTCGAAACGTCAGCCTTTTTTTACCCTTTACGGTGGCTAATTTACGTTTTCAACTCAGTTGTTAACACTAAATAACCTGCTATACTCTCCCACCGACGCAGCACCACAGTTTCTTTAGAAACTTATCCCTATGTTGCTGAGTAACAGTTCACGTTTGTGGTTTCGTTCTTGTTTTTCCAGGTATATTAATCAACTTGAAACTGGTCAGACGCAGTACATTCAGCAGATTAACGATTTAAAAGAGGTACACGATATATAAGTAAGAATAAGATTAGTGGACTTAAAACTTACGTTGTAAGTACGACCCAAAATGAATCTTCTTTTCGAGAACCCACAACGTGACCTGCAATTAAGTATCCACTACTAATGCACTACCCATGCGCAATACTGTTTAGCTCCGCCCTTACAAAAATTTACCGGTATCTTCCAAATTGGCTCTGAAGAAGGGCTAACGCTCGAAACGTCAGCCTTTATTGAAGTTCTTTACGGTGGCTAATTTACGTTTTCAACTCAGATACACCACACCACATTTTCTATTAGAAAAAAGACATTCTTGTCATGCGTAGTTGTGTCCATGCTGGTCTGGAAAATGGCAGATCGCCTCCCGAGGGAGTCAAAGAATTTTTTTTAGGTCTCCTTTCAACTACTAGTTCGGTAGTGTTCATAGCTGCGAGGATCGCTTTTATCTCATTTCTTCACCGCAGTGCACATATATATGATTTTCAAAGATTTCCAGTCATTATTCATCGTCCAATAATTGTTTATTATATTTTTATATCTAAGTAAGTATTTTTTTTTTCAAAACGCAGCGACTTGCCATTGAACTGTCCAGAAACCATGCACCGACTTCCTCAGCACCGGGCAGCGTGTCAGACATGGGTCACGTGTCTTTACTTGAACAATCATTGGACAACATCGAGGATGATAATGATCATTTGGTCACCAAGCAACAAAATGATGCCCAGTTGGTAGTGCGACGGGCTCAAGTTTCCAGGCCACGTGCCACAGCACACACTGCATTAGATGTGGAAACTGCCTCTGGTATGTGTTGTGTTCTGCTGGTGTTAAGCCACATTTTCACGATCGGGTTTTTCGCTAAAAAATTTCCTTGGCCGCGCAGATAGAAAAGGAGGCAGAGTCTTGCCTCTTCAAGTCCCTTTGTCCTAAAACCAAGTTTTAAACAGGTAACCGGTCGTTTCCGCCAGTTTCTTACGGTTGTTTCGCCCGAATTGAAAGTCGATTCAGTAGAGATGATTGTGGCCGCTTTTCGAGATAGGGCTCTTTTCGATTGACTGACGTAAAGATGAAATCAACGTAATCTCAACGGCCATTCAGAAAAAAGAACAATACCTTAAATTTGCAAACCGCCCAAAGCGCTGGAAAAACACGGGCGACTAAGTCGTGATTGGTTTTAGTTTTGCATTTGATAGGCAAAAACCAATGCAATCTCGGATTACTCCCGACACTCAATTGAAAATTACTCTAATTTTCTCTTGTGTGGTTGGTTGTTATGATTACTTCGCTTATGGTTTTACTTTATTTTTTCGAAAAGCGCTCTGTTGCGAAAAATTTACTCGGACAATTTGCTGGTGTAAACTGGACATGGAATGAGTAAGTTCGGTGTTTTTTGTGCCTCATGTGTAGTCGCTCATAGTAATGACGAAGTTTTCTCTTTTAGGGCCAGTACTTCCAGCATCAGAGGAAGGAGAAGAAGTGGTGGATGAGTACACAAATGAAGATGATAATGGAGAGGAAGACGAAGACGAGAGTGGTGCTGATACTGGTGATGACGAGAATGAAGTGGATGGAAGACCGGAAGCTGAGGAGGAGACATCTGAGCCGGAAGGAAATGAAGAGGAGTCATTAAGAGGTAAACACTGCGTAATAGAATGGGAGAAGAGGTGGCTCAACGATTAGCGCGCGAGGTCTGGGTACGAGACCTGGTTGGCTCATTGGGTTGTGTTCTCGGATCAGACGCTTTACTCACTGTGTCTCTCTCCGACGAAATGCTGCAAAAGGGGAGGGTGAAGCGATGGACTTGTATCCCCCGTTAGGGTGGTCGCAATACCTTAAGCTGCTTTTTGCTACACAGACCGGGATAAGCACTGGTCAAATGAGTCACTTGACTTGATTACTTAGTTTTACCTGACACATGACAACGCTTTCGACATTGCTGATCCACGCAGTAAGCGACACGTTTGTCACACTTGAACCTAGTAATGACCTGGCTCATCATAGAGTTTCCTGCCTCCAAGTGGTAGAGCAGTGGGGTTGAATGTCTAAGGGTCGAGTCCTTGAAGGGGACTCAGTAAAACTTTTGTATTTGTTCCCGGCTTAAGCTAGCAAAGATAACTCAGTTCGTTGTTCAGACCTTCTTTTACTTGAATTGCACGACGCATCAAAATGAATTCTTTATCGGTGCTTTTTTTCAGACGAGACTTTAGAAGAGGAAGCACTTCAGGATCTCGTCCCCTGCTCAGAAAGTTCCCCGGAAGAACAAGCTGCGCAACAGAAGGAACAAGAGGCCTGGGACGTAGAAGATGTTGAACTCGAATTCTTTGATATTAACAGTGTAACGGAACAGCGGGAAGAGGCAGAACCAAAACCCGAGCCATTGTCAACTCAAACCAGCTGTTCTAATTGCCTTCCAAACAACCAAGTTTCTCTTATCGATGCAGAGGAAAGAGCGCTTCTTAATTTGCTTAAGTTTGACAATCGAGGCCCCAGAGGGTCGCGTTGGAATGCGCCGACTGTGTCACGGAGGTATGTGTCAGTAGTGGAGTGGCCCAGGCGGGGAGATGACGACAAAGACAAGCATAAGGAAAGAATCAAGAAGAGAACGCGCTTGGAGAAGACCAGCAGCATGCTGGAGAGACTGCAGAGTTGTTTAACCCGTGCAGAAGCTCACAAGGCAGCGGCTGCCTCTCTTGACAGTGCGAAAGCCCTAGAGGGTGATTGTTTTGTAAATTCTTACCTGATACTTAAATCATTATACGCTGTGCCATGTTTTAGAATCTGATATTCAAATGCGAGATTGTCCCCCACCCTCACCCTTGAATCCTTGATCTTTAGTGGCTTTCGTAAAGCAGAGCACCCGTCTTAAATTATGAGGGAGTCAGATGTTTCTTGATCATGACTTAGTGTGAATTGACAATTCCTTTATGGCGATTTCAAAGTTGAATTTCTTTTTCACCTTACAGCGTACAAGTGCGTTTACTTCACTTTAAATCACTCACAGAGCAATTTTCAATGGCGTGTCGAAAGTAATCCAAGAATTCTTTGCTTTTACCTTACCTAGCTTTGTGATTGGTCGGGTGCAAAACAAAAAACTCGTACTTGGTTACCCACGTTTTCCCGCGCTTTAAGCAGTTTTCCTGTTTCGCTTTGAGTCCTCATTGGCTATTTATGATTTTGACTTTTGTTTTGATTGGTCGCTGGGATAAATGTGGTTTTGGTTTTTCAACACTCGGTGAAAACTGCTCTATCGGGGTCGAACCCCTATCTCAAGATCTGTTTGGACGGATACTCGCATTTGCAAATCTTCAGCTTTCCGTTAGCGTTCTCGTTCATGTGGTACTTGTCCGAGACAGCCAGTGAGTTTGAACGGTACAATGCACCTATAAAAGGGGGTAAGTTTATAAAGAAACAATGGTGCTGCGTCGTGTGGTGGTCTTACTAGAGAATTTGGTGTCATCAACTGGGTTGATTATGTAAATTGGCCACCGTAGAGTTTCGAAAGCTGCGTTTCGAACGTTGGCCCTACGACATACAATGCACATAAGACTGATGTGTGTGTGTTTTTTTCTTGTTTGTTTGTAGAATCTCTGACCAGTGGAAGCCATCCCGTAGGGATGAGATCGGGTACAGGAAATGTCAGACCTCACAGGAGGGGTGCTTCATTACCCAGCTTAGATGGTGCTGACAGTAAAAACAGAACTTCTCCGAAGAAACCCACAGGTATTGATTTTAAAGGTTAAGTTGTTCAGTTCATACAGTATAAATCAGTTTTCTTCATGTTACTAAAGACAGATCACTTAGTGGTAACGGAAAGAAACTTGACTATCAATTGTTTCATCTTCAGAAAAAGACAACTCAGTCAAACGTGAATTATTGATATATAAATTGTGTTGTGTTCTTGGGCAAGACAATTGACTCTCACTTAATTTTCTCCCCGAGAGAGTATAAGTGGTTATCAGTAAACTGTTAGAAAAGCCTGCTGAAAGCAGGCAGAGTGGCTGGTGATTGGCTAATATTAGTAAAGGAGGAGAGGCAATACTTCTGCCTGCTTCGTACCACAGACATTAGGATAAACTCGGTTTGAAATGAGCCACTAACATGGAATGACTTATCTTTCACAATTTTTTTAACTTGAAAGAGACCAAATTTTTATATTAACAATATAACAGATATGCTTATGCTTGGTACTAAGAAGCGGAGACACGGCATAAAGTAGGGTATGGCCTCCTCATGTTGTCCATTAATATTTCTCGTATTGTTTCTTCAGTCTCATCAGGGACTGTAGCTAGCATCTGTGTCAGCTCCGGAGTTCCAATTTCAGCAGTAGCATGTACCATTCCCCATCCCCCTGACCATGATGACGGGTGTGGCAACCCTGAACCTGACCTGTCAGTACCTCATCACCTGCCGGAAATGGACACAGACAGTCCTCGGTAAACAAACTACCATTGTTATCTCGTATTTTTATCTCGCTACCTTTACCCTGGCAGGCTTTCCTCGACAGGTCTTTTTCTGAGATTCTTTTTTTCCCTGTGACACTTTGCCCAAAAACTGACACGCCTGTCATGAAACAGGAGACTTGTTCTGCAATGTTTTCTTGAAAAATGTCCTTGACGATTTTTTGTTTTGCATACGAGTAAAATAAACTATTTACATCGACAACTGCATTGTCTAGAAAAGAAAAATCCATTGTCAATCTTTACTCGTAGACTTACAAATTATTACAGGTTTTCAATAAACGTTCATGTAACTCGGTGTCAAACCATTTTCAGTTCTCGACCCAAAGATACGAAGCGGAAAGTACACAGAGCAAATACTGCTCACTCTACTGTTGGAACTGAAGGTACTCCCGTCTTTTGAATTTATTGATTTATTTGCGATATTTAGACAGACTGACTCTGCTTTAAAGCTGGTGTAAATGGGAGCCTATACACCAAACTCTTTGCTAGAAGTAGGTGGATTCTTTAACGTCTCTTGCTAACCAGTAAAGAGAAGATGCAGGAGACAAGGCTAACAGTTTATCGTTCTAAGAGCCTGAGTGTTGGTCCGGTCTGGGATTCAAACCCTCGACCTCCCGCCTAACCGTGAACTGAAATTCTTTCTCCTGACTGCTTCACAACCTCTTATCTTGTTGATTTAAGTTATTTCTAATATCTTATATTCTTCAGGTCTCCAACTTAGTTCTCAGTTACTGTCCGACCTTAAAAGGGCTTCGACTATAAACAAAACCTACAGGATGAGGTACTCTGTTACCGAGGAAGAACTACTACAGAGTCGAGCCAGTTCTCACAATAGTCCCACACAAGGTAAGTTAGAGGTACACATAGTCTTGGTAGAAAACAGCTTAAGGCAATTCCGTAGTATCACATCGCGAATTCTTACTGCGCATAATTTAACACGTGACTATCGCGCCCACATTAAAAAATGGGATTTATTGTCGGAGCTCACCAGCGAGGTAAATCGTCATTTTCCTGCAAACGAGCATGGTGATCAAAAATTTTTTTCTCATTTTTGGAAATGAGCGATGAGTTTCATTCCGTAAAATAGATATAAACCAATTCTCAGTGTAGTTAATACGATACTTAGACAGGCTTGCGCAGTTCAGCTAAAAGCTGGTTTAAATGGGGGCATGTATACACATCAACAAATCCAGACCACAACAAAGAGTGCTACGTTCCCCACTCTCTGCGATAAGTGAGTGGGTTCTTTAACGCTCCCTGCTAACCCGTTCGGAGAATATGCAGGAGACGGGGCCTACGGAATGTCTAACCATTTGTAGATGTCATAGTAAAGGCAGTGCATCTCTTCACTTATTTTAAGACCCTATATGTTGGTCCGGTGTGGGGCTAAAACCCTCGACCCCCCGAACGACAATCCGGCACTCTACGACATGAGCTAAGCAAGCGTACGGAAAGAATACAATGTAGCAATTTCTAAATATGATCGTCATGATATATAGGAATTATATGAGCATTTAACATGAGTATCTACAAGGTACTGCTACCCCTCTAAAAGCACGAGAACGCCCTCCCTTTATATTTCTTTAGGATAAACAACCCATAGGTAAAGTTTTGTAAAAATCTCAGGGTAGATTCTACTTCGGAGGAACGACCTTAAATTGTTTTTAAGCGTCTTAGAGTGAATTCCAAGAGAAACTGTATCAAAAAAATTAGGTTTTGTTGTAAACGCTTCAGTGTGGACAGGACTCTGACTATACCTTTTTATCCGTTAGCTGATAGCAGTGTGGATCCTTCACCATGTGGTAGCGCAGATGAATCTTTCATTACGTCACTGAGTTCATTACCCACAAGTCAGCAGTATCATTTGGTACACATTAGCACTGAGGACCTGACTGACATACACAGCGGTGATTCACCCACTAACCCTCCCCCCATAGTAATCAACAGAAAGAGGAGCTCACCAACCGGAAGCGCCTGTAGCAACACCAGTCGGGAGGGTGACAACAGCCCCACAAGAAGTGCAGGTAAATGTTACATTACACTGGCGGCTGTAGGTCTTGATTACAAGCTATGTTGTGTTCTTGAATAAGGTTATGGCGTCTTTGAGAACAACTTGATTTCGTGTGAAACCTTACAAAATATTTGAAGAGGGGTAAGGGGGGGGGGGAGGAGAGGGGGTGGTTGGGTAACCATCCCATCCATTAAAGAGGAGTTGCAATATTTCCGCTCACTTTACGCGCTGCAATGCGAGGTAGGCTTATATTTTTGGAGGGTTATGACCCAAACTCAGAGACATTCCTTAGACAGGTGTTTCCCAGAAGCTAGTACTTATGCCGTTCGAAGACACAAAAATACTTGGATTGATTTTAGAGTTCTTGCGAGGATGATGTGTGAACCACTATCTTCTGAAAGCAAATGACGTCAGGGAGTATTTTCTTGTAGTCTTTGTATGTGTATGTGGCATACCCGTTGGTCGTGTATAAACAGGTAGCAACAAACTTAAATGCATATACCTTGATCAGTCTTTCCTTTCCACACAGGTTGCTCAAGTCCTCAAATTAATGACAGCAGTGCGGAAGAAGACAGGGGAAGTTGTGATAAATAATATTGCCGTGTCAAAAGTGTCTCTTAAACGTCATACCTAAGATACATTATACGTAGAGTAGATTTATTATTGTACAGAATGGCCAGGGGGTCTGGGTTGTAGCCTTGAATGGTACCTTTAAGTTCCTTATTCTCCACTGACCTTAAAATGAGTTCGAGATCTTCCAATAGGGAGACAAAGGGCGCTCGAGAATCTCCGTAATTTGGTGCCTAAAAAAAAAAGTGGTCGACATTATTTTTCAAGTTTTTGCAAAAAATGGAGTAACCATTTTGTAACCAGTTCTGTGGTTTGACTTTTTTAATTGAGCCCTTCGATTACGTCCGATCATAAGAATTAGCTTTGTTGCTAAGAGAAGCACAGTTAAGTTTCACGACGAAAATTTCGCTGAAAAACTGAATGTAACTCTCCTACTTGTTATCGAGCGAGCTCGGCTTAAAATCTTAAGGTCTTCATTAGCGTGATCTAAAATTATTGAATGAGTTTAATGTATTGATGAGTAAATGAGATATGTTGTAGTGGGATGAATGTGATGTAGTTAATACTGGCCTTTTCCATATTTTTCCTTCCTTCGCTGTTTACTTTCCTAGCCTACGGGACGGGCGTCATTTCTTTGACGTTTTTCGGGCAAGAGGAGGAAAGTGTAAAGCGTGCGGGATAACAGCACGAGGGGCGAGTCGCGTGCCAGAGGAGGAGCTTGTGCTTGTCCCGCCCGTCACGCTTGTCACGCCCGTCACGCTCGCCCCTCGCGCTGACGCCTGTTTCGCTCGCCTACAACATTGGCGGATGAAAAAGAGACTGACGCCATATAAGCCTTATCTCTAAGGGACCCTAACGAGTTTTTTTTAGTATCGAGTAGTCTCCTTTGCAGCCGTTTTTTTTTCCTTCGCAGCCGTTGTTTTTCCTTCGCAACGCTTTTCGCCCTTATCGCGAGAAAGAGCGTGTTGCGTGAGAGACCAAATAAAGGCTGAGAAGGAGAGCAGGCATCAAATCTTCCGGGATATGTATCATGCAACTCGCTGATTGCTTAAATAAAAGGTGCTGCTTGATAAACAGAGAGCGACTTAAGATCTAACAGAATCTCCAGAAATGGATTTGTTAAAAAATAATTAGACAGGGTTTCATTGAAAGTGTGAGGTATCTAGGGGCGATTCCTCTCTTGGTGTTCTCTGGCTTGTACCTATCTCAACTTTTTCTTTGTGACGTTGATTCGCCACATTAATCAATGAATGGAATCTTCACTAAATGTACATAGCTGTGAATATGGTTCAATTTCAAGACGGAGTATGTTGAGAATATATTTTGAGAGTTGATATCGATTCTCCGGAAGATTAATAAATTATTGTATTTGATTCATGCTATTTAACTGCGTTCTATTACGTGGATATTGTATAGGATTGGGACGTCTTGCGAACCCAGTTTGAGAGTGCACGACATGGTCTCCTTATCGGTTATCATTCTTGAGTTTCAACTTCTCCGAACACCAGTTTTATTGCTACATCATCAACATTTTTCCTGCTTTCATTCAAAAGCGTCAAATAAAATTTCAATTGCAATACATGCGAGCTTCAATCCTTTTAACCACAGTAACCCTTGCACCTCTCCATTTAGCGGTATTTCCGACATTTCGTCACAACGTTGTCTATTACGTGACCCTTGCGGTCCTGGGCGAGCTTTTATTGAAAACATTAGACGACTATCCTTACACGTTATTTTATGAAGGATAATACTCGGATATGGATGTTTCTTTTTTCAACAGCTGACTGGTGAACCTTGATACTCGTTCTCGAAACCAACCAAACAGTTCGGGGCTTAATGGTTTACGTGACATCTCATCACCTTAAAACTGAGTTGTCTGATAAAATTCCAGCTGGTGATTTCTCCACTCGCAGCTTGGCTGCGGAGGACCACCAATTGAACGGTAAAGAATGCGTTCCTTAGAGTGTTTAGCCGATTGTAGAATGGAAGGAAGTGGGATGGAAAGAAAAAAAATACTTGAAGTTTTTTCACAAATTATCGGCTAACAGCCAGTAGGTGGATGTAGCAAACTGCAAACGTAACTGCAGATTCTAGTTTCGGCGCTGACAACAGATCTAGAGAAGCTTTTTATGGCAAATGGAAGGGTGCGGGTCATAACAATACCGATAAATTTCAGTCTTAAATAAGTACCATGATCCAGCTCCCGAAAACCCGGAAAATTATCTACTGCAAAGAGAGAAAAAGATTCATTTAAATCTGAAAGAGAAGACTGTAATCTGTTTACTCTGCCGGTTTCATTCCTCTTTTTGTGCTGGAAGATCGAGCCGCCCATTAGAGCCATTTAAGAGGGCACAGAGGACGAAAACTGTAGCGCCAAATGTAACTGAAAAATAACATTTGGAACATCTTCATCATCAGAAAGGAACTTGACCTTTCAGCCAAAAGAATCGAAATCAAAAATCGTACCTCCTCTCCCCGCCTCCTGACAGTGACATTTTGAATACTGATTGTGAGGCCCGCGGAATATTAGATTTGCATTGTAAATGCTGAGTGGTATAAAATATCGGGTTTTTGATGTCTTATGGTCTTCGCACGTGGGTCACAACCAGCAACGGAAAATTGGCCGAACTGAGTCAAGCCGTGAAGTGACCGAGGTCTGATCTTTTTTGAACTCCTGTAAGTCATCCAGTTTCTTTGTTCTGCGCTTTGATATGAGGTAAAAATATCTTATTAGCTCTAGGAGGGCGTTAGTTAACTTTCTCTCGCATATGCACCACGCATTATTCTACTCTGTTGCTGGAACTAACTCTTTTACGTTTTTAGAAACGAAACGTGAAGGTGAAATGAAAGCTTCATTCTAACAAAATCGGACAGGAATTTCCTTTTTGTTTATTTTTTAATCTTGCAAAGATTAGTAATGATATACAGAGTAGCTACCGAGGTTTCGTCACTGAATCGCTTTCAGGCTTCAGTCATGGGGTTTTTGCAAAATGGTTTTTATTAACACAACTTGTAAAGCTAGCTGCATCAACTTATTATATGGTACATACACAGCGGAACACGGTGGGAGGGAGGGGAGGGTGTAGCATATCTAACTCTTTCCCCAGCGCGACGAACATTTGTTTTTCTGGGTTCCAGGTGTACGCGACCACTAACCCTACGTAATGCGCATGCTCTCCGTTGCGAATTTTCAAAATGGCGGACAGGCCAAAGAGGAAAATAAAAAAGCGAAGCGATTTTGCAATAAATACTTAACATACATCCCGTTAGAAAGGCGAATCCACGAAAGAAAGATACAAAACTGTATGATATTAAGATCAGGGAGGTTAACAAAATCAACAAGAGAGATTGAAAATTCATTACGTTGGCTATAGCACATGCTTCGATGAATGGAGACCCCTCAGGGCCGATAGAGGATCTGGACATTTTCCGTTTGTTCGCAGCAAACAGCTGTTCATTCCCTCGGAAAACTCTCTAGAGGATAGAAAGAATCGTTCCATGGCCAACTTGCTCGTGAAATAAAGAAAAAGCTTTGGTCTGGACGGCGAGAGGACCCTGATATAAACATAGACCTTAATGTTGACCAAGATGTTTTCATGGAAGGTCTCGGGAGTGTTTTGCCCGGCTTACTTCAAAGAGGGAAGATGGTTTACCAATTGGAGTCAAATAGGGTGCTTGATTCATATCTGGGGCTGAAGTGGGATGAAAGAATTTTAAATGTAGCTGAAGATTTTGCCTATGTAATTCCAGGAACTATTAAGTATTGGCTGGGACAAAGAAGTCCAATCATTGAATACAAGCTCATCGGGGAACAATATGCTAGAACACAAGTTGAAAACAGCTACTTTATTATATTTCAGTTTGTGAGAGGTGATGGTAACAGGAACAACTACCATGCCAACAGATGAAATAACAATCCATTGTTTAAACACTATGTAGCATCTTGGCCAAAAACTTGAGATTCACAATCAAAAGTTCCAATACTATTTTACAGTTGTGGCTGAGTCACCTGGCTTATGGCTGGAAGCGAGGTTGCTGGTGACCTTGTTTTGATACAAGCCCCTTTGCTTTTCTTGTGTAAATAAAGGCTAGTTAATTCATAGGCTGGGTTACTGAATAAACTGTAAAATGGCCTATTTTGGCAAAGAAATTAAAGGTGATATTTTAAGGGTACTAGAAGTATTAAATGTTTTGACCTGACTAACATTGTGACCAAACTAAGGGAAGATCAGGGTCAAGAAATCCTTCCTCAAGAACTAAATGACGTATTTTATAACATAAAACTAATGAAACTAACTAAAACTAAACTTACTCTGGTTAATATTGAAGCTGGCATCTGGAAATCCATTTGCCACCTTCCTTCACAAGATGTGCACAGCAAATTGGAGCTGGACAATTTTTGCATGATGATGTGCATATCTTGATGTTGTGGCCTTTGTTTGAACAGTTATTGCATTTGTAGGTGTTCTTAACCCTTTCATAACCTGCTGCCTCCAGGAACTGAATCCCGTTTTTCTTCAGAAACAGTTGTTTGAGGGCATCAACCCCTTTGTGATTTGTGGATCTGAAGAAATCTTTAGAAGCTCTATTATTGTATTTTTCCAAGCCTTGCTGTGTGTAATATGCTATGTTCTGACAAAGTGACAGGAACTCAGGAACATGATAACATAGTGCATGCATGTAGGGAGTGACATCTTTTGCTGGGTAAACTTTGAGAAAGTGCTCAACACATGAATATTTCGCCATTGCTTTGAGGCGTGGATGTCCTGGCAGCTTAAATTTTTTGGCCACGTTTTGGTAAGTTCCGGAAGAGAGTGTAGTTCTCGTTTGCAACGCGTGAAACTCTAGAAACCTTCTTTGGAAGCACGAAGAGTTTCTTTGAGAGACAAAAAAGGAGAAAAAAAGTCGCACATCCCGTACCAAAAAGTCGATTGAATCTCTCTTTTTTCATATTTCTAACTTCAATCCTTAAAAGCACTTCTGACTAAACTTTAATTTTACTCAGACGTTTTTCGAAATTTCCT